CAGTCTCACTGGATAACCAAGGAGGCAAAGGGTGTGTTAGTTAGAAGGGGTTTTTATGGCTTAGAGCAAAGGATAAACCCACCTCAAACAAGATTTTATTACCAAGCAGAAAGATTCCACAGGCAAACAAGCCAGCAAATGTTGCAAGTAGGAAGGTGAGTTATTCCTTGGGCTCTTTTAACTTACTACTGTGCATTGTATGTAGTTAAATCACTTTTATTATCACTTTTGAAAGAAGCCAAGCAACTCAAAGAACATCCTGCCATTAATCCTAAAGAATACCCAGAGGATTTTTCCATTCTGCACCTGAGCTTGGATTTACATGATGGATTCATTACACCTCATTGAGGGAGGGATGGTGCATTTTTAAGCACACTTATAAATATGTATTCATCTGATAGACTGGAGGAACTAATCTGGGTTTGAGAAGGTCCACAGTGCTGAATTTACAAGCTCTTCCCTAATTGCCTCTAAGGGATAGGGTATGGATGGAAGAAAGGATGAGCAGCTGGATCTCCAGGGATTTTGTGCACATTAGCGATGCTTCAGAACTCAGCAGCTCAGTGGAAGCACTCAGTATTCAGAGAGCGGGGTAAGAACTGCCAAAGTACAGGAAAATGGGAATCAAGGTGATAACTTGGCGCAGAGGCAATCCACACACACACAAGGGGTACCAATAATCTTGAGTTTCCAAGGCTGTTTTCATCCTTTCCTCAGCATCTCTGAGCAATGCCACCTTCTCTTAGAAAAGACAGGAACAAAACCACAGCCTGCTAAACAAGCCACGCAATTAGCAGAAATTTGCTGTACTTCTGGGTCTTCTTGTCCTCATTTGTTTTTATTAGAGATTCTGCTGCTGGTAGGTGACAGCAGACTGACCATCATGTGAGAAAGAAAAAAACCCAGTTATACCTAAAAATATTCCAAATTTCTCCCACCATGACCCCATTTTTGAAGGGGAGAAGAGATTTTAGCCCATAAATCTCAGCTTTGGGACTCCAAGGGCAGTTGCCCAGTTCTTCTCCTGTTCCTCACATCTCAGTTAAAGGCAGAACAAGCAGTGCCAGGAGAGCTGCAGAGCTGCAAGGCTGGATGAGCAAAAGGGAGCTGATGTTTCAGATCAGCAGCTGATCAGACTGATCCCTTCCCTCCTTGGAGCACATCCCTCTATCTTCCCTTTCCTCCTTGGAGCATGCACCTCTATCTTCATCACCTGAAAGCAGCAGAAGTTGGGGAAATCCTCTGGACAAGGGGCAGCTGCACCTCTAGTGCACTTCATGCTCCCTGCACCCAGGATCATGCATTTAAAAATTTCATGCATTTAAAAATTTCTGCAGAAACTACATTGCCCTTCCATTTGATTTATTCTTTATATTTCTGCACCTCAGTCAAACCCAGATTTTATTCCCTTCCTGATTTCCCTGAGATGCTGGAGTTTCTAATTAACCAGAAAGGCTTTTTATTCCTTAAAACTCTCCAGTTATGAATAATTATACTAGCTCATAGGTGAAAATTGTCTCTCTGCTTAAATTCTGTAATTCTGGGGGGGAACATGGGGAAAAAAGCAAGCATGAAGCAATGGCCCTTAGGTCATTTGCAACTTATTAATTTCAAGCAGATCTCTTAGCTAGCTTATTAACACTGACTATACTGCAGTGGAATTTAATAGCTAGGATATTAATTACCTTGCAGGCTCTCACGTATAGAAAATGGTTTATTTTTATTTTATGTTACAAAGCAGCTGCACCGATGGGGATCATTCAGCGCTCTCAGAGCTGGGCTGTGCTGAACAGGTCTGGTTCTGTCCAGGGTGGGATGGGGATGCTCTGAGCCCTCAGCCTGGCAGCTCCACCCTTCACAAACGAAGCTGGAAAGGGCATAAACCACATTTGATATGTGTGTGGCAGTGCCTTCTGCCCCTGGAATAGTCCCTGTTTGTGAGGAATAGCAGATTTGTCTTTACAAACCAGCTGCGGGTCTGCTGGTAGATAAAACCAGCACTGGGAGGTAAAACAAACCATGGGAAGGATTCCACTGATTAATGAATGGAAAAAGATATTTGCTTTTAAATATAAACTTTGGGTTTGCTGATAAATGAATATAGTGACATTGAGAGATGAAAGAAAAAATGGTGGAGCCCTGATTTTTTAAGATTTTCTAATCCTTCTGATGTTGACATTCTTGTAGAGAACTTTCTCACACACTTTCTGTAAATAACTCGTTGTTTGGCATTCCTTTATGGAGGAGGAGAAATTTGATGGACTGTTGGTTTGTCCAATGTCATTGGAGAGGTGGCACTGTCACCCTCCAACCCACTGTCACTCTTAGAAAACTATAAATGCTGGAGTCAGAAAATAAACTTCCCTTTTCTTCACCTTCAGAACAGCAGTGTGCACTTGTGTTCTTTCGTGTCCTATAGCAACACAATGGGGAAGAAAAACCCCTGAATTCCATAAGAATTAAAAATGAAAAGGGAGGGTTGTACATTAGAGGGAAATCTTTGGGATCTGTTGTTTTGGGGAGTCTGAACCTCTCAAGTACTCAGCCAATGGGGAAAGAGAGAAGGGAAATGTGGCTGGGAAATTGGGATAAAAAGGAGGCTGTGCCCTCCAAATATTGGAGAGATACCAGGGGATGCCCCATGGCCTCTCCCTTTATTGGAATAAAGCCAAAGGACTCCTCTGTCTCCTTTTTGGACACAAACCTCTGGTGTTTCTGGATTAATTTTCCTAACAAAACCAAACTCAATATTGCTGAACTTCAACAGGTCTGCAGTGCAGAACTTGCTGCACAGGGAAAAGGAGTTTTTGTTTTTATTATTATTTCCTACCATTTTTTTTTCCTCTCTAACAAGAAATAACTCACTTTTCAGCTGTTGGAGAAGGGAGTAATTGATCTAGAGCTTTGCAGTTTGCCTTCCGGAATGGTTTTATTCTTGATGTAGGAATAAAATTCTGTTAGGTCAAATACACAGCAATAAATACAAGAAGCACATTAACTTTAATATATTGGATTATTCCACTTGCTGGTGACAGGGAAAAAAACAAGATTTAATTCCCCTGGCAATGCAGGCAAAGAAAATCACTTTCCCTAACCATGTTTTTTTCTGCTAAGCCATTTTTGTCTGTCAGTGCTGGTGCTGCAGGCTTTGGTGGGGTTTAATTTTACTTTTTTATTTTAACCTGGTGTGAAAGTAGGAAGTATTTTCTCCAAGTAAATTGTTCACAAATTCTCTCCATGCCTTTCATTTCCAGCTGTTGCAGGCTCCTTCCCTAATGAGCTGTGTGGAGCTCTCAGCACTATCAGAAAAAGGGGGATTTTGAATGTTTTAGCTTCACTCTGCCATAGGAGTGGGGCTTAGCACAGGTGTTCTCCTTTTTCCAGGTGTGCTGGTGTTGGTTTCTCTTCCTACTTTGAAGCTTCTCAGCTGAAACCAGGATTTGTTTTTCCATGCCAACTCTTTCTGTGAAGTGCCACAACATCTGCTGCACCTTTCCTTGTGCCCCACACCCCATTGCTGTCTCAGGCCTCCCATGCAGTGGTAAATGAACATTAATGACTCCCAAGTGATGCTCCTTGCAGTGCTGAAGCCTTTTCAGTCCTTGTGCTGAGTCTTCCCTCATTTTTCTGGGAGAGCAGTGATATTAGGAACTTTTCCCACAGTCCTTGCCCTTTCACAGATTTCTGGTTTATATTGGAAAAAGGACAGATGAGGAGAGGCAGGAATTATTTCTCTGCTTGTCATCATGGCAGACAGGTGGAGGATGGCTCTGCTATGGAGCAGGCAAATAGCAGAAAGACTGCAGCAGGGATTTTGGGTGAGAGAGGAAACACCTCAGCATGGTGGAGGAGTGTGACAAAGGATCTGCAAGGGTAAAGCCTTTCTAGCCAGAAAGCTTTGAAAAAAGACTGGGCAAATCTGTGTCAGGAGAGGTGTTCAGATGGGAAGGGATCTGAGTTAGACAGGAGAAGGGGACTTGGAGCAGGCAGGATTGGGTTGTAGAGTTGGAGGTTTGTGTGTTGGTTCCAAAGCATCTCCTGTGTGCAAGTCAGCAGGAGAGGCTGGGGAAAAGCAAGGAGGGAATGCCTGTGGGGACCCAGAGCATCCCTCTGTCTGTCCAGGATGGCCAGGACCCTGCCAGGGGGCTCAGAGACCCTGGCACGGAGCCCAAAACACCCCTGGGTTTGATTATGACCCGTGGAGCAAATTACCAACCTTGTATGAAGACCTGCAAGCCACAACAGTTTAAGGAGAATATTAGTGAAGTTATCACGGGGTGGAGAAGAAGATTTTGGGGTTTCTGGTATGGGGGTTCAGGGGGCAAGATGGAGGGATCTGGGCATGTCCAGCCTTTCTCCTTCTCCTTCTTGTTGGCCTCCATCTTGTGCAGTGATGTTGGCACTTACAGATTGGTTTAGAGTAGAAGCTCACTGTCTAACATAGGTGATGGGTATTGGAAAGTTATTGTAAATATTGTAGTTTTTAGTATAAAGACATAACACTGCCCTGGGGGCAGGCAGAGTGCCTGGAACTGTCCTGCTGGATGGACCTTGGCAGGGCAGGAGAAAGAATTTTACAGATAAGATACAATAAACAACCTTGAGACTGAGAAATGAAGAGTTCTGACTCCTTCAAGCGCCTGGCTGGGAAAAGAGACTTTCCAACTTTTCTTGGGGTCACTCTGACCAGCTGGAGACCCCGACAAGTGTCGGTGTGGGTAACTGAGTCTTTGTGGTGTTTTTATCTGTCCAGGCAGAGTTACCAATAAACCAATCTCCTGCACCAGCACACAGACTCTGTCTGATTGTATTTGTCTGAGAGAAGAAAGACTCCACGATAATCCTGCTGACAATTAATTGGCTTTTGTTCAGCAAGAGTGAGCAAGATCTCATCTTAATCTGTTTCATTATTCCTCCTTGTATAGCACAGACAACACAAGATTAGGTTTAATTTTCAAACAAAATGCAAAGTCATTACTCATATCTGGATCAGGATTTTATCTGCTTCATTTTGCAGTGCTCGGTGTGTCAATATTAACGAGAGGAGCTGCATTATGTGTGGTGAGGTAGAAATATCACTGCTTGACTTCAGACCTTCTGCAAGGATTGCAAGGAGCAGAGCTCTGATACCATCCTTTCTCTACTCTCAGCTCTTCAAAAAAATCTTCATGCTCAGGGAAACCTGGAGATAGATAGATATAGATATAGATGTAGATGTAGATGTATATATATTATATAGATATAGATATAGATATTGATTACATAGGTATAGCTATAGATATATTATATAGATATCGATATCAATATAGAGGTATAGATATAGATTATATACATATAGATAGATATAGATATATAGATAGATATAGATACGATTATATACATATATAGATATAGATTGTATAGGTATAGATATAGATAGATTAGATACATATAAATAGATTAGATAGATAGATATAGATATAGATATACTTTTATAGATAGATATAGATGTTATAGATCATATAGATATAGATATAGATATAGATATAGATATAGATATAGATGGATATGTATAGATATAGGTTTATAGATATATAGATATAGATATATAGATGTAGATATATAGGTATAGATATAGATTTATAGATAGATTTATAGATATAGATATAGATATGGATGGATATGTATAGATATAGATATAGATATAGAGATAGATTTATAGATAGATATAGATAAAATTATATAGATATATAGATATGGATTGTATAGGTATATATATAGATGTATAGATAGATATAGATATTATAGATTATATAGATATTTATAGATATAGATATAGAGATAGATTTATAGATAGAGATAGATTTATAGATAGATATAGATATAGAGATAGATTTATAGATAGATATAGATATATAGATATGGATTGTATAGGTATAGATATAGATTTACAGATAGATATAGATTATATAGATATAGATATATAGAGATATAGGTAGATGTAGATGTAGATGTAGATATCCCACTGCATTTCAGTGCTTCTGAGCATGGTACATCTGCAGTGTGCTCTGTGGGTGGAATGTCACTGCCAAAGCTTCCTCCCATCTCTCTCAGTGCCCAGCCAATGTGCCTGTTCTTCTAAGTTCTTTTAAGCCTTCTGATGTTTACATTCTTGTAATGGAGTTCTCACACACTTTTATGTAAATAATGATTGGTTTTGCATTCTTTTCTGGAGGAGGAGAAATTTGATGGACTGTTGGTTTGACCAGTGTCATTGGAGAGGCAGCAATTGTCACCATGATATTTTATGAAAAATCCCTTTGCCAGGATTTTTTCTCCTGGGAAGCTGGGAAGCTTCATCTTCTCCCTGATCGGCTGCTTTGGAATGTGATTTGGAGAATTGTTTATCCCAGCATGTGAATTGTTTTTACTTAATGACCAATCCCAGTCCAGCTGTGTCAGACTCTGAGTCAGTCACGAGTTTTTATTATTTATTCTTTTCTAGCCTTCTCTCTGAATCCTTTCTCTATAGTTTAGTATAGTTTTAATATAGAATGGAATAGAATAGAATAGAATAGAATAGAACAGAATAGAATAGAAATCAGCCTTCTGAGAATGTGGAGTCAAATTCTCATCTCCCACCTCGTCCTGAGGACCCCAACAACACACCAGGCAATTTCATCCTCCAATCCAAGGTCACTTTTGGAATTCTATGTATATCAAGGTCAAGAAATAAACTTCCCTTTTTTACCTTGGAGGTTCCAGTGTGCGTGTTGTTCTATTTTGAGCCCTATTGCAACAAGCCCCTGCTCCTGCTGCAGTGAGATGTGTTTCCCCAGCATCCATCAGCCCAAAGAGAGCTCTTATGGCTTTATTGCAGCCTCTCTGGGAGCACTGATTGCACTGTGCTTAATGGCTCTGCACAGATCCAGCTGCAGATGAGTTGCTCTGAGTGCCTGCAGGGGAGGTCAGCCAAGGGCATGGGTGATGGATCTGGGATTCCTGCCTGCCTGGGGAGGGCTGCAGAGCTCTGCATGCAGAGGGGATGGGAGAACCTGGGCATGGTGAGACACAGACAGCCCTGCAGCCCTGTTGTATTTGTGGGGTGCCCCAGTGAAGGGAGGAATGATGAATCTGCCTCCATGCTCTCAGAAGGCTGATTTATTATTCTATGATACTATATTATATTAAAGAATACTATACTAAAGAATACAGAAAGGATACTTACAGAAGGCTAAAAAGATAATAATGAAAACTTGTGACTCTGTAAAAAGTCCCAACATAGCTTGGCCCCGATTGGCCAATAAGCCAAAATAATTCACAGCAGAATCCAATGGAACAATCACCTGTGGGTGAACAATCTCCAAACACATTCCATATGAGCACAACACAGGAGAAGCAAATGAGATAAGAATTGTTTTCCTTTTCTCTGAGGCTTCACAGCTTCCCAGGAGAAAAATCCTGGCAAAGGGATTTTTCAGAAAATATGACAGTGACAAGACTCTTGTGGACTGCATTAAGGTTAGAATACACTCTGCAAGGAAAGGCACATTACTAATTTGAGTGATACTTCAGTGGTCTAGGATAGTGTTGGGCAACTTGTGCTGCTTCCACTTGAATTTGAAAGGCCTTGGTTTATGTCCAGGCAGCTTTCACTGCTCTGATTACTCATTGCAGTTTAAAAGGCTGCCTGCATCCAATAGAGGTGTGTTGTGTCTGCTGCCCAAGAGGCAGCAATCCTTCCAAAATGTGCACAGGTGTCCTGCATGGCAGGGATAAGCATTAGGGTCTGAGCAGCAAAGGCTGCACTGCAAACCAGGCCAGCAGGCACTGCAAGAGAATGAGAAGAAAACATTCACACTAAGCTGCAGCCAGAAAAAACAAGGTGCAGGGCTCAGGAGCAGACCCAAACCCGGCATCCAGAGCAGTGTGATTAATTACATCTCTTGTGTGTGGCTCGGCATGGAGAGAGCCAGCAGTGGCTCCTGCCTGCAGCCCGAGTGCCCTCTGCTGTCCCTGCCCAGGGACCCAGCTTGAGGAGTGATTTGCAGAAGATTTCACAACTTTTGTGAAATTTGTAAAGCCGGCGTGTTTATTACAGTGCTGGATGCATGTGGGGATCGTTTCCCTTAAATGACATGTGTACCTCTGGGAACTCCAGATCCTTTTTATCTCCCTCTCTAATCCATATGCATGCAATTTCACAATAGGTTCATACATATTTATTCTACTGATTTTGCTTTATACTTGCCGCTAGTTTTTTTAGCAGAAAGAACTCCTGGGTCATCCTGCCCTGTCTCCTGCAGCCTCTCTGTGTCTGTTTCAGAGTTCAAGGGGCTCTCCCTTGTCACTATAGGACACAAAATAACAAAATGTCACTCTTTTCAAGGTAAAAAAGGACTTTTTAATTTCTGACTCCAACATTTATAGATTTCCAAAAGTGACAGTAGATTGGAGGGTGACGGTGCCACCTCTCCAATGACACTGGGCAAACCAACAGTCCATCAAATTTCTCCTCCTCCAGAAAAGAATACAAAACATTAAGTTGTCTGTGAACCTTTGCTTCACACACTGCTCAGCTCCCTGAGCAATCCTTGTGCTTGCCAGGTTCTGTGAGTTTTCCCAGCTGAACTCACTGTAGCTGCTCTCTCTGCAATTTGAAAGTGCGTCCCCAGTGTGGCATTCACATTCTCTGAAAAATCCCTTCAGCCCAGGATTTTTCTCTTGGGAAGCTGCGAAGCCTCAGAGAAAAGGGAAACAATTCTTATCTCATTTTTTTTCTCCTGTGTTGTGCTCATGTGGAATGTGTTTGGAGATTGTTTACCCACAGGTGATTGTTCCATTGGATTCTGCTGTGAGTTGTTTTCACTCTTTGGCCAATCAGGGCCAAGCTGTGTCAGGACTCTGGAAAGAGTCACAAGTTTTCATTATTACCTTTTTAGAATTCTGTAAGTATCCTTTCTGTATTCTGTAAAAGCTACACTAAAGGCTAAAGGTGGGTAAAGCACTGCATGGCAGTGTGTGCAGGGTTAAGGGAAGGGAAACAATTGCATTGTGAACTGATTCTGGTGCCTCCTGGGTCAGAACTAAGGTTGAACTCACAGCAGAGCTAGTGACAAATGACCTGGGAGGTGTGCAGCAGGGCTGGGCTCTGCAGAAGCCTTCCTGTACCTTCAATGAATTCCCACTATGTTTGAAATGCACTTGTGTTTGCTGTTACACTGCACATTAAGTGCTTCCCAAGGGTGCAGGGTGCTCAGGAACAGAGCACGTTCCTCTTTCAGGGACGCCCATGGAATTACACACAGCACAGGGACTCCTGCTTTAGCAGAGAACTGGCTGACATGCTCCACATAGTCAGAAAACAGACGCTTGAGCACAGGGGACAAATACCCAGACAAAAGAGGAAATCCACACAGAATTGCGTCACTTTATTGTGTTTGCCTGGACTGTGGTGCGTGTGGCACCCAGGTGCAGCTGTGCAGAAAGCCTGAGGATGCAGCATGCAGTGTCCAGGTGGGAGCTCCTTCCTTTGGCTGCAGGCAGCAGCAGGCACTACTTGTGTAAAGGGCACTTAAATGGCAGCCCAGGGAGGGAAGGCAGACAGATGGACACAAAAATATACTTCCTTTAGGCAACACCAGCTCTGTTAGGGGATGCTCTTCTGAGTGGAATGACTAGAATTGTTCTTCTAAGCCTTCTGATGTTTACATTCTTGTAATGAACCTTCTCACACATTTTTCTGTAGATAATTATTGTTTTGCATTCTGTTCTGGAGAAGGAGAATTTGATGGACTGTTGGTTTGTTGCCTGAAGAGGCCAGGAAGGGGTAAATGAGTTTGTTTTCATTTGTTTCTGGACCCTATTTCAAATTTTTTCTAACCCAGTACTCTAAATTGTTGTAATCTCTTTCTCTGTCCACCAGCAATTACTCTCAGATGCCATCTCTCTGAGGGAGCCAAACAAAGCCCCAGGGCTGGACATCAGACATGTTTCTCTTTCCAACACTTCCCCTGATAAATGGATGCTGGGAACAGTGTAAGAGAAAAGGATTCAACCTCTCTTGCTTTGCATTATCACTAAAAATTAAACTAACAGTATTGACAGCCAAGCTAGAGCCCCTCTGTGGTAAACAATGTTATCATTTTATAAATGCAAGAAGCCAAGGTTCTCACTGCAGGTCGTGGAAACAGCTGAGCACGGGGCTCTGGGTTTCCCTGGTATGTTTTGAGACACGGGGTGTGTGGCTTTCTTTATTCTTTTCTTCCCACTCTAACTTGCAGAAAATATATTTAAGGAATCCCTTCAAGTTAAGGAGTGCCCAGTCAGGGGAGCAGGTAGGAGAGATGACTCAGGCTGGGTGCTAGGCACTAGAGACTAACAGAGGAGCTCTGCAGGACCTTTGGGTGATCTCCTGTCTGCCAGAGAACGCCAGTGCACATGGTGAGGTGCATTCCCAAATTCATTCACATTTTTGCACAGTCCTCTTGAGGAAGGACGGGCGGTGGCTCCTGGCACCTCGCACACACGCTCCTATGCAGGAAGGCCGAATGCTCTACAGGCAGCAGCAGCACCATGCAGAAACCATCCAGAGGCTGGGGGATGGATGCTCTGAGGGAGGTGAACTGCAGCATGCAGGTCCTGCTGAGCAGGGCTATGGCTCCAGGGTCACGCTGCTGCCGGTGACGCGGGCGCCGTACCAGCCCTGCCAGAACAGCGTGTCCTGCCCGCCGTGCTCGAAGCGCACAAAGCGCACCCCGGGCCCGTAGCTGCAGAACGTGTGAGAGATCTGTGGGACAAGGGACAAAATGGTTGTTAGGAAGTGTCAGACCACCACAAACTGATCATTGTTCAGTGCACAGAGCCTTCAGCCCCATTGGGCACAGGCAGACCTGCCAGGCTGGGTAACAGTGGGGGAATTTACAGTGGGAGAAGTTTTGATCCCATTGTTGGGGAATTCACAGTCGGAGAAGCTTTGATCCCATTGTTCTGAGGGCACTGAATCACTCCAGGTTGGACATTGTGTGCCCAGTTGTGGCCCCTCAGTTCAGGAAAGACATTGGGATGCTTGAGTGCATCCAGAGGAGGCAACGAGGCTGGAGAGGGGCTGGGAACACAAACCCTGTGAGGAACCACTGAGGGAGCTGGGGGTGCTCAGCCTGGAGAAAAGGAGACTCAGGGGTGACCTTATCACTCTCTACAACTCCTGAAAGGTGCCTGTGCTCAGGTGGGGCTGGGCTCTTTCTCCAGGCAGCACTGACAGAACCAGAGCACACAGCCTCAAGCTGCTTCAAGAGAAATATAGGTTGGATATTAGGGAAAGTTTTTTTACAGAAAGGTGATAAAGTTCTGGAATGGCTGCCTGGGGATGTGGTGGAGTCACCATCCCTGGGTGTGTTTAACAAAGCCTGGATGTGGCACTGGGTGCCAGGGTTTAGTTGAGGTGTCAGGGAACAGTTTGGACTCGATGATCTTCAAGGTCTCTTCCAACCTTGTGATTCTGTGACATCTCCTGCACCTTACACCTGCTAGTGGTGACTCGGCAAGTTTCCCATAAAGCAGCCTCCCTTTTCCTTTTCCAATCACAGGATCATGGCTCCAGAGAACATATGACAGAGCCTTCTCCTCCCCTTGGAAAATTCTGCTTTAAAATACTCCTGATTCATGTAGGTTGGGGTGTCACCTGCTGAGCCCGTACCTGTAACTCACCTCAGTCCAGCCGCCATCATTTCCCTCTGGGATGGTGACAGTGTCACTTTTGTACTCAGCCAGCACATCCTCATCCTCAGAGAGCAGCTTCACACACAGCTCATAGAGGCAGCCAGCATCACTACGTCCTGCATACCTGCAGGGAGAGCCCAGGTGTTGGCATTACCTGTAAGAGCTCTGCAAAGGCTCCACCACGCTCACCAGGTTACTGCAGCCTTGCTTTGAGATGGAAATCTGCAATGGTTCTGCGCCCAGCCCACCAGCCACCCTCACTGACCACAGGAACCTGAGCTTGGGAGTTCATGTGCTCCAAAAGTTTAAAGCCTGTGGGAGCTGCCTGTGAGCCCTGCCCCACATCCAGGGTCCTGGGAGCTGAAGCTTTATGGCCAAATATATTTATTTATTTATATAATTTTAATATAATTTATATATATATATAATATAAATTTATATAATTTTACATATATAATATAGTTATGTAGTTATGTATATTTATATTTTAATATTTTATATCTATTTTACATATAGTTTTATGTATTCTAATATATTTTTATATTTTTTATAGATTTATATATAAAATGTATTTTTTATTTCTAAGTATTTTAATATATTTTAATCTATTTTTAATAATTTTTCTATTTATAGATTTATATAAATCATATATATATTTATTTATATAATTATATATATATAATTTATACACAGTTATATAATTTTACATACATAATATAGTTATATACCTATGTGTATGTATATTTTTATATCTATTTTTTATATAGTTTTATATATTTTAATATAATTTTATATATATTGTCTATATAAAATGTATTTTTATATATATTGTCTATATAAAATATATTTTTATATTTTAAAATATTTTAATATATTTTAATATTTTTATAAATTTTATATTTATAGATTTATATATCATATATATAATTTATATATATATAATTTTTATATATTTATATAATTTTACATATATATAGTCTAGTTATATACTTATGTGTATTTATATTTTTATATCTATTTTATATATAGTTTTATATATTTTATGTATATTTTCATATATATTTTACATCTTTATATGTGAAAGATGTATTTTTATATTTTTAAATATTTTTAATATTTTTATCTCTTTTTTATATTTTTTATTTATAGATTTATATATTTTTTTAATGTACATATATATATATAAGGTCTATGCCCTCCCTCTCTTCCTTATCTTTCTTAACCCTCTGCCTGTCCTCAGAGCCTTCCTCAATACTTACCAGTCTCTTACCATGATTTTAGGCTGGGTTGTATCCATCAGCTCTTCCCAGTAGCCCTCAGCCCTAAGGTCAATGACCTGAGCCTTTCGACACCACCTGAAACAAAAGATGCCAACTGGGGCCACATTCCCTCCTGGGAGAACCAAAAATGCCCCCCTTCCTGAGGGAGAGAAGAAAGCAGCCTTACTCATAAGATGTGACAAAGTATTTATGGACTTCTTCACTAGGAAATTCTTTTCCAAAGTCCCCTGGGAGCTCTTCAATTTTCCAGCCATCACCTCCATTCTCTACCTCTCCCCAGTGCTCCAAGCCTTCTGCAAATGGCAGAAAAGAGACTTGGATGAGTCCTGTGGATGTGGGGAACTTGACCATCTCCCACTGGAACCTTCCTTTGGCTTGAGAAAGTTTGATATTAGACACAGCACTGATTTTATATGTAGACTATGGAGATGTTTGTTAAATAGAGGTCAGGCAAAAACCTTCAGCCTGACTAATCACACCAAACTTTAACATTCCCAAAAAGTGGCTGTGTATGTGTGGGTCTAAGAAAGTACTCCAGGGAAAGAATTTAGTTATTCTGAAGTGTCACCCTTTTCAGTGTCACAGCACACAAAGCCTCGGGGGACAGGTGCTGATTGCTTTGTTTCTAAGTTTTCTAAAGCACTAAGTGATATTTTCTGAAGCAGAAGACCTTAAACATCAGGGTTTTCAAAAGGCAAACCTGGATGTTGGAAAAGCTTGCAGAAGGTCGCTTGTAACAAAATGGGGAAGCTGTGTTGGTGCTGCTTTGGTCTGTGATGTGTGAAATTGTTGCTGCTTGGGTTGTGAGGCTTGGTTACTGCTGTTTATTGCCAAGCAGCTTACAGCTCTGGCAAGTTAAGGTCACAGATTCAGAATGATGGCACATGGGGTGTGTGCCCAGTCGCTGGGCTGAGGTGAGGAGGGTAAAAACATGATTGGCCTGAGCTGCTCCAAGGAGAGAAGCCTGAGGGCTTGGTGAGCTGAGGGCAGACTCACCCCTGAGCTGGGAAAGGCTTCATCTCTCCTGTCATGGCTTGGCAAGAAGCAATACAGAAACAAATGCCACAGCCATTACTGTGCTGGATGGTTTCTACAAAGGACATCTCTGTATCTCAAACATGATTTAGATCCTTGTAGAGGTTAGATAAAGTGAATGTTATGTAAAAGCCCTTTGCAAAGGCTGATTATCAAGGGGTTTTGTGCTCATCAAATGATTTGGCTGCACAGATTGAGTGACTTGACTCTTGGCAAGGAGAAAATTCTGCAACATGACAGCAACTAAGATATATTTTCAAAGACCAGACATACACAATTCTCAGTGTTTGGTCACCCCTCTGACACCCTGAAACTTGTGGTGATGTCTCTCAAGGGCTGATTATCAAGGGCCTTTGTGCTCATTAAATGATTTGTCTGCATGGACTGAGTGACTTGACTCTTGGCAGGGAGAAAATTCTGCAACCTGACAGCAATCAAGAACTATTTTCAAAGACTAGATAAACACAATTCTCAGTGACTGGTCACCTCTCTGACACCTTGGAGCTTGTGATGTCCCTCACCTTCACCACAGGGGTTCTTGATGAGATTCCTCCTTTTCTTACTGAGGAAGTAGAAGCTTTGCCAGTTCTCCACATCTGACTCTGCTCTGGTGAGGCCTTCCTGCTGACACTTCAGGATCCACAGGGCAGCTCCATCCACCAGGTTCCTCCACTGGCAGCAGACCAGGCGGCACACCAGCACCAGCTCCACGGCAGGGAGGGAGGCCAGGATCCGGACCAGGACTGCTTCAGGGAGGGACTCCATCCCTGGGGCAGCTGGGCACAGCTGTCTGAGACAGGGTGGAAAGCAGTGGTCAGGGTTTCCCACCCTCAGCAATGCCAGACACTGATGCAGTAGGTAAAAAGGGGAAATGAATACGTTATCTGTCACAGACGTATTTTATAAAAAATACTTTCATTAGGATCTTTTCTCCTGAGAAGCTGAGAAGCCTTAGAGGAAAAGAAAAACAATAACTATCTGCTGCTGTGGGATGCAGCAGGTGCATCTGTGATTGGTCCATGCTGGTTTCTAATTAATGGCCAATCACAGTCAGCTGGCTCAGACTCTCTGACAGTCACGAGCTTTTGTTGTTCATTCTTTTCTATTCTTAGCTAGCCTTCTGATGAAATCCTTTCTTCTATTCTTTAGTATAGTTTAAGTATATCCTTTTCTTTTAATATAATATATATAATAAGATAATAAATCAGCCTTCTGAAACATGGAGTCAAGATTCTCATCTCTTCCCTTGTCCTGGGACCCCTGCAAACACCACCACAGTTATCTGAAGGCAGGATTTTTGATTCCTAGCCTCAAGGTCTCCTCTTCCTCATTACATTAACAGCCTGAAGCAGATTACTATTTGTACATACTAAGTAAAAGCCCTGAATTAAATCTGCCCACAAAATGTAAGTATTTGACCACTGAGTTTGTTCATTTTCCAGGCTGGACTCAGTCCTTCCAGAATCTCTGCTGCTGCAAAAATCAGCTTCCTAGTAATGATTTTCTCTGCAGAGGAAAGCACAGGGGTGCTTGTTCTGCCTTTAAGAACATCCCTGATAACAAATGCTGCAAAGCAGTACTCAAATATCAGTGTTAAGCTTCTTGCCAGCCACCTTTGCAGTGGCTCATTCCATATCTGACAGCCTTCCCCTCAGAGTGCTGGCACTTAATCAGAAGCCTGTATAAAGTAAAGGTCTGAGTATAACTGAAAATAACTCAGCTGATATTCTCTAATATTCTAATGTCTATGGCCTCATTATTGGAGGAATAAAGTCAGAAGCGTTTGCTCTAACTTCATGTGCTAATTCTGAACTCCAAGCAGCTCTCTGCTGCCCTGAGGCCCCAGGTGCAGGTGCTGCAGGACTGTGGAAGGATGAGTGTGCAGATTCAGAGCCCATGGCATCCGTGAGGGATGCACTGTGACACTGCTTTGATGTCAGCTGAGTCCTGATGCTGGGAAATGGCTGAGATTGCAGCAAACTGCATGGATGCAGCCAAACTCCTCAGGAATGACTCACTGAGTCTAGGAGAGCACAAAGAACAGAGGTGAAATACCCTGGCATTCAACTAAACAAAATACAGCAGTGCCAAACCTGGTAAGGAAGGGAAGAAACTGGGAGTCACTGCTGTAACAGCATCCTACATTTCAGATGTGCCCTCTATCTGCACTGCATCCAGCAAACTGTAATTTAAAACTCCCAGACAGCATTAGTGATTTCTTATTCTCCCCACACTTCCAACCCTCAACCACAGTCCTGAAGGCCAAAAAGTAATATTTTAGAAGCAGGCGGGAGGGATCAGGCTGGTTTCATCTCGCAGAGGAATTTCAGAAGCCCCTCCTGCTCCCTGCGTGCTGATAGAGCACTGTTAGCCAGGCTTCCTCCGGCACTCGGAGAGGGACGGAGGCACCTTTCCCTTTCCCCTTTTTCTTTTCTTTTTCCCCTTCTTCTTTTCCTTTTTCCTTTCCCACCCCAGCTAAGCACCCAAACCGGCAAGGCTTTGCATCCCTTGACACGCTCCGGGCAGCGCTCATCCCCTGATGAGTTCGGGGCACACGCGTGTCCCTCCTCTTTCCTCAGCCCGGGAAACCCGCGGAGGCTCAGGGGGGACACCGAGCGCTCTTACCTGAGCCGCAGGAGCCGCTCCGAGCTGGGCTGCACCGAGCACGGCTCACGGGGCTGGGGCGCCGGTCAGAGAGAACCGGGACCGGTCAGAGAGAACGGCACCTGCCCCGCGGCCCCGCCCTGTTCCGCCCAAACGTGGTTCCGCCCCGCCCCAAGCCGGCGGCCCCGCCCCAAAGCAGCTCTGCCCTAAAGCAGCCCCGCCCAAATGCAGCCCCGCCCCAAAGCAGCTCTGCCCTAAAGCAGCTCCGCCCAAACGCAGCCCCGCCCCGGCGGCCCCGCACATCCGCGTCCGGAGGCGCCGATGGGCGGAGCCAGGTGGGACCGAGCACCGGGGATCGGGCCCGGGGGTGGCGGCGGGAGCGGGCCGGGGGCCGGGCGGGCTCTCCGCGGTGCTGTTACTCACGAGAGGAAACTGCCTTCCCCTCCGGCAGCTCGGCCCGTCGCGCCGCGGATCTGCCCTCGCCCTCCCGCGGGCCGCGGCCTGCCATGACCAGCATCGGGGACCTGCCCGAGGACGTGCTGGTGGAGCTGCTGTCGCTGCTGCCCGCCCGGGAGCTGCTCCGCACCTGCCGCCTGGTGTGCTCGCAGTGGCGCTACGTGGTGGACCTGAACACGCTGTGGAAGCGCAAGTGCCAGCGCGACGGGTTTTATCGTCAGAGCTATGACAGGAGCATCTCGGACTGGAAGATCTTCTATATGCTCTGCCACATGAAGAAAAACTTACTCAAAAACCCTCGTGCTGAAGGTTGGTTTCGTTATTTATAATAAAGGGCTAAGAGTTTCCGAGCAGTCTAAATGAGTCATGCCTCAACTTCTGCTTGTGCTGTGGGACTGTCCAGCTATTGGGTTTAGCTCTGCTAGGTCAGATTTATAGCTCAGCTCCTGCAGTAAAACTGCTGTAGATAGATGGATATGTATTTACCAATACTTTGTGGTTTTAGCCAGAAAAATCTGGAGTCATAAGGCCCCAGTACAACAGGCAGTGACAATTAATTTGCACTGCAAGTACTAGTGAAACGATCAGGGATTGGGATTAAACATTTAGGCAGCTGGAGAACTTTTGTTACCAAAGACTTGACTAATATAACTACAGTATTCCTACTTTATTGCTGCTGCTGATTTTCTGATGAGGTCAGAAATCTGCTGCCTGCTGTCCTGGATGCTGACATCCACATAAAGGTAATGACAGCATAATGACAGGAGTCACTTACAGTTGTAGGAAAAATACAGTGAATTTGAAAACATCAAGTAGCTTTGAAGTATTCTCCTGTTGCTGATTCTAACAAAAGCTGAGATGCTGCTGTTAGCTGAAGTGAGGTTCTAACCCTCACCTTGGACACCTGTGTTTTTAGAGAACTTCCAGCACTGGACAATTGATGCCAATGAAGGAGATAAGTGGAAAATTGAGGATCTGCCTGGAGCTCATGGAAGTCATATGTCAGACCCCAGAGTACAAAAATACTTTGTCACTTCATATGGGTAAGAACTGGATTCCAGTAATGTGGAACTGGGAAACTGCTTCCTCCCACCTGTCTGAAAAGGCACCACGGTTAGAAGGCTGGTGGCAGGTCCTGAACTTTAGATCACCTGAGGGAAAAGGAAGGAGCTTCATTAACCCTTTATACCAGTTAATCTAAAGAGGTGGGTCCTGCTGAGAGATTTGATCACAGCAGGTGCTAAATTTCTCTGCCTAGCAGGAACTTCCTGTAATTTTTATAGTTAGGATAATCCACATGGGGTCCCTGCTTCTCCTCTCCCAAAGGTAGTAGAGAAAGGTTGATTGAGAAACTCAGTCTGTACTTACATGACAAGGTCAAAGCTCTGTAAGCTTCAGGAGCGGTGGGTGTGTCACACAAACAACTTGTAATAAAAGCTGTCACCAGAGGAGGATCAACAGCTTTTACAAGCACTAGGCACTGGTTTCCTGTTACCAATACAAAGACCCCTCTTAATCCAGCTTGTAGGTAACTATTCTCTTTATCTTGGGGTGAAGCTAATTCAGTTCATTTTCTTGTCAGGCTATGGATAAGGCAGGGTTTAGCCAGGTCAGCTTTGTGGGCCTTCAGGATCTGGGTGGGTATTAAAGCTGTCAGGGAAAGGACAGCAAGAGAAAAGTGTTCTGTAGAACTGGGAGTATTTCTATGTCTGTTTCAGGCCATGCTTCAAGTCTCAAATCATTACCCTGGATAAAGAAGGCTACTGGAATCAGCTGATGGATGAGATACGGCCTGAAATTACAGTCAAGGACTGGTGAGTGGAAGCACTGAAAAGTAGAATTTCTAGCATTGGTCTAGAGGTAAGCTAGGCTTCTGGAGCTTTTCATGCCATAAAATCAGTTCTTTATTCTTTGGGAGTTCTTGACTGAAGAAGAAGCTAAATCTAAATTTACTCAATGGACTACACGGTGGCAATCCTGTGAAGGGTGGGATAGCTGTAACTTCCACAACTTCTCTATAGCTATGGGGATGACACTCCTTTACTCCTTTTCCTCTGCAGACAGGGATCCCCTTGGAGACTGCTTTTGAAAAATAAAGGCCACTGAATGCTGTGTATACAGCCCTGCTCCTTGATTCCTCCTGCCCCTCCAGGTACGCTGCCAGGTTTGACTGCGGGTGTCGCTACGAGCTCACCGTGAGGCTGCTCTCCAAGGACTGGATCTGCCTGCAGGAATTCCATCCTGAGCCAGTGGTCATTGAGCAGTGGAGTGATGCCCAGTGGAGAGAGGTGAGCAGCAGCCAGGGAGGCAGGAGCTTTACAGCAGTCTTGTGACACTGGTGTGTTGCAAGTCTTACTTGGCCAAAAGTGCCAGTGGACTTTCTCTGCTCTTCAGCCTCCTCTGCTCTTGCTGTTGATGATGCTGAAGAAGCAGTAGCGTCCTGAATGAGACAGCTAATATTTTTAGGTGCCCAGCATTTTCTATAGAGTATCCTGCGGGCTTCTGTGTTGTTTTAATGCAGTGTTTTAATTGTTTCTTGGTTTTATGTAAGATTCTGTTTAAATAATTAAATAACGAGCAGATTTCAGGGCTTTTTTTGATCAAAAAACTGCTATTTAAAAATAGCCAATTATTGCAGACTTAACTTTTCTTAAACTGTTACAGGTGTTTAACTGGTTTGATTTGCATTCTGCAAATTAGATGTTTGCAGACTTAACTTTTCTTAAACTGTTACAGGTGATTACCTGGTTTGATTTGCTGTACATTCTGCATTAGAAGTTACTTATACATGCATTTAAAAATCAAGCTTAATGTTAGTGTTACAGTTTGACGCTGGCACAATGCCAGTGCTCTGAAATTAAGGTTTATCTTTTATAGATGGGATAGCTTAGTTAGCTTAACACAGGTAGGATTCTGGGGAGAAGGCTGAGTGAGAAAAGCTGCTTTGCTCCCCCTGCTGCCCCCTCCTCCCCAAAAACAGGGTATGGTGCACTTTCAATGAAAGCTATCTAGGCTCAGGAAGAGCTCATTCTAAGATTCACACACTGTAGTTTTCTGAGCTTCTAGGTGAACACTGATTTATTCAGGCAAATTAAAGAGGAATTCTCTTTTCTGTGCAGATTTCTCACACCTTCCAGAATTACCCAGCAGGAGTTCGTCACATCTGGTTCCAGCACGGAGGCCAGGACACCCAGTACTGGGCAGGCTGGTATGGGGTGCGTGTGACAAACAGCAGCATCACCATTGGGCCCCCCAGCTCACTGTGAGGCACTCTGGAAGGGTTTGCTTTTACCTCAGGACTGGAACCAAGTGGCCTCAGGTGCACTGTCTGCCTGTTCTGTCTGGGTGTGTCCTAGCTTTGTCTTGCAGCTCATATTCACAGTAGAATTCAGCAGGCCCAGCCTTTTGGGAGGGTGTTCTGTCTTCATCTTCCATATTCTTCTACCATGGATGCTACTCCAGTTACTGGTGCCCTTCCAGAGAAAAACTGGGACAATTAAATATGAGATCTATCTTTTCTAGTTAATACATTATTATGCTAACACACAGAGACTTAAAGACACTTTCATGTTTATGGAATATAGGAAAGATAAGGCTAAAATGCTTAATTTCAGATTATAAATGGTATCTACAAGGACTCTGCCACAGCTTGTATGGTATTTTCTTTCCTGTTTCAGATTTATGATCTGCATCAGACCTTTCATAGCATCAGGAAACTGTCACCCCTTGTCCCTAAGTGCTGTGTCACTGGTAGTGAATTCCTTACCCTTTCTCTAAGTGTGTATGATCAAAACGATCCAAAACAGTCCCTTGGTGTTTGAATAAACAGGTAGGGAAAGAGGAGGTAAGAAGTCCCTTCAGGCAGCTGCCTAACAACACAAGTGCCTTTTGATTGTGCTGGGCTTTTCCCACATCACCTTTGGTTTATACTGAGCAGTGTAACCCAATATAAAATGTTAAAGCAGTGCCCAGACTTGATCTATAATGTTCCTACACTTGTTCCTTGGAGGAAGCAGGAGGTGCTGGACAGGCTAGTGTACCAAATTCTCTGACAAACAAGCTCAGCTTGTCTGAACTGTGTCTCCCACCCTTATATACCCAGAGCTGATGTTACGGCCATGTTCTATCTCCTCTGACAGCTGTAGGATTATTAGTGCTTTCCTTGCTTATTCTCAGTTAGGAGTAGGATACTTGGCAGGTGTCCTTGCTGGACAGACAAATTCCACATTGTTAATGGCAACTCTGAGTGAAAGGGGAGAGACCAAGGTTGTACAGCCTTTCGTAGGAACTGAGAGTCCACATACAGGCCAGAAAAGAAAATAAAAATACTTCTTTGCTGAAGAAGGGAGCCTGGTTTTGACAGAACTCAGCCCAGTTCAACTGGGGTAAAACTTGGTATTTATTGAAGACTGCTTGGGATGGTCACAGTGGACAGACACTACATAAGGCCTCACTCCCCCTTAGCACAAGTGTTGCTCTCATGGACTGTGTGACAGCTCCTAGCTGTCTGTCACTGCCTGTGTGCAATGGAGCTGCCCTTTCCAGGTGAGAACTGGACTGGTAATAAAGCACTGACTCCCCAGGGATGCACTGCATCAACACCTGTGCTCTCACACAAGTCAAGATGGGAACAGGCTCTGGCTCCCCATTCCAAGTCAGTTCTTTATACAGTGGTAAGAGCACTTGAAATAAAGAGGCAGCAGCTGCTCTACATTCACCCAGAAGGCCAGCTGAAGAGATGGTTATCAAGATACAGTTTGTGACAGATCTTACTCCACTGGAAGATCAGATGAAGCTTGAAGGCAAGGAAGATTTGAAATCAGGTGCCTTTGTGAGCTCGCTCTTCTACGTAGAGCTGCATCTGGAGAGAGAAACAAGCAACAGTCCTGTTGGTATACAGGTAGGTGAAGGGGGGAAAAAAGCCTGCAACAGGCTGAATAGTAAGTGCTCATACCTTCCCCCATAACCAGGTTTCCTATTTTACTATGAGGAGTCTTGCCCTGCTTTGATTACTGGCACAGACATCTGCAAGACTAAGCTACAGCTCAGCAGTATGTTTTAGAGTTGTTACACCACAGAAAACTGCAGAGCTGATGTCAGAGCACTCACAGTTCAGAACCAGAGCAGGTTCAGCACCTCTTGGTCAGCATGCCCTGCTCACCTTTAGGATGTCAGATGTCATGGTTTTCAGGGGAATGAGCCGGGGGTCGTGCATGTGCACGTCCTGCTCGTCAGCGAGGATCCAGGGGAAATCCTGGGGGCAGGAACACAAGGAGGTGTCACTGGCAGAACCCAGCAGTGCTATGAGGGGAGCTCCTCCTCAGCACTTAAGTTGAAAGAGGGACAAGAGTGGCTGAGGGAAGAACAGGTAATTCAAACCATCCCCTACAACAAAACTTAACATTTACACGCTTGTCCCTGATGCTCAGCATAATTGTCTTCAGTTACAGCATCAAACTGTGAGGTGAATCCACTGCATTTACTGCAAAGGTGACATCTCACTTCTTTTAAAGATACACTCTCTGCTGTCCTGAGCTACCATGCCCAGTTTATTACACCAAGATTTAACTGCAACTCCAGAATGCTTAGGGCATGGGTTTCCATCCTGCCCTGCAAATCTAAAGGTGGGTCTACTACACGACAAGTTTCCATTACTGAGCAGTGCAGAACAGACTTTCATTTTGAAACAATTTTATACTTTGCTAGCTTTATTTGTTGTGCCTTAGGACAGCTAAAATAACTTGACTCAGGAAAAAAGTTTCCCTGTATCTAAGCAAGGATTCTTTAAAAATAATCTTGCTTTAGAAAGTGTTCTGCACACAGTTTCTTGTAAGATACAATGTATTTGTGCCCCCAAACGTACTCATTACTTTAACCTTAGTCTTTCTTGCTCTTTATACAAAAGTGGATGGTGGGTGAGGGCTGCTTTTCTGCTTGATTTAATTAAAGTACTTATTCTACATGCCTGAGTATTTCTAAGTGTCTGAGCAAGCACTGGACGGTGAGCATTGTTACAATCTATTTCAAGACTTGAAGCTGTATTGTTACAATCTATTTCAATTGAAGTTGTCGGCAGTGGTGGCTGTGAGTGGAAAATGTGCTGTCAGCTCACCAGCATTTACAATTTCACTACATTTCAAGTACAGTTATGATGTGCCTCATGTGACACCAATCTATATGTTCAAAATATCTCTCAGCCTTAACCTTAAAGATGCCAAAAACTCTGCAGTGCCCAGTCTTTGCTGTGCAGCTTCTCACACACAATCAGGTGCCCGAGGATATCACTCACCTTTATCACCTGGATCTTTTCCATGTTGCGTGTGGCCGCCTCCCGTGTGTGAACCAGAACTGTGAAGGTGCAACCTAAGGGAAGTGTCAGGTTCCAGCTCAGGGCACAGCTCCCAGAGGATCAGCCAAGCCAAGCAATGCCAGGCATGAGGCTGTCTGCATCCAGGTGACATTTACCTGGGGGGTTGTTGTCCAGCACAGCATCACACACGCTGATTTTCAGGATGAAGGCACGCAGTAACTGCTCCACGTGGGACAGCAGGGACTCAGAACTGTGGAGGAGACAGAACTTGTTACTGGCATGCAGCAAAGGCCTGGAGTTGTTCCCAGAATGTCTCCCAGGGCTGGGTGTTGGATGCCAGGGGCAAACAGGAGGGGAAAGCTCACCTAATGGAAAGAAGGGGGGGCTGGGTGATCTCAAAGACAAATCTCTCCACGGGGTGGTGCTCTTTATCCAGAATTACAACCACGACTTTCTCCACATCGTTCTGCAGGAACCAAGATAGAAAAATCCCTTCCTTAATATGAGCTGTCCACAGTGTGCTTCACATTCTTTGATACAGTGGAGTACACTCAGTTGTTGGGACCCACAGCACAAGCCCTTATCCAAAACCTGATTTCAGATTATTCTTAGCAATCAGAAAAAAAAAAGCTTTTGCAAAACCATTTCTTGCTGGGTGTTAAGCTGCCAGCTTGTGGCTGAGGCTGAGGGAGATGAAGTGTGCTAAATTGTATGTTCCTCTAGGTCCTGTTTTGGAACAAAGGAGGAAATGCACAGCCTGATTGACACTGATGGAGTTAAGACCATTGTCCAAACAGAGCAGCTTTGTACAACCCCAATTTAGAACAGACCTAATTCCATTTTCTACATGTGCATTAAAATTATCTGCAAAAAGCAAGGCATAGCAAACCTGCCTGGAATGTTTCATTGGTCACATCCTTCTCTCACAAAACCTGGAGTCCAGGCCTACCTTTGCTTCCTGGTTCTCAGCAAAGCATTCAAACTGTTCTGCCACAACAGGTGCTTAAACTCAGATGGATTGTAAAGCAGAATGCTGGGTGATGTAACTGGAAATATACAGACATGTGTCCTTGTGTGCTATATGAGACAAGGCAGGGTCTTGTCAGGAAGGTTATGATGTTTTTAGTTTTGTTAGGAACTTTTATCAGCTAGTATATTGTGTATGGTAAATTTGTAAACAAATGTGGCAGTTAATATAATATTTATGTTCTCTCACTTTCTATTAAATCCGCTTGCAGTACTTTTGCCTGGGTCTGAGCTCACCTTCTCCAGCAGAGGCTTCACACAGTGCAGCGTGTCCTGGATGTACTGGTTCAGCTCTGGGTGGCAGGACATCTGCAGCAAACACAGGGAAGAGTCAGAGCTGTGTTGGACATGAGCCAGGACAATGCTAAAATGGAAGATTTAAACAGAAGCACCAGTGTGTACAAAGCATTCAAGTCATGATTCAAATAGTGCTGGAAAATGCTGAGTTGCCCATTGAAATCAGCAATTCTTTCAGGGAAGGGTTAACCAGCTGGGGCACATCACTGCACCCAAGCAGTTGTTGTGTATCTGGAATGGATACCCAGAACAGCACGTTGGGAATAGCATATTCCAACCATCCCTAATTCCTAGTGAACATCATTCCTGTTACCTCCCTGCACAGAGCTGGGGCAGCCTTCACTGCTGTTATCCATGAGCTGCTTGTCCCATGAGCACTTTTTATGTCCTCTCTTATGACAGAAACTAAGCTCTCCTCAAAAATAAATCCATTTAACAATCACTTTGCAAAGTGTAAGTTTTTTCTGCTGAGTGTTGATTGATCCTTGATATTTTGTTTGTCCACCTGGCTGTCAGCTTCCAGGAAAATCTCCTACCTGGACAGGTACATTGTATTTTTTCCTCTTCTGAAAGATCCCAATAGGGTAAACTTCTCTGACATACAAGATGAGGTGAACAGCCACTTCCAGGAATTCTGAAAGAACATCTGCAACAACTGAAAAACAGAAGTAAAGGATGCTGGAATAGGGTGTGGGAAAGTAGAGCAATACCAGAGACTCAGGGGACCTTTTTTACAGGTTATTTTTTTCTGCATAAATTTCACCTGCCTCCTCTTACCTGCAGAAAGTTTAGGGACAGAGCAACCCTACAACACTCCCCCAAGAGGAGCCTCACAAGGACACCAGGTGCAGCTTGGTACAACACATTACCTTGCCCAAAGTTAAGGTCCTGCCGTGTGAGAGTGGTCATCTTCCCCAGGCCCTGGAAATAAGCACAAAAGGAATGGTTATCCTCTGGCTCCTGTATTATTCATCTAGTCAGATCATGGAGCTAAACCCTATAAACCCAGCACATCCTCAGGGATTACCAGCAGTGCACAAACCAGAGCTCACAGCTCAGGATGAGAAATTATCCATCATTTAATCCCTGGGATTTTCAGTCTCTCTCCCTTTCTGGGATACAGGAAAGTTCAGACAAATACTTTTTAGTAACACAAGAAACATTTTTTTTTTAAAGCTTCATAGTATTTGCCTTTTCTAAGCCCTATCTCTTACTATAACACAAGAACTTCTCAGGGTTTTGGGTTTATTCTGTTATTTGCGTTTATTCTGTTCTATTATTTCACCTCCATGAACCATTGCATGTCCAAGCTTGGAGCTGCATCTTCCACTGACACACCATCACACAGGTTCTCATCTGCTGCCACTGCCAACACCTTCTGAGTTTCCCTCTGCAGTCCCAAGGAACCCAAACCCTGCAGAGCTGCATAATTAAGTCAACTTTGTGACACAGGATTATGGAATTCCTCAGGCTGGAAGGCACCTATAAGGATCATGGAGTTCAACTCCCTGCTCCTCACAGGACCACCAAAAGCTAAACTATGTGATTTAGAGCATCATTCAGCTGCTCCTTGAACTCTGACAGGCTTGGGCTGTGATTGCATCCCTGGGGAGCCTGAAATTTGTGAGCAACAAAGGGCAGCACATTATTGTGACAAACTGACAATCAAAGAGCAGATGCTGGAGTTCAGGTTCCCAACAGCTTTCCCTGCATAGCAGACTCCATGCCTTATATAATTTATGTCACATTGTGTACATAATTATCTATTAGAAACTTTATTTTGTTTAATTATTTTACCTCTGCAAGCCAACAAATTGTAACCACTAACAGCAGCACCATTCATGAACTGTAGAGGTCTTTAAATGCCTCTGGAGCACTCTGGCTCCACCAGTAACTCAAGTTTTCTACAAAGACTTTTGACAAAGCACAGATGTTCCAATAAGTTCTATAGACATTCATTTTCAAGCTGTTTCAGCTGCAATAAAATGTTTTCAGACCTACAAAGAATTAGTTCAACCTGCACAAAACAGGGAGCTGCTTTCAGCCCCAGTTTTTAAAACAGAGTTGTACCCTTGTATACAAGGACTTGCTGGAATATTAGTGATCACTAAATACAATTAAGATAGTTAACAATCTCTCTGGCACCCCAGCCACAGTGGCTCTCAAATTAGTACAAAACACCTAAAGAGTATCATAAACAATCTGTGTTTTGAGGTTCAGCCACAGGACACCTAAATCTTTCAGAGAAAGAGAATTTATTGCTCCCTTATCAGAAGAAACTAACTTCTACCTGCCTCACTCAGCCCTGAAGATGCTGTCAGGATTCAGAGGAAGAAGCTGACACTGCCCAGACAGAATTCTGTGTTCGAATGGAATTTCTGCATCATGTATGAGGTGTATGAATATGCAACAGGCTGTTGCTTTTGAGGGTTAATCCTCTGTTAACGTGGGTCCTTTTTCGGGCTTATTTTGCCCAGAAAAAGGTACCTGGACTGTCCATAACACTTTGTTCCTATTATCTCATATCGTCCTAAATCCTAATTGTCCAACTTTTTATTACTCTGATTATATTACTATTTTTATACCCATTTTATTACTATTAAACTTTTAACATTTTAAAAACAAGTGATAAGGAATATCATGTAAGTATAACCCAGCGCCCTCCCCGTGCCTATCACGGGAGCTCCGCACCAGCCCAGAGAGCGCGCACAGGCCGCTCCAGCAGCCCGGACGTGCCGTGCCCGCTCCGGGGCTCCGGTCACCGCCGCTCCCTCACCCGGGCTCCCCTCACCGCCACTGCCCTCATGGGGGCTCCGGTCACCACCGCTCCCTTACCCGAGCTCCCGTTACCGCCGCTCCCTCACCCGGGCTCCCCTCACCGCCACTCCCTCGCCGCCACTCCTCGTCTCAACCGCACGGCACCGCCTTTCCTCAGCCTGGGAACCGAGCCTGGCAACCGCCCGTCTGCCGCTGCTCCCTCCCGGAACGGGGCTCCTCGCACGGCTCCACTGCCGCGCAGCGCCCCGCCTCAGCACGGCCACCTTCCCCCGTGTGTCCCCGTGTCCGCCCGGCGCTGCTCCCCGCCCCGCTGTCTCCCTCCCGCTGTTCCCGCTCCGTACCGGGCCCGCCGCCCCTCACGGCGCTCAGCGCGGGAAGCGGCGGCGGCAGCGCCTGCGGATGACGCCATGGCGGGGGCGGCAGCAGCGCCCCCCGGCGGGCGGGAGGAGCGGGCGCGGGCCGGTCCCGCTGCCCCGCGGGGTCCCGGCACGGCCGCGGCTCCCCGGGCACGGCGGGGCCGGGGCTCGGTGCACAGAGCGGGGCACGCTCAGCCCCCAGCGGCTCTCCCTCCCCGGGACCTTAACGCGGGGAAAGCCCGCGGGAGAGCGGAGCCCGCTGCACCGCACAGGTGAGCGGGGCTCACCCGCTCCCCGCCTCCCCGGGCTGCCACGCCTTTGTCTCCGGTCTTTGTCTGTCCCGTCCGTGCCCGGGGCAGGGAGCGCTGCTGCCACCAGCGCCCTGCGCTGTCGCACCCACCTCCTCCGTAGCACGCTGCCCCGGCATGGCCCGCACTCCTCCTGTGCCCCCCGCACGCCCAGAGCCCCTCCGCCCGTCGCAGCCCCACCTCCTCCGGCACCATGCACCCCAGTCCCCCGGGATTCCCCATGCCCCCGATTCCTCTCCACATTCCCCCACTGCCTTCCCCCTGTCTCCTCCTCCTCTTCCTCCTCCTCCTCCTCCTCCTCCTCTCCTTTCGGGTTTGAACACCCCCTGCCCCCCGCAGACCTGCCTCCCCTCCGCCGCTCGCACAGCTCTGCCCTGCCCTGCCCTGCCCGCCAGGCTCTCCGGACCGGCACCTCCGGACAGGTAAGCAGCGCTGCCCGCTCCGCCGAGCTGATTCGCCTCCGCTATCTCAGGGGCTGGGGAGGAATGGGGAGCACCTTCCCACTTTCCGTGCGCCCCGGAGCAGACAAAGACACGGGGGCTGGCGGGGATGCCCGGTCCTGCCCCGGCGGGATGCGCGGAGCTCCGGTTACGGCGGCATCGCTCCGCTCGGACAGCGCCGGGGCCGGGGCGCGGTGCCATCTGCCGGACCTATTGTCACCCGTGCTGGGGAGCGCGCTCCGGACTTTGCGGGTTTTACCACACGGGTCGGCTCCGTGCCCTGCGCCTCGCAGGGATGCGCGGTTCGGGCTCTGCGACTCAGGTCCCACCGCCCCGCTGTGGGTCACTCCTGCCAGATTCCTCCCCACATCACTCTGGGAGCAAAAGTCGCCTCGGACAGAGGCACCGTCCTTCTCTCAGGGCTTGAGCCCCTCGCACACACCCCAAAGGAACGTCCCGGCTCCGAGCCAGGGATGCCGAGGGGAGATCCAAGCTTTTCCCACCGAGTCATTGTGTTTACAGAGCCCCTGCGTACCCGCGGCTTGCTGTCTGTTCTTCCTCTGTTGAGAAAAGTGAGGTCTCGTTTCTGAATTAAATCAGCTTGACATCAGTTAATGGCTTATTGCAACTAGTAATTAATCGCGCAGAATTTAAGTGGCGCTTATCCAATTCGCACCTGAAGTTTTCTGTCAGCTGGAGGGTTTAGTGGAAGTGGTTTTGTATTGCCGTGTCCTCTCCCCTGAGGAAGGAGGCATTATTTCTATATATATGGTTCAAAGTGAGAATGTCATGCAAGGAAGGATGTTGAAAGGACAGGGATGTGTCTCTGTCTGTTTTGCCAGTCGAGACACATCCTTGTTTTCCTCCCAGCAAAGATCAGTGCAAATCTGCCCCATTCTTCCCTGTAACACCGGCGAGTACTTTCCAGCTGGGTGAGCAGTGACCTCTCCTATTGATTGTGTCCCATTTGTCACCTGGCATTGGGCACGAAACCGAACAGTCTTCTCTGCCATGCCGACAGCAAACAACCCTATCTTGGGTGTGAATCTCAGGCTCACTGCTGTTTTAGTCTCTTTATTGGGTAGAGCAGGCTCTGTTTGATGGCAGGTCGCCTGTGATGCTGTGATGAAGTCCCAGAGGGAAGCAGAGCAGAGGGTTCTGCATATTCATTCACGGGCCCCCCTTGCCCTTCAAGGCAGTGGCTTGCTGGGCTGACCAGTCCCTGGCAGATGTTGTGTTGGGAAGCTCTCAGGGCAGCAGAAAGAGCGGCTCAGCTGTGCCTAGGGGCATGTATTGACTCGAAGGGGTCCAGTGTCAGCCAAAAGCGGGGTGCTGGAGCTCAGCAGGGACTCGGGCAGCTCACAAGCCTGGGCTGCAGCACAGGGAGCTCCCTGGGCTGTGCTGTGTGAACACATGAGTTCTGTGCTCACCAGGATAGCAGAGCACAGGCTGTCAGTGGAGCTGATGGGTGAGGGGAGTCCCAGCTCCAGCCCTACAACTAATGCTGAGTGAATCAACTTTCAAGTGGTCACTGGATACAGGGAGAGGCTTTGTGAAGGCACAGGGGTAGCTACAGCTACTGCTTAATGCCTTACAAGCATGAACCCTTATTTATTTATTTCCCTTACTAATACATGAACCCTAAGAAAACAATGAATTCTGGGCTTTGTTGTAACACGTGTTTGTTTACAGCAATTTAGGAAAGGCAGCTCCTTACAATCCTTATGTCCTGTCTCTCCTGCCACTAATGCAATTGGATTATTACTGAATTTGGCCTTTTCTATTCTGGAGTGCCAAAGTGAGAGAAAACAGCACAAGTAAAGGAACCAGATGTTTCAAAGGGCAAAGTGGAGGGGGTGTTCAGGTAGCCTGAATATCTGCAGAGAGGAAATGTCTTGCATCACAGTCAGGAGGGACAAAGAAACTTTGGAGTCTGGTAAGTATGAAAGGCAAGATAGGGAGGAATGGTGATGATGGAAGCAGGAAACCTAAAAAGAAGGGCAGCTCTGAAAGGGAGCGCAAAAGGACTGAAGATCTGTGAGCAGGGAGGTGTTCTGTCATCCCGAGGATGTCTGGGACAACTGCAAAAACAATTCTTTACAAATTCTTTACAATTCTTGTGTGCAGGAGATGTTGAAAAGAATAAAAATCTTAGTACTTTTGTCCTGGAAATGAAAAGAGAAGGGCAAACATTACCTGCCTGCTTTGGGAGACCCCACAAAGCTGGGATTGAGCTTTTAGAAATGGGAAAGTCTCTTGGCAGATTGTCTGTGAACCTTCCCAGCGTTTGCCTCCAGAAACAGAAAAACAGATGGAAAGACACCCAGCAGGGAAGTCAAATCTCATTTATCTGCACAATGCCATCCTCATGGCTCCAGCCAGCTCTCTGCATGTCAGCCACCACAGAGCCCACCCCATCCATTCTGCTCCAGGCCTTCTCAAGCCCATCCATCACCCCATGGCTCCTCATTTGCAGGGAGCCTGGCACACAGAGCTGGGTTTATTGTCTGCCATCCCTGCCACACAGGCACACACACACAGCACCCATGCAGATGCCCACACATTTTGTGTGTTGCTGCAGATTGGGGTTGTCTGCAGTCCAGGAAATCTTTACACATGTCTGCCAAAGTCTGAGCTTATCAGAGCGAAAAACAAATCTAGCCCAGCACACGTGCTTGGGTCCAGCTTGGTTCAGCCCTTGAGCATAATAAATGCATCAAAGATCTTGACAGTCTCTCAGTTCAGGGATTTTGTTCCTCTTGGGTGTGACATGGAGAAATGTGCAAAGTTAAAGCTAGGACCGTCAGATATCATGTTTTAAGCAAGACACGTGAATGGATGCAGATGATCTAATGTTCCTGTTTTGTCAAATTCAAACTAAATACACCAGAAACATTTTCAGAGTCTATTTCAGAGCCAAGGTGACATAACTGTATTTATAGCAGAAAAGCAAGAGAGAATTTCCATGTACCTGCTCAATCCTTGCAGGATTACAAGCAGAGAGCAGAAAAACAGCAATGATATTAGAGAGTCCAGAGAAGACTTCCCACAGGGAAAATTATCCAAAATGCAACCCCCCACCCCCCCTCAATTTCACTTAGGGGGTTGTAAACACCCACTGATGTCTTAACCCAAAATGGATCAGAAATTGTGGCTGGAAAACAGCACTGCAACTCACTGCCCAGCCCTGAGCCCACACTCTGGGCAGCTCTTTGCTGTACTTGTGTTCATGTGAGAGGTAGATTTGCTGTCTCAGGTGCTTTGTAATCCTGAGGGTCTGAGAGGCAGTGCAGGAAGAGGGGTGGAGCAATGAGGATGTAGGTCTGGGGTTGTGAGGAGCTACAGGGGCAGCTTAACATGGAAATATTCCATCTATTTCCCTTACTAATATATGAACCCTAAGAAGACAATGAATTCTGGGCTTGTTGAAATCGTGCGTTTGTTTATAGCAATTTAGGAAAGGCAGCTCCTTACAAGGCCAGACTTCTTTCTGCTGGTGTGTGTCTCAGGCAGAATTTCATCCTTTGCAGGCTGCATCAGCAGGGTGAGAACCTTGCTGTCATCAATGAGCCCAGGGCTAGCATGGGATTCTTTTGTGGGCTGTGGTCCTGCCAGAAAAGAGGGTGAAGTTTATTTTGGTGTTCAACTTGTATGGCATTCACATTCTCTGAAAAATCCCTTTGCCCAGGATTTTTCTCCTGGGAAGCTGAGAAGCCTCAGAGAAAAGGAAAACAATTCTTATCTCATTTGCTTCTCCTGTGTTGTGCTCACATGTGGAATGTGTTTGGAGATTGTTTACCCACAGGTGATTGTTCCATTGGATTCTGCTGGGAGTTGTTTTCACTCTTTGGCCAATTTGGGCCAAGCTGTGTCAGGACTCTGGGAAGAGTCATGAATTTTCATTATTATCTTTTTAGCCTTCTGTAAGTATCCTTTCTGTATTCTTTAGTATAGTATAGTATAGTATTTTTCAATATAATGGAGTATCATAAAATCATAATTTAGCTTTCTGAGAACATGGAGCCAAATTCATCATTCCTGCCTTTATCTGAACATTCCCAGCAAATACAATAAACCTGAGCACTGAGAACTAGGGATGCTGTTGTTATCTAGCTGTCTTTTGTAAGTGTGAATTCTACAGGGTAAGAAAATGAAGGAGATATGAAGAGTTTTCTGGAATTAAAGCTAGATCAGGACATGGAAACAAGCAGTTAGGAGAAGGCTGGGACTGCTTTGCCTCTAGCACAGCAGTGTTGCATTAACCCAAAACTTGTCCATGCACAGGTTTGGTTTAGCAAACAGCTCAGATTTCCCTGACAACAGCATAGAACAGGTTGTCAGCTAATGCAGGTACATTATTAATGCAAGATTCCCAGTGACAGTACCACAGTGACATTAACCTGCCAGTGCAGAGATGAGGCAATCTGTGTTCCTACCTGCATTTTCACCCTGGCTTGTGCCAACAAGACAGCTGGGCTGCTTAAATAAACACCCCCTATGCTTTGAAGCAGACCTTCTGTTTAAGTGCCCTGCAGCATTTAGCTGCCTCCCAGCTCCCACTGAAAATCAGAATGTGTCTGTCAGATTCCCCATCAAAGGGACACGTCTGTGAGAGTGAGATTGGAGACACCCTTGCATTCTCTTTGCACTCGTTCTCTCCTCTTGGTATTTTGCCTACAGATGAAAAGGTAAGATGCTCTTTACAGCTCTTTGAGTTGTTCTGAGTGATGTCTTAATCCAGCTGGTTCTTAAAGAGAAAATCTTAGGGAAAAAAGCAAAGACCCCATGGTCTGGGGAAAAAAGCAAATGGCCCCATGCAGAGCTGTGTGTTGATATTTGTTCTACTAGTTTGGAAGAAGATCTTAAATTTTTTTTAATAGATTTAGCTGTCAGTCTGGGTTTCCTTTGTTCCAGGTAGCTGGCAATAAAATAGCATTTCTAGTGTTATGCCTTTGCAAGTGAGCTTCCCAGTGCCTCCTAAATCAGTCCTCAAGGAACAGTTTATTGTCTTTTATGGCCAGTAGAAATACCTGCTTTTTGAGAACTGCCTGAAAAGAAGGCCCCTGTGCTGCCTGCCTCTTTGCAGAACTGAAAACACATTCCCAGGCTATGAACAGCAGCAGAGAGGAATCCTGGAAAGGCAGGATTGGCTGGGGAGTGCGTGAGCAGGGTTTATTCAATTAACAGGATCAAGGCATCTCTCTCTTAACTCCATGATGCTGCTGTGATGGCAAAGTTTTTACACCCTCAAAATTCTCCATATCTCTCTCTCAGGCTGAAAGAAAAGGGGAAAGGAAGAGCCCAAGCTACTCCTAGGGTATCTTCTGTCATCTCCACAAAAACTGGAGTCAGAATTGGCCTGAAAGGCTGTTACCTGCTGCCCCTCACAGGTTCCAGTGATTGGTGTCATGGTTTGATACTGGCCAAACACCAGCACCCACAAAAGCTGTCTGCTCACCCTCTTATGCTGTAGTTGGGCAGAGGAAAGGGGAAAAAAATTAACGAATTTAATTCAGATTGAGATAAGGACTAGGAGAAAAATAGTCTAAGTGCAAAAGAGGTTCAAATTTAAAGGTGTAAGGTAAATTTATTACTAACAGAGTGAGAGGAGGATAATTAGAAGTAATAGAAGCCTTTAAAACACCTTTTACCCTCCCCAGCCCTTCCCTCTTTTCCCCAACAGCAGAGGCAGACAGGGCAGGGGGATTTTGGTCAGTTTATCACTCAAGGTCTTGTTCTGTTCACTCAGGGAGAGGAATCTCCTCTGCTCTGCCTTGGGTTCCCTCCTGCAGGCAAGAACCACCCCAAAACTGCTGTGGTGTGGGTCACTCATCCACAGGTGCACTCCTCAAAGGACAGGCTGCTCCAGCTTGGGAGCAGGGCCCCAAACTCTCTATCTCTATCTCTATCTCTATCTCTATCTCTATCTCTATCTCTATCTCTCTCTCTCTATCTCTATCTCTATCTCTATCTCTATCTCTATCTCTATCTCTCTCTCTCTCTCTCTATCTCTATCTCTATCTCTATCTCTCTCTCTCTCTCTCTATCTCTATCTCTATCTCTATCTCTCTCTCTCTATCTCTATCTCTCTCTCTATCTCTATCTCTATCTCTGGCAGCAGGGCCCTCTCTCTGTTTGGGTCTCCTGCTGGATCCCAGCTTTCTCTGCCCCCCATCCCCTCCACCATGAGCACTTTTCCCAGGGCTGTGAGTGGATCTCTGCGTGCCCCATGGACTTCATGCATCACAAGGGCACAGTTTGTTTTATCAGGGTCCTCACCACAGCTTGCAGAGGAATCTCTGCTCCGAATGCCTGGAGCACCTGTTACGGAAATTAACCCACAAACACCAGAGGTTTATGTACAAAAAGGAGGCAGAGGAGTCCTTTCTGGCTTTATTCCAATAAAGGGAGAGGCCATGGGGCATTCCCCTGGGATCTCCAATTTTTGCAGGACACAGCCTCCTTTTTATCCCAATTTCCCAGCCACATTTCCCTTCTCTCTTTCCCCATTTATGAGGTGCTTCAGAGGTTCAGACTTCCCAAAACACCTGATACTGAAGATTTTCATCTAATGTATAACCCTCCCTTTTAATTTTAATTCTTACTGAATTTAGGAGTTTTTCTTCCCCATTGCTTCTTTTGTTTTTCAATGTCTAATTTCATTTATCAGCAACCCTAAAGTTTGTTTGTAAAAGCAAATATCTTTTTCCATCCATCAATTAGTGGAATCCTTCCCATTGTTTCTTTTATGTTCCAGTGCTGGTTTTATCTACCAGCAGCCCCACAGCTGGTTTGTAAAGACAGATCTGCTATTCTTCTCACACCTCCTTCCCTTCCTTTTGGCTCTGTCGGACATGGTGATGCTTCTAGCAGCTTCTTACCCCTGTGGCCCCCTCCCTGCAACCAAAAACCAGGCTGTGCCAAATCAACAGGCTGGCCAAGCAGAAAATCACCTGGAGGAGGGAGTAGGAGCCCCTGTGATTAAGCAGCAAAGTGGTTCTGCTGGTGAACAGATGGAAATCAGGTGCAGCCAAGTGCTGAGGTGCATGAAGACTGAGATGGGCTTGAGTGGAAAGCTGTGGCTGTAACTCTGTGACTGTTCCTCAAATATTAGCACAGGCCTGGTTTTGTGGCAGTCAGAATCCCTGGGAACTCTGTTTTTAAGCATGTCTTCATGCTGTCTAGAGAAAGGGATAGTCTGGAAAAGCTGCACTAGAAATGCTGCAAATTGCAAATTCCTTCCCCCATTTTGTGGGAAAAGACAGGGGAGGATGACTGAATAACTTAATTAGAGAATGCTCTGACTTGCACAGAGCACGAAGCCACAACGTCCCAAAGCCACGTCTTGTGACACAAACAAAAGGATGAAAGAAGCCCCTCAAAAGCATGGCAGTGAAGCAGAATGGATGAGAACAGTCTGCAGCCACTGTGCTGGTGGACTCAGTGAAACTTGGTCTCGATGTTCTTGGGACTTAAATTCCCCTCCCAGTGACAGCCTTGCCTGGTGACCTGTGCAGGATCAAGGAGGGAAAGCGGGACAAGCTCAGGAAACCTCAGCCTGCCTCTGCCCCTTGGTGCTTTAGACCAGCATCCCCTGCTCTGCTGACAGCCTTTTTATTTCCCTGCCATGCCATGAGGTACCAGCACAAAATCTCCAGTGTTTTTTCTTTCTTTGACCAATTTCCGCCACCCTGAAGCTGCATGCAAGCACGTGTGCAAGTCTCTTGTCTTGAGCTGCTCAGAGCTGGTCCTGTGTGGCCACCATCTGCCTCCAGTTCTGTTCATTTTGACATCTCCATTGCAAGAAAACCAGCTGTGAGGAGGGGCCGGTGCCCCCAGCCCAGGATGCCAGCCTGGCAGCTGGTGTTGTGCCAGGCTTCAGAGCTGTGGGCAGCAGGCAGCCCCCCCCAGCCCTTCAGATGGTGGCTGTGAATAGCAGGGTAGGGGGGCTGGTGGGGAATCAAAGGGAAGTGTCCTGCTGATTGATGACCTCATTTGCACATGAAACTGGGACCTCTCAGCCCTGCAGGCCCTGCACATGTGTCTCAGCTGCTGTAGCCAGGGACAAGAGGAGATAAGCAAAGAGGGAATAACTTGCTTCCACCTCAGGACACCGTAATGGTTTTTATCTAAGTGCCACCATAATGGTTTTTATCTAAGTGTCACCATAATGGTTTTTATCTAAGTGTCCTAGGACTGAATCTTGATGGTCTTTACAGTTCCTAAGTGTTGGTTGCTTTTTTTTACCCCCCTTTTTTTAATTGCAGGTGAGACAGAGCACCCACGATTATGGAAGCTTCTTCCACCTTCTCTTCCTTCCTTTTCCTGTGCGTGCTGCTTCTTTCAGACATCAGCCTTGCAATCTCCCTGAACCCTGGCACAAAGCTCAAAAATGCCCCAGGGAGCAACCACCACCTCCAAAACCAAGAGATGTGGCTGCAGCAGCCCAGAACTGGGCGCCACCACAGGCAGGGCCTGGCCAAGAAGGAGAAGATGCCTTCAAGAGGGCAGCTGGCTGGGGAGGAGAGCCTCAGGATGGGCAGTGGAGCTTCAGCTGTGGAAGAGCTGGTGGCAGAGGGACAGCCAGCAGCCCTGAAGCAGAATAAGGATGTTTTCCTGGGGTTTGAATCGTATCCTGAGAGGGAAAACCAGTCGCCAGGCTCTGAGAAAGGAAAGAAGCAGAACCGAGAGCACCGTCGGCACAGCCGCAGGGACAGGCTCAAACACCACCGAGGTATTGGAGCTCCAAGGGGAGCTGGTGGCACTGGGAATGAGCATCTCCAAGAGGAGGCAGCTGTGGGGGAGCCACATGTGTGTGTGCAGGGTGTGGAGGGTGTGTGTGCCTGCTCTGGGGGGAAATGTGCCAAACAAAAGAGGCGCAAGAAAAAGGGGGAACTGCAGAAGCAGAATTTTAGTGCTGGCTGCAATTTTGTGAAAATGACCTAGTTTGTCTTACAGGGGAAGCTCTGAGAGACCCTAAGGCTTGAGGGACTGTTTTAGGGTGGTCTATTTTGTTTTTATTTTCCTTTTTAGCAAGTGGCCCAAATTAGGAACAAACATGTTTGAGCCATGCTCAATCTCTCCGCTGACTTCAAAAAAATAATGAGAATTAGAAAAAACACAACCCCCTTATTTTGTTTTGAAGAGCAGTTTCTTCTCACCAGAGCTTGTACCCTTCTATGTTTATGCTGAACAACAACAACAACAAAAATTCAGATTTTGCATATGTGAAATTGCAGTGATAACTTTAAAACATTGCTTGATTTTGACTGGAACTGCTTTCCTTTGCAGGTCAAGTTGTGGGTGGGTGTTTCTGTGGTAAACCTTGAGTTCTGTTAAAACTAGGCAATTTGTGTCAATCTACACTGTGTGACAAGCTGGGTGTCACGTCCTTGGGTTCCATCCTTCACTCCTCCCTGCCTCAGTAAGAAGAGCTCTATTGTTTTTTTCAGAGGGCTGACTAAACAGCTTGTGTTAGCAATATGAAAGAACATGCAACAAAGCTGGTTTGAAGCAATATTTGCAGACTACAAACAGGGCTTATTTCCTGAGGTTAACTTAAGGTCTGTATTTAAATTAATACTTATGAAGAAGATGGACATATCTGTGAAGGTAATTTCAAGTTAGGTAAGTCCTGACTTGAGCTAAATTGTAATAACTCACTACTAAAATCAAATAAGAATGTATTCACAGGTATTTGCAATAGCTTAATCTGTTGGTTTAAAAATGGTTAAACAGGTACATTTTGTACTTTTGAGACCACAAAAAAACATGTTTTGCTTCTTAAACAAGAGACAGATCTTGAGGGAGGTGTGATTTTGCATGTCTTAAGCTTGTAAAAATCAAGCTGCATATACTCTGGAGCTGATTTATCACTGTAATAGCTCATTACTCTGTTATACTGTGGTCTAAAACAGCAGCTCAGGATCACGGCACAGTGGTTGGCAACAGGATGAAACATGAATTCCTTTGATTCAAATCTGTCACAGGGAGAAAAGGGATGGGAAAGGTAATGCCGCTGTTCCTGTTGCCCTCTGCAGGGAAGACTCCTGGCGCTGGGCCAAGCTCCCTGTACAAGAAACCCAAAAGCTCTGAAGAACAGTTTCAAAATCTTCAGGCAGAGGAAGCTCCAAGTCTGACTCCCAGCCCGCTGCTCACTGCTGCACTGGACACAGCTGTTTCCACAGAGGAGCCTCCTGTTCTTCCAGCCACCTCACCACGGTCACAGGTAAGGAGACAGCTGGGAGCTGTTCTGTACCTCCAAGCCTTGCCTCTCCCTCAGCTATCCAGCTTCACTGAGTTTCAAGGACCACAGGGACAGTAGGAGCACTTGACTGGAGTGCCAGCATGTCCCAACACTCGTTGCTCACCTTTTGTTGTCACACACAAGCAGTGGAAACTTCCCTCTTGCCCTCAGCCTCAACAAGGGAAAGCTCTTTGCTTTTGAACATGAGATGCCAGGAATCCCCAGTGGATAAGACAGGAGTGGAGAAAGGGAGGGGCAATCATAAAGCTTTTTTAAAAGCTTTATTTCATGTAAAAGCACCATGAAAATTTGCAAAGCCTTCAGTGCCTCTACAGAAGTGCAATCCATTGTCTACCTGGTTTGTTTTTTTGTGGTTTGCAGGCTCGCCTCAGGCAAGATGGGGATGTGATGCCCACCTTGGATATGGCACTCTTTGACTGGACTGATTATGAGGATCTCAAACCAGAAATGTGGCCATCTGCTAAAAAGAAAGGTGCTAAACCTCCCTTCCTCTTTCCCAAAAGTCATCCTGTAAGGCTTGTCTATGGTTAGTATTCATAGATGTGCTGAAGGACAGGAGATCATAGTGAGGGAAGAGAGAAGCAGCATAATGCTGATTGAGTTTTGTGTTTAGTTTCAGAATGCTTCTCATTTTGGATATTTGGAAGGCAGAATAAAAATTATAAATTGAGAGTGAAAAAATAGGGAGAGGAATAAACTATGAAGGTTAGAGTTCAAACTCTTGAAATTTGAGGCTGTTTTTACCCTGGGAAAAACAGGGTATTTCTCCAAATATATTCTCCAAAAATGAAATTTTCTATCAGCATCTTTTTTTTACACAGAAAAACGCCGCAGTAAGAGCCCCAACAGTGGAAATGAAACCACAACAGCTGAAGGAGAGCCATGTGACCACCACCTTGACTGCCCCCCAGGTCAGCATCAGAAATGGCTCTGCAAACATGGGGTGTTTGCAATCTAGCCCAGGTTTTAAGACATGCATTCCAATTTCTACTAGTGATAGGAAGTGGTGTGCAAGGGAAGGGCAGAGGCTCTCTAGGTGTGTTGTGGGACCAGATAATGTCTGTACAAGGGAGCTATCATGGGTGTCAGTAGCCCTGCAGGTAAGGGCACACCTGAGCTGTGCTGACCCCTGCTCCTGTGTTGCAGGCTCTTGCTGTGACCTACGTGAACACCTCTGCAAGCCACACAATCGAGGCCTTAACAACAAGTGCTATGATGACTGTATGTGCACTGAAGGTGAGTGCAGCTCTTTGCTCCCTGTCTTGCTTTAAAAGACAGCTGTCTGCCAAGGAAGGCAGGAACCTCCCTTGGAATGGAAAATGTGAACCCCTTTCCTCCAAATTATTATAGCTTTGAAATTACAGGGCTTTCTGGCAAAGATATGAGGAAAGGAATAATAGTTCTTTTCTATCTATCTATCTATCTATCTATCTATCTATCTATCTTTTATCTTTATATCTATAGTTGTAGCAGGCACAGGGCCTGCAAGGCCTCCATGGCCAAGACAAAAAATGCCAAGTCATGATGACTGGACCTAAGCCCCTTTTTCCACCTTCAGACCCTTGCTTATCTCTCTGTAAAACTATAGGTTACTTTCCTTTTGACCCCTACTATTGGACAGTTTCTAAAACTCTTGAACTCTATATAAAGAGCTACTTTTGCCCAGCTTGGGAGAAGAGCTGTCCCTGAGATTTTTGCAGAGGCTGCTAATAAATCCATCCCTGTGGAAACTCACACAGCCTTCTCCTCTCTCTCCCTGCATCTCCCTAAGGCACTTAGCAAGTTAAAGAGCTGAAATCACAAAATGAGGTGATAATCACAAAGAGCTGAGCTTGCTAAGGTGGCTGTGAACTGCCTGGGAGCCCAGCAAAGCTGTGCTGGACAAGGCTGTGGTGGTGTTCACAGGGGTCCCAGGACCAGGGAAGAGATGAGAATCTTGACTCCATGTTTCAGGAGGCTGATTTATTATTTTATTATATATATTATATTAAAAGAAAAGGATATACTAAAACTATACTAAAAGAATAGAGAAAGGATTCATCAGAAGGCTAGAAAGGGATAGAAAGGAATGATAATAAAATCTTGTGATTGACCAGAGAGTCCGAGACAGCTGCACTGTGATTGGCCATTAATTAGAAACAACCACATGAGACCAATCAAAGATCCACCTGTTGCATTCCACAGCAGCAGATAATTATTGTTTACATTTCTGAGGCCTCTCAGCTTTTCAGGAGAAAAGATCCTAACAAAAGGATTTTTCATAAAATCTGTCTGTGACACATGGCTGCGCTATCCCGAGCAGCGATGGCCAGCTGGGGATACCCTTGTACCTAGCATGACTTCCCCAAGTTAATTTCAGCTGAGCTTGTAGCAATTTAGTAGCTGTGGGAAGGACTCAGACTTTTGTTTCTTAAAACTATTTCTGAAGAATCCACAGCAGCCTTTACCAGGCAGGTGCATTATGAAAGTGTTAAAAGGCACTCCTAGTCTGAACATGTTCAGGATCAGCTCCAGGCACTGAGTCTTGCCTGCCAGAAAAACTCTGTTTGCCAAGCTTTGTGACCTGCATTAGGTACCCAGTGATTTGATCAGGCTGTTTACTTTTCACCCAGTTCAATGGGCAGCTTTCCTGGAGTTGCAATGTTAAATGATAGTCTTCACCCTGGGCGTGTTGTGTAACACCACAAGGTCCTAATCAGAGATCACCTTCTGATAGATTAGCCTAGAAACAAGAATTGTGTTTCTGCAATCCTTAATGAGGCTGCCCCAGGCCCTGCTTTGTCCTTAAGCTAGTTATCAGTTGATAGGAAATGTGCATCCTGTGTACCATAAAAAAGATCCCCAGAGAGGGGAGATCCAGGTAAGACAGACAAGAGGCTTAGATAAGAGTAGAGCTCTGATCTTGCATGCTCCCCCTTTAGGAGGCCAGTTTGCCCTGGGGTGATTGGTAATGAGGGGCACAAACTCAGCTTTTTAAGGTAGCTGGTCTCAATGTAGCCCAGGGACACAATTCCCAAGGACTGCTGTGTGACATCAGCTGGATCTCCAGTGTACAACCAAGAAAAGTTTTGAGCTGTCTCATTACAAGAGCTATAAATCCTCTGCTGCCTGCTCTAGAAGTGAAAAGACCTGCAGTTTCTAGAATGATCAAATCAGCTCCTGGCAAGCCCAGTGACAAGATCCTGCACTACTGAAAAGCAGGGTTTTCATGAGAATTATTTACCCACAGGCTATCCACCCTGTTTGGCCCAACTAGCTACACATTCTGGTGCAACAAAGTCAGACAAGAAACAGCATAAAATCAACCTCTTGGAGCCAGAAACCAAATAGTCACCATGACCAGAGGCTCCCATTACCTTCTGTTGCCATGGGAGATTATGTACTCATGGTTTTTACAAATAAATTCCTTTTTTCCCCTTCATACTCACCCATGCTATATTAGCTAGCTTCCTTCAGACCGTGCACATTGAGCATCTAAAACAGAGAAATTAAAGAAGATGAGCAGTGGGCTTTGGATCAGACCTCCCAGTAATAACACTTCAAAGCCTCTTCCCTTCTCTCTTGAAGCTTCAGAGAAATAAATAGCAAGGGGAGGTCCCTAGTCATTGCTGCTGCACATTAAGTCTGTAGTAATTTCCCAGTGGAGAGATTACTTAGACAGTAATGGGAAGTAATAGGAGGAAACCAAGCAGGGCTTCCATAAAATCACTGGAAACAATTGGAATAATTCATTGGCATTTCAAGAATCCAGGGAAACCTGACTGAACAATGAATCCCAAACCAGAACAGTGAGCCAAACAGAATGGCAGTGCCCAGAGAGCAATAGGCCTTGAATGTGAGGCATTTCTCTCCCACCCTATTTGACACAGCACCAGGACTGTCCCCAGTGCAGCAGTATCTGAGGCAGAGAAATAGTTGGTGTTACTGCTGTAGTGAGCCCTGGTCCCTCCTCACTTCTGCACGTTGTGAAAAATGCCAATCACTTGTTTTTAAAAGTTTAATAGTAATAAAATGGTTATTAAAATAGTAATATAATTAGAGTAATAAAAATTTGAACAATTAGGATTTAGGACAATATGAGACAATAAAAACAAATAGTTACAGACAGTCTGGGTACCTCTTTCTGGGCAAAATAAGCCCTAAAAAGGACCCAAGTTAACAGAGGATTAACCCTTAAAAGCAACAGCCTGTTGCATATTCATACACCTCATACATGATGCAGAAATTCCATTCAAACACAGGATTCTGTCTGGGCAGTGTCAGCTTCTTCCTCTGAATCCTAATGCTGTCTTCAGGGCTGAGTGAGGCAGGAAGAAGTTCGTTTCTCCTGATAAGGGAGCAATAAATTCTTTTTCTCTGAAAGATTCAGGTGTCCTGTGGCTGCTATCTCAGTGGGAGTACCTCATTCTTCTCTTTAAAAAAGTATCTTACATACCATAGTTTCTATTTTAACATTTTGTTATAACCCAAAACTATATTTAACACACTACTTAAGAAAATTAACCCAGCATAACTTTCTAACACAACACATATAACATTCATTTGAATATTTGCAAAAAGCCAATGATAAATTACACATTTTTCACAACGTCTTTTCCATAGGGCTGCGCTGTTATGCCAAATTCCACCGGAACCGAAGAGTGACCCGGAGGAAGGGGCGCTGTGTGGAGCCCGACTCAGCCAACGGAGAGCAGGGATCTTTCATTAATGTTTAGGAGGGTGGGACTCCTGCCTGGATAGTCAAACTCTTTATACCTAGCAGTGGGAATTAGAGGGAAAAGCTGAGCAAATGAGGGAAGCTGCAGGCTCTGAACGTGCCAGGTCCCAGCTAGACTGAAACTCGTGTTCATTATGAATACAGTGGCATCAGCCTTTTCCATAGCAGGGCTGCACTCCCTGTCCCTTCCTTCAGCACATTCCTGCCACTGAATTGAGTGCCCCTCTCCTAGTTAGTGAGCAATGATCATTACTCCCATTCTGATGGTCCTGGCAGGAAAAGGCTCTGCAGTTTCATCTTCTCTCAAGAGAGGCAAGATGGGGAAATCTTTCAGAGCCAAGGGGACATGAGCTTAAACTTTACCCCTTAATTATTGCTTGAGAATAAAGGTAGACAGATCCTCCTTAAGGACTGGAAGTTCCTAGAGGAGAGGAAATTTGTAGCATCCAGGTGGAATCAAAGATGGGAGATGGATCAGCTGCCTGCCTAGGTGAGAGAGGACCCTCTGGCAGACCTCTTGCTCTCTCCCTTTTTCACTGCTCCAGACATTTTCCTTAGCTATTTCACACTACCACTGCATCCTGGGACCTGTCATCTTTGGGACCACCCAATCCCACTCCATCCCTCCTTTCTTGCTTTCGGAGAACCACCTGGTTTCTGCAAGGATGTGGCAACACATCCCAGCCTGTAGCTCTCACTCATTTTTCTATCCTGCCAGGTCTGTTATTTTTAATTACTATTTTTAGGAGCTTTCTGGGGAAGTGATAGTTTTCCTAGTGAGCTAAAAATAAATTTTTTGGTAACAGGAGATAGGGACAGGCTGTTCCATTGTAGTAAAACCTGTGACATGTTGCATGTGTGTTTCTGTGATATGTAAATAAAGATATGATGGATATCCTTTGTGCAACTCTTCTGCTTTTTCACTGCACCCAAGGATGTGGAGGAGCCAGAAAAGCCTGTAAGGATGTTGGTCAGCAGGTAACACTGGTGACTTGAGGTAATCACACAGAACAATTGTACCACTGGTTGAAAAATTTCTCTGCCCAAGGTTGCCTGTACTCTCACTCAAATTGGAGATAATTATTTCTACCTAGTGTAGCCAGCCAGATATTTTAAATTTCTTAATATTAATACCTAATTACTGGCTTCAATGATATATTGGAGCAACAAAGGCTTTGTGTGTTAACCTGGAGTAGTGGCAGCTACTGCTGAAACTCCAATACCCTGACTTCTGCAGCTATGAAGCTTTTTATATCCCAGAGCCTGGAGATGTATAGCACTTTCTTTAGGAACAGAAATATTAATCATGGTGCTGTGGGCAGAATCCTCTTCACACAGCTTCCCTAAACCCCCTGTGTTCCATTTAGTTATTCAAAACTCCAATTTGCAATCTTGTTCATGCTACAGTGCCACTTTGCATTGTGTGTTCACTCAAAAACTGTGAGAGTTGCACTTTACATCTCTAATTTGAGTGCCCACTCACGGCCACAGAGAAACGCTGTGAATGTCCCAATGTCACTTCTGACCCGTGCACACCTGCTAAAGGAGGAATTTGTATGGGAGCACTTAGGCAAAACCTGCCACAGAGCTGGATGCAGCTGTTTCAATTTCTGTTTACAGCATGACAGTCTCAGCACAAAAGAAATAAAGAAAGGTGGTTTGCCTTCAGCTCGATGCCCCAGCAGCAAGAATTCAGTTTATTAACCCAGGGAGAGCAATGCAGCCCCTCCTTCAGCCCAGATGTGAATAGTGGGTGGTGCTGCCAGAGCCATTGTCAGTGGAAGCATAAAGGGAAAAAAGGCTCCTAATTGATCACATTCAATTGCAGAGCTCTCAGCCTCTGGTCTGTGTGACACTGATGAGAACCACATGCACAGGCACTATCAAAACCAGGTTTGATATCACACTGCTTTTTAGTGTAGGAGCCAAGGTCTGGGGGAACAGTGCAGCTGAAAGAAAGAAGGAAATTTTGCAGGGATCTTTATCTTTGGTGATGAGGTATTCCTTGCCTCTTACACTGCAAATGGGATCCTTGTAGGATCATGGACAGTGTTTTAGGCAAGATTGCTGCATATCATGAAATACAAGCAAGTCTGAATTTTATCAGGGCTTTTAGACTCTAAAAGGAGACTTACTCCTTCAGTTCTTACCTTTTCAGCCTTCAGTCTGCTATTAACTCTGAATACAGAGAAAACATTATTCTTAATTGGTGGGATTAGTTAAGGTCAGTGAAAATTCAGTTAACTATCATCAGTCAAGTTTACTGATACAATTTACAGATTACTGGATTGATTGCTCACATTGGAGTTTCAGAAAGAGCCTGTGACCAAGTGTCATTGCTGCTGAGTCAAGCTGTGGTGTGGCAGAGGTGGAGCAGGGAGGGTGAGCAGTGGCACAGGCACATGCTGCACAGCCACAGCAGTGTGAAAAGAATCAGCATGAAATATGGGTCAGCCAGATCAACTCCTGACCTCACAATTGCAGTGCAAAGGAAAGCTGTTGAGTAAATAACGTGCAAAGGTGTGGAATGCAAGAGCAGCCTGTGATATAAAACCCCAGGGCAGCATTTGCCCAAGCCCAACCCACTTGTGAGCTCAGCAAAGCTCTTAGTGCCACTCTGTGACAGCAGCTGCAGAGCATCACCATCATGGGTTACTTTTAGCAGTTTTCTCCTTTCTCCCCAGTATCCCATAGTCACAGTGCTGTCAGTAAGTTTTGCCTTTGGGGGCATTAGGTCTGAACAAGAGAGAGACACAAATGTCAAGCAAGGCTTGATTTAGATGTTCTTCTCTACCGATTGTTTAAGAAACTCAAATTAAGAATTCACACAAGCTCAGTTTCTCTGCTGCCTCCAGATAATTTAAGTCAGAGCTCTTGCAAGATTGTCTATTGTCTTGAAAGGACTTTGGACCAGCCCTAAACCAGCCAGAGCAGGACTCTGTGCAATAATTTCTAAAGTTAATCACAGAGCATGCATGCAAGAAAGGTGAGTGACACAGTCCCACCCAAAGTCCAGTTCTACAGCTACTGCTGTTAGTGGCCTCTGAGAGCCCAAGGGTTATGCCTCACCTTAAACTGCTCTCCAAGGGTGAGAATCATTAAACATGGAAAAGAGAGAACAGCATGCTGATTTGACATAATCATTTCAGCAGCTGCCTGCTCTACAATGCTGTTGAATCTCAGGGATGTTGATGGTAGTTGCCAAAATTATGACTGCAAGACAGGCAAGGAGTGGAAGCACAAATTAAAACACTTGGGAATCGTTCTGTCTCAGGTCTGTAACAGTCTGCATTCATTTTTGCTTGGAGGTGTTTTATTGAAACTCTCTCTCTTCCCTCCCTCCCCCAGTAATTACCCTGTTGTAAATCCACAGTGTGTGAAAGTGCTTCAATTTGAAACCCATGCTGTACCAAATTGTTCACATCCATGCCAGTCATTCTCTGCTACATGAAGCCTGGAAAAAACATTGCTTTCATATTTTTTATCAAAAAAACCCGAGGGCTGTTGTTTCCTTGGAATGTTCTGAGTGAGCATATGCACTCCATAAAACCACTTCTGGTGTGTCAGTTCATTTTCTGGAGTGCCGGTGAACCTTGAAGAGTGGTCTCTTAATGATATCTCAAAGCTTTAGTTGGATTTTAGAAAATCAGAGGAGCAGCTCGTTGCTGCTGAGATGGGAAGGATTTCCAAGTGCATTTGTCAGGACACCACATTAATGTGACCCTCTCCACTCCCCAGATCACCTTGCCAGTGAAATTGCAGTGAAATTGCAGGGGGAGGCTTTCCATCAGCATTACAAAATGCCTTCAGATTCCCCTCCAATCCAGACAATGATTCTGTTTGCTGATTTCCCACTGGGATTTAAAAGGGAGTTTGTAGAGCCAGGCAACTTCTATATGCCCTTCCTCACTGCTTATTCAGAAAGGCTCTGTGGCTGATCTATATAAATTTGTGCTGAGGTGGTGCCTTCACTGCTCTCAGCTCCATAGCCAGGGGCAAAACTCAGAGATACTGGTGTCAGCTGCAGCCTTTAGTTGTCTTCAGACTGAACCCCTAGAGAGGGGAAGGAGGGCAGAACTATGAGGGGTGAGCTTGTCTGCACCTCCAAGGGCCAGTAGGAGAAATTGTATTAACTCTATGGAATTAACCCTATGGAATAGCTATCATCTTACACACCAAAGGTACAGTGTGTCCTGAAAATGCAAAGGAAAGCATTTGTGCCTTATTAGCCTCACTTTTACGCTATCAGGAGGGGATCCAGGCTTTTACTCAGTCTGCACAAGGCAAACCAATAGATTTTTAAAAACACCAGATTTTGCATAAAGCAGCTAATTGCTAGGTATTGGTTGCAGTGAGCTGAACTCACTTGGAGCAGTCTTCTAGTCACAAAAATCTCTGTATCCAGTCTCCTGGGTAACCTGCTCCTCCCTGCAGGCCTTCTTTAACTTGCTGCTTATCTTCCTCACCATGTTGTGTTGCTTTATCAAACCTGGGGAAGGGAAGAGAGACAGTGGGTTACACAGAGAGGCAATTTACAAGGTACACCAGCACAAAGTAGAAATAAAAAACAAGCAACCCCCAGATCAGACAGGTGTGAGAGACATATAAATGCATAATGTCAGTCATAGCTCTCATGGTTTCATATCCATGAGATAATTCCTAAGTCCCTTGAGCCCATGACAAGCAAGCCCAGGATATAATAAGCAGGGATGAATTAGCTGCATGATACATTGATGAACAAAATGAAATCAAGTGTTTTTATTGTACAAGGGGAAATGCTTTGCATTAAACAGAGGATACATCAATTCAAAATATGGCTCATGCTGCATAAATGATAATGAGACTGTCTCAGGCTGAGTGAGAATGCTGAAGGCACCAGAGACACCCACATTGTCACTGTAGGACATGAAATAAAACGACACAGACACACAGTTCTCCAAGGTAAAAAAGAGAGAAGTTTAATTTCTGACTCCAACATTTATAAATTTCCAAAAGTGACAGTGGATTGGAGGGTGACAGCGCCACCTCTCCAATGACACTGGACAAACCAACAGTCCATCAAATTTCTCCTCCTCCATAAAAGAATGCAAAACAATGAGTACTTTACATGAAGTGCGTGAGAAAGTTCATTACAAGAATATAAACATCAGAAGGCTTAGAAAAACTTAAAAAAAACCAGGGTGACACCCACATGATGCTGGATTCTAACAGTGCTTATCATTCAACTGGGATAATGGAATTTATCTTCAGAACAAACAGTTCTCCTTTGATAGATACCTGTCTTGGCAGAAGGGCATCCTAGTGCACTGCACAAAAAGCACTGAGCCAACAATATGGCTGTTCAGTCTGTCTGTCTTTCCCCCCATCCCAAGTGTCCTAGATTTTTGTCATTTACGTTGAAATCCAGCCATTTCTTGACTGTGGTATTTTCTGGGTCCCCAGGATGAAGGAGGAATTGAGAATCTGACTCCATGTTCTTAGAAAGCTAATTTATTATTTTATGATCCTGTATTATATTAAAGAATGGCATACTAAAAGTACACTAAAGAATAGAAAGGATATTTACAGAAGGCTACAAAGAATGATAATGAAAATGTGACTGCTTCCAGAGTCCCAACACAGCTGGATGGTGATTGGTAATTAAGTCAAAACAATTCTCATGAAATCAACCAAACATTCACCTGTTGGATAAACAATCTCCAACCACACTCCAAAGCAGCAAAACACAGGAGAAGCAATCAGATAATTATTATTTTCCTTTTTCTCTGAGGATTCTCAGCTTCCCAGGAGAAGAATCCTGGGCAAAGGGATTTTTCAGAAAATATGACAGTGACACTTGACATTACTGGAACCACAAGCATTGATCTCATTTGATACCACGACTTCTGTAGATAAAGACAACTTCCCTGCAAGACACAGTAATGTGTCCAGGCAAGACACAATAATGGAGGTGAAGGCACAGCTCATGTGTCATGTGGCAATCGATGAGTTATATTTCAATCTTTCATTTGAAAGTGACATATTCAGAGATTCCTGAGGGGGCTTGCACAGCCTTTTTGGGTTTTTTTACTGTTGTTCTGAGCTATGCAGCCAGTCAGTTTTATTTTGATGCTTCCTAGCATTTTGTAGGTAATTTCATTTTGGCATTTAATGCTTTGCCTTGGGAAATCTTGAAGTGTGCTGCTGTAAGCAGTCAATAGCACTCAGGGCACGGTCAAGGACAGGCTGGATTGCACTACATTTGTGGCTTGTTTGAGAATGTCTGACAGCGAGTTCAGCACTGCACAATTCTCACTCCTTGAACTGGAAATGAGACTGAGGGGTGACTCATGCATTTCCACATCCAACTTCTGCAATGAACCTCTGACCCAGCTACTTTCTCAGAGGCCCCATCTTTTCTTTAAGAAGGAATAATGACAAGAAAGGAACCAACCTAGTAAGACATTGCAGCCTTACACTGCAGACAGCATGAATTAGGCAAGGATGGGAGGGTTTGAGAAATGTCATCCTGACCTCTGGGTTCTGTTATTTCATTTGCTAGACCTGCAGAGAAGGCTGCTGGTATGAAGTGGACAGGAAATGGTTATAGCTGAACTGTGTAGGGTTGAATTGGTCACTTATCAACTTCCCTAGCTCTGAAATGAAACCAGGTTTCTTTCAGAATAAGAAATGAAGAACTTGTTATTTGTACCAGGTTTTTAGGCAAAGGGTTCAGTCATCTTGTTCTAGGGAAAAATCCAGGGCCAAAGGAAGCAACTAAGTACTGCCAGCCATGCTAGCTACCTGCTTCAACCCCTAAGACTGACCTTAACTTGCCTTAGCTGTTGGGTGACATAGCTGAGCACAGTTAGCACCTTAAAATAACTTTTTTACTGGTGTCTATCAACAGCTTTGTCACTCCTTACACTTTGGCCACACCACTGACACATGCACAAAAACTCTCTTCCTGCAGAAAAGCTGCTAAGTCCTTTGCACACATTAGCTTACCCAGACTCTGATTACAATCAAAGTATAATGTCCAACCTTGTCTCACTGCATTGCATGTGCAAACAGATGGAAGAGTTTGGCTGGGTTTTTGGAGCCAACAAACTGATCTGAGCCAGCACACTTTGGCTGGGTGTTTGCAGCCAAGAAACTGATATATGCATATTTTTAACTTAATGGTGGCTTTTGAAACAAAATCACAGAATTGTTAGGGTTGGAAGGTGCCTCTGGAGATCATCAAGTCCAACTCCCTGCCACCCCCTCCTGCTGCCAAGGCAGGGTGACCTGGAGCAAGTGACACAGGAACGTGTCCAGCTGGGTTTGGAATGTCTCCAGAGAGACTCCATGCCCTTCTAGGGCAGCCTGTCCCAGTGCTCGGCCACCCTCAACGTAAAGAAGTTCTTTGTCATGTTTAGCTGGAACTTCTGGTGGTTTAGTTTATGCCCACCATCCTGTGACTGGGTACCACAGAGAAGAGTCTGGCACTATCCTCGTGGCACCCACCTTCGAGGCATTAATGAGGTTAGAAGCTGCGAGGTTCACATCAGTCAGGCAGAGCAGCCGGGCTGTCTCCTCTACTGGAGCACCTCTAACCAGCTGCAACTCAGTGAACCCCAGCAAGGGTCCCCTGTGTAGCCACATTTCTCTTCACAGAGAAAAGCAAGGCACAGTTCTCCCCCAGGATATTTCTGGGTTTCACATTCTCTGAACCTCAGAGAAAGGAAAAACAATTCTTATCATTTGCTGTGCCAAAGTAGAATGCAATATGGAGATTGTTTACCAAAGGGATGGTGTTCTGTTTCCTTGGCCTGTCAGGGTGTGTGTGTGTCGGGACTGTCGGCTGACAGTCACGAGATTGAGTGCAGTGGAGCGCTTGGCAGATTCAGTTTAGATGTAATGTAATACAATATAAAATAATATAGTGTAATAAAGTAATTAATTAGCCTGATAAGATGGAGTCAGATGCATCATTCTTCCCTCATGGGGGGTTCCATACAAATTCCATACCCCGGTGCGCCCCAGAGCCGCCGCGCACTGCCTGCCGTGTCCGGGCCGGGGCCGGGGCCGGGCGGGGCCGGGGGCGGTGTCCCGGCTCCTCCCGCCCTTCTCCGTCCCCGAGCCCGGCCCTGCCGGCGGTCCCGGGGCTGCTGCCATGGAGCTGCCGGCCGTCAGCCTCAAGGTAGGAGCTTTGCCTGCCCCGGGGCTCGGGAGCGGGGCCGGGGAAGCGGGAGGGCGGCTGGGGGCGGCTGCGGCGGGCTGAGCCCCCCGGGCGCTCGGATCGGATCGGCCTCACTGTACCCTGCTCCTCTCGCATGGTCTCCGGCCGAGTGTCTGCTCCAGATCCTGGCTGAGGCCCTGCTGGAGCTGCGGAGCCCTCTGAGGGGGAAAACCGAGCCCTCTGAGGAGGAAAAACCGAGCCCTCTGAGGAGGAAAAACCGGAGCCCTCTGAGGAGGAAAAACCGAGCCCTCTGAGGAGGAAAAACCGGAGCCCTCTGAGGAGGAAAACCGGAGCCCTCTGAGGAGGAAGAACTGAAGTTTCTGCTTTTTTTATCACGTGGGCAAAGACTGCAGAAGTTCTGAAGGCCATGAATCCGAGTCGGGGGGAGGTTTAGGTTGGCTGTCAGGAAAATGTTTTCCCCAGAGGGTGATCAGGCAGTGAACAGGCTCCCCTGGGCAGTGGTCAGCACCGAGCCTGTCTGAGTTCAAGGAGCATTTGGAAAAAGCTCTCAAGCACAGGATGGAATTCTTGGGGTGTCCTGTGCAGGGCCAGAAGTTGGTGATCCCGATGGGTTCCTTCCATCTCAGTGTATTCTGTGATTCTTAATTAAACCCACCAGGTGATGACTCCAAAGTTTGCCCCTACTTCAGGGATATTGCTGAAGTTATTAACTAGTGACCATGGAGGTTCCTGGATCAGCTGACCAGAGCTAAGCCAAGATAAACACTGCACAAGATCCTGAGGAGACAAAGCTTTTGCTTGTCAGGCAAAGTATCTTGGAAAAATAAGCCCACTTACTTGAGGCTTATCATCTGATACATAACTGCAATTGCTTCTCTGCTGGGTAGGGCAGGCTCCACCTCTGGGCACTTCGGAAATTTCAGTGAATATCTGATAGCCACAGAAAGGAAATATAAGAGACCTAAACAGTAATGTAGCATTTTTCACTTTTGGAAGAAGCACTTCTTGCTTCTGGCCAGTGGATGTTAAAATCACACTGTTAGCTTTTGATGTTGATGTTTGATTCTGATGTCTTCTGTGCTACCAGACATGTGACATTTTCCTCTATTTTTTTGTCTTTCACATTTTCAGAGGCCTGAGATTTCTAGGTGTTTGTGTCCTTTCCCAGCTTCACTACTTTGTGATCTTATTTAATACAGCAGGGTTCAGGTGCTATCTTTGGTTAAAGGTTTCCCTAGTGACTGAAAGCATCACAGATCACATCAGGGCTTTTTTTGCTGATTTGTTAAGCTGTGAGCAGTAGCCTTGGACCAGGCTGCCTATGGGTTGGATGGGAGAATAGTATTATCTCAGCTTTGTACAGGACAGCTTTCATGTGGCTGTATTAAAGAAAAGATTGGTGTTCATATAATGATGAATACCCCTCTTACTAGTTCACCAAGAAAAGCAACTTCCCTCATTAGAGGCAAGTAAGCAAATGGATTTTTCAAGGCCCAGCTTGTGGATGGATTATATTACATTCTGGGAACTAGCTGATACTTTGCTCTGACAAGCTTGGACTACTGTGTGATTCCCAAGGCAGTAGGAAGATTAAAAGATCTTGCCTTCTGCTTTGTTTTTTAACTTGATTTTATTTTTTTTCCTATGCTAAAACAACAGTGAAAACTAAAGGCATTTAATTTAAAAGTTTGCCAACACGAAATACATGTTCTGCCATGGGAAATGGAGATAGGTGAGCTGAAAAACACTGACTTTTCAATGAATGAGTCACAAACACAACAAAACTAAAATGTTGCCTTTCTTCCTTGTTTCAGACAACCATTCCCCAATCTCTTGCTAGATAAGTGTGAGCTTGTCCTGGGCAAACTGTTTTCAGCATTAAGAAATTCCTTGTTGTCAGGTCTGCTACTTCTGCTCTGAGCTGCAAAGACAAGAATTGGGAGTGAATAATTGTACCTACACTTTATTCTGTTCCTGAGTTGGGGCCTGATTCCCTGTAAAATACCTCAAAAGTGGGGAAGATTCTTACTCAGAAGGGGCCTGGAAATAACATTCACTGCTGCTGTTCATTGGCATGATCTGCTTACTGGTTCTGTGAGATTATAAAGATGAGCCTTGTGATAGAAGTGGTTCCAAGAAAGCTGCATGACTGAGCTGTGTTTGTGCCAGAATGTAGCAGTACCTTAGCCTTGGGGTAGCTCTAAGCTCCTTGCAGAGCTGTAAAATGAAGGTGGCAGGCTTTGCCCTGCAGTGGGTGGGGAACATGCTCATTGAACAGGATCTACTTGCTCAGTTCTAACAGCCATGCTCAGCAAAACACGGGGGAAGCAGCACAGCCATGCTTTTGCCATGACTGCTTGACACCTGTGATTATTGAAATAATCATGCAGAGCCTCGAAATGCAACGTTTGACTTTGATCAAGCCTGGACAATGCCCTACAATTCATGTGCCTGGAAACACATATTTTGTGCTTAGGCATTTTTAAATGCTCAGTCACAGAAGCAAGGAATAATAGAGATGTCTGTGTGGCATGTGATTAAACCTCCTACTCAAAGCAAGGCAAACTGCAAAGTTAGATCAAATAGCTCAAGTCAACAATCAGCTGAGTTTTAAAATAAGAACAGAGCCATGTCAGCCCCATTGGGCAGCCTGTCCCACTGCTTAAGCCCTCTCATTATTATCACTCTGTTGTAATAACGAGGAGCATCCTCACAGGTGGCCACTCAGATTCATATTTTGGTTTTGTGTGTTCTCAGGTGAATGTCACTCACAGAGTAGGCGAGCTCACTGGAAAATAGAAATTTAGATACAACAAGAAAATAATTGTAATTTGGGACTGTTTCATTTTTAACTTGGTCAAAATGCAATCTTGTGCTGAAGCATGTTTAAAGGAGTTCCTGTTCCAAAGAGTTTCCCATCTAATGAGACCCTGGCAGACCTAGGCTCTTTTTATGCTTGGCAATTAGTTCCATCTCATGCTGGGATTTGCAGAGGAGGTAGAAATTCTCCTGAGCTCTCCCCAGTTTCCAATGGGGTGCTTTTAATTACATAGCCATCCTTTTTCCCAGAAGAGATGGAGACAAAGGACCCACCTTTCTTATTTTCTGCTCCCACCACTAGTTCATCAATAACTTTGGAGTTATTTTCTCAAAAGAAGAAATGTATGTCATGTATGTCTGTCTTAGCTATAGACTTAATTCCTTGGATAGATGGAAACATTTTAAATTCTTCTGCTGTTTTATCAGGAGACTGCCTGCAAATTAACTAATCTCACATAGTAATTTGTAGTTTTTCATTAACACTGTATTTTCTATGTTAAAGCATACCAACACCACCAGCTAGTTCCATAGTGCACTGAAGAACTGTCAGGTAAATTGGACTAATAACTAAAAAGGGAATATCTTGGTTTTATTTCAGCAGTCATTCACAGTATCAGCCCTTTATGCTGATGATTAAACATACTTCATAATTTAGTAACTGCAGTATTGATCTAGACAGCTTTAAAAAAAACCCACCCTGCCTAATTATGTTAACTGGTGAGCTTTGAGGGGTCTTGAGGGTATGTAACATGCAATTAAATACTACCTAATTAAGAATTTTCCTGATGTTGTGATGGTCTCTTGAGTAAACGCTATTTGCATGTCTCCATTCTCATATCCAGGAATATCTTGCATTTTACTGATGAGCAGTTTTTCCAGTGTGTGGTATAATTTGGGAGAAGGGGAAGCACTTAATTTGGGAGGGGTGGTGAAGCATTTTGTAAGCTTTCATGAACAATTTAAAAAAATTAATCAGTAAAAATCTGTCTAAGCAGTGTTGGAAGTTACAGCAAAGTCTGTGAGTGCTCAGCAGCTGTGATGGGGCAGTGCAGTGAAGGAAGAGCAGGAAATCATTTGCACTGTGGTGTCCTGGCAGAGCAGTGTGAGCCCAGCAGCTGGGCCACCCCTGTGCTGTCCTGACTGTGCTGCACTTATGTCACAGCTTCACAGCTTCACTCTCTTCTCCAGCAACTAGTTTTGTTTTCAGTTAGAGCATAGAGGGATGTTTTAAGTCAAGGAATCTGGCAGGGTGTCAGTAGATCTTAAATTTTTGTTGTGTCTTAATGCTCCTATCTGCATACAGCTTTCCTGTGTTCACTCAGTAACTTAGGCTTTTGCTGTGTACTCATTTCCCAATTTTCTTTTTTTTTCCTTTGGGGTGGGGGAGTGTGCTTCAGAGGGGTTTTGGTAATGTGGGTTTGGTTTTTTTAATACCAAAGTCAGCAGAAATGCCAATTTGAAGCCTTTCTCACAGCTAGGAAAAAATGAAAGTGCACCTGTATCCCATGGATCCTCTGATATGTCCAGGCTTCAGCCTGTCTTTAGTGAGGCTGTTAATAGAGCCTGTCTTCCAAATTCTTGCTTTCACAGATGTTTAGAGACCAAATATGAGTGATCTCCCTTTGCTGGAGTGACCAGCAGGCTGTAGATGTAGGAAAAGCCTGAAGTGATGTATTTTTGTTCCTATTTGCTCTCTGAATAAACATGTAGGGTTTGTTTCCTTGGTTACAAAAATGGCAAGTGGTGGTGAAGAGAATCCTTGTAGCACTTATTACAGTATGATCCTTTTTTTTCTTGGATTTGTCCCATTACACACAAGGACCAGGATCACTAAGGACACCTGCAAAGCACAGAATTTGTGACAGCATTACCTTACTGCTGCTCAGGGCATTGGTGGCAATGGAACCTTGTGGCTTCAGTGGGAGAGAAAAGCTGTGAGCTCTGGCAGGATCAGGTTCCCAGAGTGCTGGAAGAAGCCTTCAGGTCTGTTAATACTGCAGTGAGATTGAACAGGCTGGAAGGAGGTAAAAGAAGGATTTGCTGAGGACTGGAGGGAAATTCTTGGAGCTGCAGGCATGGCTGTCTATGGGTCTTTTGGTGGTGGGATGCCAGATCGGTCATGTATAAACTGTGCTAGCACAGTGTTAATCAGATTGCCTGGCTTTCTGTGCAAACCCTTCTGGAGTTCCAAAATTAATAACCCATTTAGAAAGAGTAAGTGGTCCCTGAATCAGATGTTGACAGAGATGACAAGAAGAGTGAATGACTACAGTGCAGCACCACAGGACATACTCAGCAACAGATGTGCAGAAAAATAGCTTTGTCTTCGCTGTCCCAATTGCTTCACCATCTTTCTGCACTGGTTCATGGGTCCAAGTGTTGGAGAATTTTGCTCAGAAATGGCTTATAGAGTTTTGTTCAGACATGCCATAATCATATACAGCTGATGGAAAAGTAAAAGGCAGCTGTGAGGAGCAAATTCTCACAGCCTGTTTCTGTAAACAACAAAAGTTCTCAGGCACGTTTATGTAAACAGCAGAGGTTCTCAGGTTGTTTTTAATAACAAGTAAATATCTTGTCCTTGGATAAGTTTTGGGAAAGCAAAAGTTGACAAACATGGAGGCCTGGAGAACTTTCATATCAGGGTGAGAACACAAATCTTGGATTCAATAACAAACCACTGGTATTGAAAACAAAAGGAGGGGTTAATGTGTGATCTGTGACCTATGATGAGCTCAGATTTTGCAATATGCATGAGCTTAATTAACGCCACTATAAAAGTGTGTAAGCGAGATCAATAAATTGGAGTTCGATGCTGATCAACAAAGATGGGTCCTCTCCCTTCACTTCATCATCCAAGCCACTCTTGCCCCCATCCCTTGGGAACAAGATGGTGCCATTTCACACTGATGCTCCCAGAGTTCTCCCAACATGCTAACCTGTCTTCCTGTCTGTTGTTCTTTTTTCATAGGCTATCATTCTGGTACATTGGCTGCTCACAGTGTGGTGAGTGATTAGTGTCTGGCCTGGGGGAGAAGAGGGTATTCCTTCAAACTAGGAATGGGATGTTCCCTGGGAATCAGCAATCCCTGTTTGCAAGAAAATCCTAAATCTAAGAGTGAGGTGTTTGTATGGGAACAGGGATAAAACCAAATTGTTGCAGGCTTATTGTGAATGTGAGCTGGATTTTTTTTCATTTGGCAGGGGATGCATGAATTACATGTTGCCTGTCTCCTATGCCTGGGGAAATTTCAGTGTCCTTGCAGTGGGGATCTGGGCCATTGTGCAGCGAGATTCCCTTGATGCCATAACGATGGTGAGTGTAAAGGTGCTGCTGGAAGAGGGTGGAGGGCAGAGTCCTTGAGCTGGTGATGATTTACAGCTGCTCCCAATACAGAAACTCCCTGTTTGGGTGGGTTTGGTTTTTTTTTTAAGAGTTCATAAATCTATGAACTCTGTAAACCATGGTGAGAAGCATTCACTGTCAATTATTTTTCTTTTCAGAGATGAGACATACTTGATTCTTCCTTTTTTTCACAACCTGCTGTTGTGAATTGTAATGCCAGATGAGGACTCAAAGTGTTTCATACGCTTCAGTTGGAGGAGCTCTGTAAAACCCTTTTCTGAGCCTTGAATAGATTGGCATACAAAAATAAACAATTCTAGAGAGAAGATATTGTATCATAATATCTTATGATATATAAGATATATATATAATCATATATCTCATGATTATATAACAATATCAATTCTAGAGAGAAGATATTGTATCATAATATCTTATGATATATAAGATATATATATATATATATATAATCATATATCTCATGATTATATAACAATATCAATTCTAGAGAGAAGATATTGTATCATAATATATTATGAGAAGATATCTGACAGGAAAAGGCATGAAATACAAGATAATTGATCTAGGAGTATCTGTCTGCCTGGGGCAGTACTAAGAGTGCTGTGTGACACCGGGGTGAAGGATGATTGTGCAACACAGATCTTGCAGGAAGCAGATACTGACTGTTCCTGTCAGTGGTTAAACCCTTGCTCTGTTCATGTCCCATTCTCTGTCCTTGTTTCCAGTTCTTGACTGGCCTGCTGCTCACAGTCCTCACAGACATCATTCACATCTCTATCTTCTACCCTTCCCACGACTACCTCAGTGATGCCAAGCGGTTCAGCGTGGGCATGGCCATCTTCAGCCTCCTCCTCAAACCCCTGTCCTGCTACCTGGTGTATCGGATGTATCAGGAACGTGGAGGAGAGTACACCTTGAACATAGGTAGGAGCTTCTTCTGCTTCCATGTCAGTGTGGGCCACCTCCTCAGGGCTGCCTGGCCCTATCAGCCTGAGCTCTGTGCAACTGGATTCTGCCCTCACTCCAGGCAGACAGTGCTTGCTCTGTCTTGCTCGTGTTTGTCATCCCATTTTGTCCTTCTGGTGTGTCTTTGGACTTAAATTTATGTTCTTCCTCTCTCCCCTTGCAGAACTGAAGATTTTGACATTTTGACATCTCAACACCATTTTGCCCACAATGGTGTTGAGAGTCTTTTCCTCTCCTCCTCCCCCTGCATTTCTGTGTGTTTGTTGGAAATTTTTAGGTGTCCTTTCTTTGTCAACCCTTTTTTTTCCTTTTGGGGGAGAGTAGAGGCAGTATTTCCTCTGGCTGGATTATGAACAAGAGGGAAATAAAGCTGGATTTCTAATTCCACGTGGGCCTCACATGTCCTATTTACCTTGATTGCTTTGGACTTTGTTCCTCACATGGAAAATGGCACTAACGTTTACCTGATGTGGGTTAGCTTGGAGACACTTAATTTTTCCCCTGGTTGTATTTGAAAATTATAAAGTGGAAGATTTGCCAGAGAGGATGGGCTGTGGCTAGATATTCTGGGTCTTGGTCAGCTTTGCCAAGCATTCCTGGTAGTAATTCATGCCTGGGCAGCTGCCAGGGATTGATTGTTTGCCAGGGATTGTTGTTTGAATTCATGCTGGCAAAACCTGCAGCCTATCACAGTTCTGTTTGTCATCCTGAGAAGTTTGTGCCAGACAAAAGGTGGTGTACCTGCATTACAGTGTCTGGAAGCTTTGGTGGTAGCAAAGATCACACTCCTTTGAAAAGAGGGGGAAACCTGCAGGGGAGGAGAAGCCATGGAAAGAAACCATGAGTGGTATTTGCACTTCTCTGCTAGTGGAGTGTGGATGTCATCTCTGCCAGCTACCTGTGAAAATCCAGATGGATATGTCTTATGTCTCCTGGGTCAGGAGGCACGTGAGTCACCTGCAGTGCCTTTTTTGTGTCAGTTTTTATTAGCTGCTCACTGTGCTTGTCATAGGGATTCAATATATGTATAGAAAGTATTGGAATCGTTGAAGAGTTCATCTCCTGCACTTCTTTTCAACCACAATGCCAAACTGAGAGTCTCCTCTCAGGTGGGAATTAAGACACTTTGTAGTTTCATATCCTCTCCTGAACTGTCTTTCTTACAAGATTTTCAGTACTGTGTGTTGCTTTGTGATGAACGTGCTTAACAAATTTCCTCTTATTTTCCTGCTATCTGGCATTTTCTTTTGAACCCACCAGTGTTGAAATTTTCCTGGCCTTCTCTGTCTTGTTTTCCTTCTACATTAAGTCCCTTTTTGTTGCCTGGGAGCATCCTTGCTGCTTAGAACAAATCCCTCATAGTCTGGTGGCTGTCTGTGATTCAGGTTGCCTTCTCCCCATGGCACATGCCCATAGATAAAGAGCTGTCCATGAATATTCTCTGCCTCCTCTTTCCCTGCTCATCTCCTGGACAGTAACATGATTTTGCACAGACAAATTGCTCATGGTGGAGTTAGAAGCACTGTTGGACTCAAATTTGAGGCAATTTGACCACACTTGAGGCATAGCTGCATTGTTGGGAAGAATGGTTCAGGGATGTAGCATTCCTTTAAATCTGTGCTGTCAGCTAGCCACAGCTCCTGCAGCTTCTGGCTCTGTTCATTTTTCCCTGAGTTCTCATACACTTTATCTTGCTGAAATGCACTGTTACAGGAACCTGTTGTGCTGCTATGGGGTATTGTGGGTTTTGCTTTCCACACATCCATGTGGCTGCTAAGAGAGCTGTTCTCAAGGAAAGAACAGGCATGTTGGAAGGATGACTTTTCTTACCCCTTGTTTAGTGAGGATCACACACCGCAGGTGCTGGGGGAGCTGGTAAAATGTGTGCTCCTGAGCTGTTAGTTTCTCCTAGAGCATTCAGTTCTTGTGCTTTTCTCTTTGTGCCAAGCTTGTTCTCTTCCATCTCCTTTCAGGTGTCAGCAGTGCAGGCCGGGACAGCAGCAGCTACGAGCCCATTGATCAGCCAGAGGCTCCTCCACAGTGGCCTTCCTCAAGCAAGGCAGCCCAGCCACCCTACTGAGCACCCTGCAGCCAGCACTGACATTGCCCTTGCCCAGCCAGGCCTTCCTCTTCCCACTGAGCAGCACCTGCTACTGGGAAAACAAGAGAAGAGCTGATTTTTTTTTGCCTGCCTAAAGGTTAGGGTGGTGCAGTAAGTCCAGAAGATCTTGGAGGTGTCATGTTAAGCACTGTGTAATCCCAATGCTCTCTTCCCTCCCCCTAAATCCTCTGTACATGTGATGGATGCACCTCCTACAGTCTTCCACTGTGCTTCCTCTTCTTTATAAGAGAACCACTCAAAGCACTCCTGGACAAGCAATCTTTAAAAGGCTCATGGACTGCCCTAAAGCAACACAGTTTAGCCTGATTTTATGCAATATATTTCCAGGAAACACCTGGGAGTTCCCAAGTGCTGTTTTTGATGGCATTATTTAACTTCTTGTGCTCCCAGGATCTGGTATTGGGTTTTATTAACTGATGCTTTTATGCAAGTTGAATGTCCTTCAGGATACTTAAAATGACTGTTGAATGTAGATTACAGATCCTTTGTGCCTTGAAATGTCCTTTTGCCTTCAGCTGATTGTCTTAACAGAAGTTGAAATGTTACATTTTTCTAAGAAAACTATAAAATGAACACAGTTTTTCTGTGTTAGAAAAAGTTACTCTGGTCACTTATGTCTCATTTGAAAATGTAGCTTTTCCTGAGGGCTTGGGACTGTAGCCAGCCAATCTGGGAGGGTCATTATGGGGGGAGGTCTACAGGGCTCTGATGGCTTTTAGCCTAAGCTTTACTCTGAGAAGTAGAAAATTCTGCATATAATTGTGTGGGTGGGAAGATGAGCAAGTAAAATGATTGAGGAAAGATGGACTTACTTACGCTGTAGATGATCTGTCCTGCTGTGGCTTTCAGGTAAGATTCTAAAAAAAGAAAACCAAACAAACAAAACCCCAGAAGTAGGCAAACAACCACATTTCAACAGGATTCATTTACAGAAGAAAATGAGTATGTTACCTTTGGCAGAATTCTAGTGCTAGGAAGATAGGTATTTTTCTGAAGAAGTTCATTGTCAAAGTTTATATCTGTTATTTTACAACTGCATTTCTCCTGACAAGACCTTCTGCTGTGTTGATTCTTCAGTAACCAAGACCCCTGTTGACTTTGCTCTAAGCTCCAGAAACGTGTCATTTGTATTTTTAAAACCAAGCAGATTTCTTCCAACTTCCATCACTTTAAACGTAAGCAGATGCTTCCACTCCTCTGCTGCACAAGCACATTGACCTCTTGATGTACCCGAACCAAGCACATAAATGCCATAAAAGTGTTATACATTCTTTTTACAGGCTTGACATATAATAGGGCACAAGACTAGGAATTGGTCTGTTCTTGTGATTAGATGGCAAAGAAGGAAAGAGTAGGCAGAAATTGCTGGGGCTTGTGGAGTTCCAGAGCCTTTATGTGAATGGGGTTTTTTCAGCTCTTTAGAACTGTACAGTGACAGCACAGAGCCCTGAATAAGACATTTAAATGCTTTTTTTACCTAGATCCATGGACCAAAGACTGAAAATCCAGCATTTAATGCTGTGGGGTTTGCATGTTGGCACAATCAGTTATATCTAGGGAGGCCTTCCAGATGTTATACATTGGAAATACCCATGTAGGTGACCTGCCATGCATTTTTCTTGGAATTCATGGAATTCTTAAATTCATGGAATTCAAATTTGGTACATTTGGGAGCTCCAAGAAGCAGAGCAAGGCACGAGTAACACTGATCTTATCATGCCTCAAGGATACCTATTTTGGGCAGTAAATCAGAGGTGATGATGAAAACAAACCCCTCACGAGTAACACTGATCTTACCGTGCCTCAAGGATACCTATTTTGGGCAGTAAATCAGAGGTGATGATAAAAACAGACCCCTCTCCTGGCTGAGGTGGAAGAGAGTGTTTGTATCTGGTTCAGGAGGGCGTGAGGGGATTCACGGGGCTGCTGTGCCAGAGCATGGCCTTGCTGCCTCTCAGGGGGTCTCAGTGAGATCTCACCCAGAAAGCTGCGATGCTCCATTCGGCTGGTTTCGCTTTGTTGTTTTAAACCCTCAGGTCCTGCTGTGCCCGGCGTTTTGGTGGCGAGCAGGCAACTCCCAGCATTAAGCCCAGCCCGCCCAGGGCAGGTGCCTCCCTCAGCCATGGCGGGTTCGGGTTCCGCTTGTGGAGGAAGCCATGGCGGTGTCCTGAGGCACTGCCCGGGACAGGCACGGCTCCCGCCCGGCATGAGCCCCCCTCTCCCCGGCCGGGCCCCGGCTTTAATTAGCCATGGCCCAGAGCGGCTTTCCCCGGCCATCTGTAGCCCCGGTGACCGACCTAATCAGGGGGATAAGCTGCTTATGGAGGCGCAGCTGGAGCGGGCGCTGAGGGGGCCGAGGGTGGCTGTGGCCGCGAAGGAGGTGCCGGCTCAGACGCTCGGTGTGGTCGGTCCCCGGGGCCCAGCAGTGCCGGTGCCTCTCGAAGTGGGTAAGTGGAGCCTCGGCCGTGGGTGAGGAGCTTCTCACTCCCGTTTCTGCCTCCTGGGTGCTTGGATGGCAGCGCTGCGGAGGGAGGACTACCTGTGTGTGTGCTTGTTTGTTGCGGTGTGATGTCATGGTTTGGTTCAGATACCCCAGGTTTCTCCCTGAAGATTCTTTCCCCAGGTGTATCCATCACCTCTCCTTCCCCCTCCCTTGCCCCCTGTCAATCCTGGCATTCCAGAAGGGCATCGAGTAATTAGCAGAATTCAAAAGATGCCCTCTATCCCTAGGGAGACATTAAGCTATCCAGGTGTCCTTTGTCCCTTCAGACCTCCTCTGTGTATCTGGTTGGTGGCTCCCTACCCCTTCCCTGCCCCTCTCCCCGGGGTTAAAGGAGCAGCAACCACGGGCTCACGGAGTTCTGTTGGAGCTGGTGCTGCATTCAGAGGCCTGTGGGCCAGAATAAAGCTCTGCATCCAAACCCTCCATCAGAACCAACTCCTTTCCTTCACCATTGCCTTAAAGCTTCTCCACCAGAGGTAAACCCATGGGGCAGACCCTGTTTTGGGAGGAAGCTCCATCCCTCAGCCATCAGAGCTCCTGCAGGCCTGGAATTGCCTCCAAGCGCCCAGCTGCAGCATCCAGGCAGCCAAAAGTGTCTGTGGGGTAAAACACCACACATCCAGCCAGCCAAAGGTATCTCTGGGGTGAAACACCACAGTTGCCACTTTTTTGTTCAGACAAGCTCAGGCACATCCCATCTGGCTATATTGGTAATATTCCAATACTTGTTGGTCTCACAGGCATCACGGCAGTGATGGTTGGTTTGGTTTGTAAAGCTGAGCAGTGTTTGGGAAAAACCTGCTTTCTAAGGCAGCTGAAGTGTGAGCTCAGAGTAATCACTGGCCCTTACTTGGAATATGAAATGGATCAGTCTTGATCTGCAGGGATCAGGAATAAGCGCTGTGTGTGCAGTGCAAATGTGTTTATTAAGGGTCTGGTGTTGTTACCGTCTTGCTGAAATGGTATTTGCTTGATTTACTTTTCATTGACTGTGCTGTTTATTTCCTTTTGCTTATAACAACGGAAATAACTTGATCATCTTAGTTTTTATTTGCTTAATTGAGTTTGTTTCAGGTTTTAATGCGTTATTGTGTTACTGCAAAGTGTGTATATAGTAAGCATGCATTAAATGTTTTAGTTGGAATCATAAAAACTAACATAAAATCCATTGGTCATGGATTTTGCAGTTCATAAAATGTGCCATTTGCCTTGAGTATCTTTTGGCCTCAGTAGAAGTTTTAAGAAAGACCTTGATAAGATCTTGTTGTGACTGAGATTAACCCTACTGCTTTAAAGTTGTTATATTAAAGATCTGAGTAGCAATTTCAGAAGGCAGACAAGCGTGATTTTGAAAGGATACTATTTCTTCCAGATCTCAATGAGACTGAAATTAGGAATGAGTGAGGTGAAGGGCACCACCTGAAATAACCATGGTGATGTGGTGAGAACCTGGTGCCTAGCACAAAGAATTGAAATGGAGAGCTGAAAAAACCACAAGTTATCAAGAAAATAGATTATGTCCAGATTCTTGAGCCTAAGGTAGTCCAGAGCCAGGTTTTGGGTGTTCACAGAGCAAAATAACACTGAAAAACGTGGTGGGTTTATTTCCTTTTGCAATTTAAATCCTTTGTAACACCCTTTTGTGATACATTGCTTGCTGATTGGATATTTCTGGGATGCAAGGAGTGCTTCCATGGAACACCAGTCCAGTGCATTTTGTGGTTATACTTCATGCAGTGATAGGCACCCCAAGGAAGGCAGCTGTGCTTTGTCTGTTCACTCTGTAGTTGCCAACTTCAACTGGTCTGGAGGAAATAATGGGATCTTTCCGTGGTGGCACCCTCGGTGATGGATGAAAGGCAGTAACAGCAGTTCCCAGCGATAATTGCAGCACTGCCTGACTGTCTCCTGCTGCTTTAGAAACTGTGTTTGCTCCCCAGATTGTGGTGATTACTGAAGGAGTTTGCATGTGAGAGGGAAAAATGAGCTGTTACAAACAGGGACAACTGAGCCTCGAATGTTCCCTCAGAAGAGAATGAGATAAACACAGCTTAGAAACAGTGCAATTTGGCAGGAGGCTTTCTGGGATTAGAGTGTGTTTGAAAAAGACAATGGGCATTGATTTCGTTGCTGTCTCTTCTCAGATTGACTAGGGGGCTTTAAGATGATAGAGATGTGTGTGTCTTTATAGAATACCATTTTCATTTTTAAAAAGAGAGGTGGAAAAGAATGGTGGTTAGAATGACAGTGATTGACAACTTGCTTTTAAAATCTGAGGGAATGGAACCACAGTCCTCTCAAATTGCACTTGCCTGTTAGCAGCAACTTAAGAATCCATTTTCAGCATGAATGTTAAATGTATAACCATCAGACTTAGTGGCTAGACTGCACAGTAGGTCTCCCAGCTATGCTGTAAATCTTCCAGATTAGGGGACAGTGTGGATTTTATGAATATGTAAAACATGGTTTCATCCTTTAGTGCAGACAAAAAGAAATAAGTCTGTGTAGCTTTGAGCTTGGGATAACTCAGCCTTGCAAGCAACAGACTCCTTCTGGTGTGTAATGCTGGAAGTCTTTGTTTTCCAGGTTTTTTGTGGAGAGCTGAATCTGTCCTTTTCATTCATTCCTGCTCTGCCAGATACAATTGTCTACTGAAAACCAGGAAGAGAGTAGTGTCCGTAACACTTTGAGGACTGAGGCTGGTGCATCAGAGACAAGAAATTCACAAGGAAAGTACCCAAAGGCTTTGGCAAACTAGGCAAGATGAGATAGGAAATACTCACAGTCCTTTGCTTATATTTCTTCTTGTTTTTCTTCAGAGCAAAGAAACATTGAGAAGAACGTGAATTTCAGTCTGTATTTGGGCACTAGAGGTCGAGTAGACATTTCTCATCCCTGGTCTGAGTCAGATGGGAGGAGATCCCAGTCTGAAGACAGAATAATCTCTCCTGCCCTTCTCAGCCCTTCCTGGACACTGCCAGCCAGTTCTGCAGTTCCTGCTTGCTGCAGCAGCATAATCTGTGCTCCAGGCTGCAGCAGCACAGCTCTAAGTGTGTGGTTCATAGAGTCCCCATCTTGCTTTGTCAGTCCTCCCTGCTGTGTGTCTCCCCCAGAGGCACTTTCACCTTGAGCCTTGTGTTTTGGGAGGGAGAAGGAGTGAGAGTATTGACTTTTCAGGGAGCCAAGGCAGCTGGTAGCTGCTCTATACCCACTGTTCACCATCACTATTCAGAAAGAAGGAACAAGAATTGTGACACTCTGGTGGAAAGTCAACAGCATCAGCCTTCTGCTGCTTCCTGTATGAATCCTGTGAGCCCTTTAGTGGTCAATGCACATTTGTCATCTCCTGCTGCAGATTCCCCTCTCAGGCATGAATTAGTGGTGGGTCCTTCTTTAGGGAGCTCAAGTGAAAGTGTGAACACTTGTCACAGTTCAGCCCTGACCCTGGGGAACCTTGATGTATCTAACCTGGAGTCTTTTCAGTCTCTTTTGCAATCCTCACAGACTTCTGCTGGCTTGTGCTGTTCAGTCCAGAGGCTGGAGCAAGAAAGTGCTTTGATGGGGATTCGGGGTTCCCTCCCTCTGGAGTCTTCTCCAGTCCTTGGCCATTCCTGCTTTGCTCCTGATGATTCAGGTCCCAGTGTCCTGACCATGGGAGAGCAGCTAGCTGCAGTAAGAACCAGTGCTGCTCAGACAAGATTGAAATGGAGTGTCCCATTTGCTAAAGACTGGAGCCTTAGTGCAGTGACAAGAGACTTCAGTGCTGCTGAGCCTCTCTCTGGCTCTTACAGATACAGATACATTGGCTCTAACACATGGAGAACCAAAATTTCAGGTGGTATTCAACCACAAACCCTTGTTTCTGGAGGGGGCTCTGGCAGGGTAGTGGGTACAGAAGCAGATTCCTCCTTCAGTTGTTCCCCTTTCTTCAGATGCCAGTCCCTGGTAAAGCCATCTCTGGAAACTGGTTGTCTTTATGTTCACAGAAAAAGTCATTCTCCTGGAAGGGCTGTTAAAGGAGAACAAACATCTTATGGAGGCTCTCCATGTGCTGAGTCTTGGAAGAAAAACCTTTCAGCCAGTCTGGATCCAGAGGGTCTGCAGGTGTTACTGGAGACAGATCTGGGGGGAGCTCAGGGGAATGTTTGTGTAGCCATGTGTGGGACTCCTACAGAGGTGTGTGTGAGCATCACTTCTCATCCTGCAGATAAAGAGTTTAGACCAGGCCAGCAGCTTAGTGCTAAATCTGTAGAAGTCAACAACTGTGATGTTAAGTGCAGCAAAGAGTCAGAAGAGGTGTGTCACTCCAGATCACCAGCAGCCAGAAGAACAGCTGCAGTGGGCAGCTGCCAGTCCAATCCTTTGGGTACACCAGTTGAAGAAGGCTTTAATGAACATTCTGATGTAGATTGTATGAACATGAGCAGAGAAGGAAGGAGAAACAAATACTCCTGCCAAAGCAGCCGGTGGAATTTGGAAACTGATGGCCCTCTTGAGCAGCCTGAAGAATGTTCTGTAGAAAGAAATGCCAAAGAACCATGGTGCTGTGAAGAAGGGAACCAGACACAGAGAACTCTGCCCAGAGAGGTGAGGGTGTGGTCACTGTGAAGCATCTCTGTCCACAGGTATTACTTGTGCTTGTTTCTGCCACTTGCTAGAGGTGCAGAGTGGAGGTACAAGTGATGGGGATGCTTGTCCTATCGTTTTTTCTTGTCACTGAATAGCCACAATCTCATCTCCTACAGTCCTTCTTCATCCCCATGTATGCATCTTTCCATCTCACATGTTTCTTCTTAAAGACCAGCTTGTCAACCTGGTTCTTTTGGGAATGTAAACACCTGTTTATATTCCCTAATCTGCATGCTGAAGGAAAGTATTAAATGGGATTTTACTCTGTGCATGGTTGCAGGGCCCTGGATTTCAGGCTTTTTGTGCCTTTTTATGTCTGAAGTGTATAACAATATTCACAGAGCAATGGTGTGGGAGCAGTGTCCAAGGCATCCCACATAATACATGATCTTGAGGCAGTCCTGCTCTGGTCTCCATCCAGAATGATGTGTGCCACAAACACAAATTCTTCAATAGAGTGGAGCAGTGTGAATAATGTGAATTACTGTCTCTTGTCTGTTTGCAGATCTCAGAGAGCAGCTTCTGGTCATTGAAGGTGAATGAGCAAAGGTAAAAAGGCTCTGTGTTTAAGTGTGAGTGTGCTGGTAGTTTTAACTGAGGAGCACTCCTGGGAAGTGACTAAGGAGCCATGTCCCTAGGAACATTTGGGTTTGGGACTTAACCTACATTAATCTGCTGTGGTTGGCTGCATCCACTTCTTTTCAAAGGGTTGTCATTTAGAATGGAGCATGACCTAAAATATAATTTCTGTATCTTTTCAATGCTATCTTCTAAATTCAGCCTTGGTTGTTGCTTGAAATGAGGAAGTGTTGGTATCATCAGTGCTACTTTTCAATGCAGCAAATTCTGATTGCTCCCTACACAATTAGAGAAGATCAAGAGCTAGACTTATCCATGAGATGGAATTCAAATTTGTGGATAAGATATGAATGAGGTTGCTACCTGTTTAGCAACAGTGATTCCTTAATTTGGTGTGAGATTGCATGTTTTCCATTCTTTAGAGAGAATGATTTGAAATAACCTCTTTACAACTCGATGGCTGAACTCTGATTGCCACCTCCTGGCTGGTTTAACTTTCCTTTCTGTGTAACAGGAACTCACCTCTGTTTTTCATTTTTAAGTTTCTGGCGCTTGTGTGACAAACAAATCCTAACAAGGTGTTTCCAAGCCTGGAGGAGATACATCCTTTGGAAGAGGGCAGCCACACAGCTCTACAGACACCAGCTGCTTCAGAAGGGCTTTGGTGCTCTGCAGGGGATTGTGCACCAGAGGAGGACACAATTGGAGGTGGCCCAGCAGAGACATGCTTCAGCTCTGCTAGCTGCCAGCTTCCAGAGGGTGAGCACAGCCTGGGGACAGTGGTGCCATGAACTTCCTGCTGTGCAGTCAGAGGCAGCACAAATCCTGTTTGGATAGGGAGGAGGAAGGGGTACCCTGTGTGAAATTCTGTCATGTAGACCCTGGTGCTAATACTCTGTCTGCAGTTTGTTCTGATCGTGTGGTTTCTTCTTCAGTGGAAGGAAGCTATGGCAAAACAGAGCCAGAAGAAAGCTCTGCAGCCTGAGCCTTACTCCTACACCCAAAGTTCATCAGTGGGGATTTTTGGAGTAGGAAGATTGGCCACTATGACAACCCCAGCTCAGCATCAGCTTCCAGCAGGATACTCAAAGGAAGTGAAGCAGGCTCATAGGTAAGCAGAGAGTATTCTCCTTCTTTCTGTTTTCTTGGACAAAGGGAGGTTACAAACACAGGGCATTTTTTTTCTCAAATGATGGCAGACCTGTTTCCATGTCCTTGGATGTATTGCTGTGGATAAACATGGCAAGAATTAGCAGTTTAATGTCAAGAACTAAACAGTCCTGTTTCAGAGCTTCTGTGCACCAGTGTTTGCAGTCTGAGTGTCTGACAGAAATACTCCTGTACTAATTCTTTGCTTCAGCTATCACCTGCATGTGTGATACAGGAGTAAATGAGGTTGGAGTGAGGCAATACTACAGTCTCTAGCAGGAGTTTGGCAGTAGAGGTGTCAAAAGCAAAGCCTTTTGTTGAGGCTTCTAATTCTGAAGGCAGAAGAACAAGTTGAGACGAAAAGAGAGAGGAAAGCCCTGGGTTCTGTTCTGTGAGTACCTCTTTGGACAGCTGGATGTTAAGGATGTTTGTGGCTCTTTCAGGATGGAGGGAGAGCTGTGGACTCAGCTTCGTCACAGGCAGAGAGGAGAGTTCTGCTGGGGAGTTGAAGCAATCAGAGACATGAGGAGGCTGGCTGGTAAGCACACATTCCACAGCCTTGGAACAGCCTGGAGGTGTCCCCTGTTTCACCAGTTTTTGTGCTTTGTGTCTGGTTGTTGCTTTGAGCTCTTTTGGAATGTGATTCTGCAAGTATGTTGTATTTGTGGGGTTTAGATGATGGAAGGAATGATGAATCTGACTCCATGTTCTCAGAAGGCTAATTTATTATTTTATGATACTATATTATATAAAAGAATACTATACTATACTAAAGAATACAGAAAGATACAGACAGAAGGTTAAAAGATAAGAATGAAAACTCATGATTCCTTCCAGAGTCCTGACACAGCTTGGCTATGATTGGCCATTAAGTCAAAACAATTTACAGCAGAAAACAATGAAAAAATCACCTGTTGGATAAACAATCTCCAAACCCATTCCAAAGCAGCAAAACACAGGAGAAGCAGATCAGATAATTATTGTTTTCCATTTTCTCTGAGGCTTCTCAGTTTCCCAGGAGAAAAATCCTGGGCAAGGGCATTTTTCAGGAAATATAACGGTGACAAAAGTAGCTGGACCAGTATGTGTGATGGTGGAGGATGGCCACTCACCATGCCATACAAGTTTTGCCTCATTCCTTGTATGAATTCAGCTGCAGCATGTGTTGCTCCAGCAATGTGAGCTGCCTTCCTTAAGTGTCCTTCCTCTGGCAGCTTGGATTTAAGCCAGGGAATGTTTGCTGTGTGACACGAAGTTGTTTGAAGTTCTTCTGCTATTTCTCTTCCTGCCCTGTGACACAGCAGCTTTCAGACTGTGGCGCCTGCAGAAGGAGCTGCTGAGCAAAGAGGAAGCCAGGCTTTTGGAAGCCCGTGCTCTGCTGGAAAAGAAAAAGCTACAAAACATTTTCTGGATGTGGCATTCCCAAAGCTTGGAAATGAAAAAGATTCTAACACTGACAACTCAAATCCAAAGAAACTTGGTTTCCCGGTGAGTTGGTGAGATCTGGTTTTCATGTAAAAAATCTCTTCTCTGTGAAAGTCCGTGCAATAACAGAGCCAACCCAGACAGTAAAAATTGTTCCATCTTAAAGCCATCTATCCTTTTGTTTTAGGAGTTAATAAAGATGAAGGTAGGGGTAGAAACATAAAAAGAAACTTCTGTGGCCAGAGATGTTATGACTTGCCTCCTGTGCACCGACAAAACATTTTTGTCCTGACTTTTGATGTTCTGAAAGATCAAATCCAAGAGCAGCCACTGTGCTGCTGTGCTCTAAGCATGACAGTTCTTTTTACTGAAATAAACAAAAAAAAAAAAGCTCAGGGAACAGCTTGTGTCTGTCTTCCCTGAACTAAACCTCGTCTCAGGAAGACACATAATCTTGTTTAAGTGTTTTTCAACATTTTCCTTTGGTATTCTCAGGTGCTTCAGTACCTGGAAGGAGGCTGTTGAGCAGAAGGCACTTGACAGGTGCAACCTGGCCCATCTCAGAGCAGTATCACTGAGGAAGCACTTCCAGCAGTGGGTTGGGATGCTGCAGGTCAGAGGAGGTGATAAGCAGGCAGTGCTGAACCTCTTCCTCCTGCAGTGGAGGCAGCATTATGGTGAGCAGCTTGGGGGCTGTGCAGAATCTAAACTTTAGAGGTGTTTAAGCTCCTTCCTCCTCTGGTACCCTGAAAACAGAGGGGCTCAGATGATACAGGGAGTGAACAAAACAGGGTGGGCAGAGGACTGGTTCTGGGTGTGTCAGTGAAGCTACAGGGAGGTTTGTTGCTCTGCATCATAAACCAAACATAAACTCTTAAACCTTGCTGAAAAGAAGCAATGTGAGGGTTGGGCTGGGCTGAGTTGGAATGCCTTGAGACAATCTCTTGTTCCTTTATGTAACTGGTTAAGGAGCAGTTGTGAGCTCAGCAGCTAAGACTGTGACAGAGAGTCATGAAGGTCAGACATCATGGAGTGGACAGAAACAGTTTCTGGAGAAAACAGTCTATTCTTTTGATGACTTCTGCCAAAAACTGAAGCTGCAGAGAGTATATCTGCTGTGGAAAACAAGGTTGTGTGAGCATCACAAGGCTGAGTGAGTGCAGAACCACAAGTCCCTGAAGCCCTGCCCCCATTAGTAGTGTCCACTTGATTTTCTGAACCTTTTGCTAGAGCCCCTTTTACCCTGTCTATTGTCCATCATGTCTGTGCTAGTCACCCCTTCTGTTGTTCTTCTTTCACTTTACTATCTCAGTATCTTCTGTCTCAGTTCTTTCTCTCAGGTTTTGGAGCAGTGTAAACTCAGAAAAGCTCTGAAATTATGGCACCAAAAGTATCTCATGCTGAAGACATTTGAACCAAGTTCTAAGCACTTGCATAGAGCTGTCTATGAGGAACCTCTTGCCATGCTGTTTTCTGAGGACCTCTCAACATCATCTGGCTTTGACAGCAGTGCACCAGCTACTCTGACCTCTCAGAGCTCATTGGAAAAGGTGAGAAAGTCTTGGTACACCTAAACTGCTCTGAGGTATTAAATTGCTGGGATGTTTCAGGGGAAATTTCTGCTTCAACATGGTATTGTCATCAGCAAACTGTGCTTAAAATTTAGTGCTGAGTCTGTGGGGTCTTCAAGCTGAAATGAAATCTAAAGGTAAAGTCAATGCTCTCTGTGCCTTTTCTGGTTCATCAATTGGAGATGTGGGAAGCTGAGCTAGTGAGTTTCCCTTGTACAGTTGCTTCTGTCTGTGGCTGCAAGGTGGAAGGGATGAGATATAAAGAGCTTCCTCACTGAGACAGTGCACATGCTTATTTCCCCTTTTCTCCATATAGAAATGCATGTATTTCTGGATTCAGTATGGAAATTATTAGCATAGGAATAACTTTCCCACCACTTACATGTTTGCTCTCCAAAGGTGCCATGGCAATTCCTTTGGATGCATTTTGGATTTGCCTGAATCCTTGATCAAAAAAAAGGAGTAAATGATATGGTCAGAGCTGTTAGCTGGGTTCTTCCACTGTGAGGACACTCACCTCACAGCATGTTCCTCCCTTCATACCTGCAGGAATGCAGTCTCAGTGACAGCAGCCAGCATGGCTTCTCCTCCCCTGTGGCTGCTGAGGATGTCACACATGTGTCATGCCACAGTTCTTTCCTTCAGCTCCACCAGTGCACAGAGCTGCCAGCTGAGCTGTGTTTGCAGAGCTCCTTCCCTGCGTCTGGGTGAGTTGGAGACTGGTTTTTTGGGATGCTGGTAGGAGTAACCCTTGTTTGAACTGGCTGAATTCCTTCCTTCTGGATAATCCCTCATGTCATGTCACACCATCCTTCCAGGGGACTTTATCTTCTTTCTTTCTTTCCTCACCCAACACTTCTGTCTTGCAGAAGAAATTGGTTTGTGGGAAATCAGTTCCAGTCTTCAGTGCTGCAGAGTCCTGATAATAATTCCCAGCCTCTCACCAGTTACTCTGCATGGGAAGAGGTAAGGCTAGAAAGTGTGTAAAATGTAAATAAACAAGTGTTTTCTGCATATTCAAATTTAGCAAAGAGCCTTTGGGTTTCAATATCAGCATATGGAAGGTCTCATTGCTATTTTGTTCTCTCTCAAGCAGAAGATTTGGGAGATTGAGGCTTTTCTCAGGGTAACTCTTCCCTCCCAGCTGAGTGGAAGTAGGGCAGGTGTCAAGGATTTAGAAAGGATGTGTTAGACCCTCGTATCTGGCTGTTCATGTGGGGCATGTCAGGGATATAAAAAGGATGTGTTAGACCCTGATGTCTGGCTGTTCATGTGGGGCATGTCGGGGGTTTAAAAAGGATGTGTTGGATCCTCATGTCTGCCTGTTCATGTGGGCCATGTCAGGGATTTAGAAAGGATCTGTTAGACCCTCATGTCTGGCTGTTCCTGTGGGGTGGATGGGTTAGGGATGGAGCTGGGCAATCACACAAGTGGCAGTGGCAGGGAGACACGGCTGAGCTGTGTGGAATAAGTGATATAACAGCAGTTCAAGGCCCTTTTTTGCCTTTCTGGATTACAGGATTGCACCTCTGACAACTCAGTGAGGAGCTGGTGGCAGCAAGCAGAGCAGCACTGCCTGCAGAGGTGCTTCATGGTCTGGTCAGCTCAAACTCAACACCATGTCAAGGCCCAGCAGCACTGCAGGCGTGTTCGGCTGTCTCGGTAGGGATCATGATTTCCAGAAGTTTCCTAAACTTTCTCTTTTGAAAGCTTTACACTTGCTTTAATTTTAAAAAAAGGAAAAAATTCTTCTTCTAGCTATTTTATTTTGTCTTCAGTGGGAGTTTTGCAGCCCATTATTTTGGGGTTTTTCCAGCTTCAAAATGACTATGTAGGAACACAGTAATTTCTGGTTTGATGGAATGCCTCACAAATTAGAGCAAGCCCAGCTCTGATGATAACAAGTCCTGGTAACTTCCTGTCCACTGAACTGGCCTTGCTCTGTAGTGATTCCAAAGCTGAGGAGCAAACAGGCTTGGCACAGCCAGGACAGAAAACCTAACTCTGAACAGCTGTCCTGTCCATCATTTCCCCTGATGTTTAATGGGAAAAGGATGTTTACAGATCAGATGTGTTTCCAAAACTCCCTTGTGTGTGTGTTTGTGGTTAAATTTTCCATCACAAAGGTGTGTATCTCTGTGAGTTGTTCCCACAGTCAGTGCAGCAACCTTTGTCCTTCTCAGAGCCTTTCTCAGCTGGCACCACTGGGTCATGGAAAATAAGAACCAAGAAGCAGCAGCAGCCCTAAAACATGGAGTTCATTGTGTCCAGATGGCTTTCAGCCTGTGGAGAAGGAGACTGGCCCAGAAAGTGGAAGCTGACCGGAGATTCAGGTGTCATGCTCAACAGATGACTGCTGATGCTCTGTGGCATTGGCACTCCTGCTGGCAAAGTGAGTGACCCCATCCCACTGCCTCACTTGGCTCTAGAGAATAGAGCAGCTCTGGGAGTATTTGGGGTGGGCAAAGTCACACTTTTGGCTGGAATTCTGTGCACTGCTCCTCTGGAAAGGCACATACCAGGAGTTAGTAGGTGCATTGTCACTGCATTCTGTCAGTAGGACATGTGACCTACTGTTCTGTTGTGCTTTATATTAAGGAAGATGCTCCTTTGACACTTCTACTTGCACAAAAGAGTGTTCAAGCAGTGTATTTTAGCAGCTGGAGTTAAATGGACTTCCATGCAGCATTCCAAGTTTGAACATGTCTCCTCAGACCAAGCAGTCAGGTTGGGAACAGGGTGTATCTTAACAAATCTGATCCCTCAAGGAATTCCATGTGCTCTAAGTACTTGTCCTGCGCCAGGGAAGAAAAACTCCCAATTTTTAATGGAAAACTGCCTTGCAGATAAGAGTGGAAGCAATCAGTGATCTCTTGCAGGGAAAATTTGAAAGAAGGTCTGACTGCCTTGCAGACAAAAAACTACAAGGTGAATTGAAAAGTGTCTTTAGCTGCTAAAGAGAGGACAGGAAATCTTAGCAAGTTTGGCTTCATTTGGTGTTTGTAGGAGATGTATTCTTTGCTCTTATTTCTCTGGAAGAACAGTCCCTGGGCTCACTGAGGAAGGTGTGCTCTCTCACAGGGAAGCGTGCTCTGGCAGAGCTGCAGCAGCAATGGGCCTGGCACAGCTGCCAGGAGAAGAAGAGGCTGGTCCTGCACACATGGAATTGCCGAACAAGGAAGCAGAAATATGCTGTCTTGTTCTGGGAACGTTTTCTCCTGCACAGGTTTGTTTCTTGCTCTTTGAGAACATTTCCAAGGGAAGCTCTGCATGAAGAGCAATTTATGTAGTAGTATCCACTGTATTATGCTGCATTTGAAAGTGTGGATAGCTCATGTATAAATGGAGCTTCTGTAGCAGCACTTCTCTGAGGATGTCTCTATTAAGGGGTCTCTTACCTAAAGCCTCACACCCCACCTCATTTTTCCCATTCAAAAATTATTTTCCTTCCAGAATTCAGTCTTAGGTATGCAGGGTGGTATTTGTCCACTAAGCAAGGGAGAGATGCAAACAAATTTGTGCAGTTTAAACTTTGAAAGCCTTATTTGCACCTCAGTGTTTGCTGAAAGGAATGGTGGGCAGAGAGCTTGCAGAGGTCTGATGTTTACAAAGTTAGTCTTTTAGGATTCTGACACAGTGGGTTGATTTTCATTTAAGGTGAAAAATTGAGATTGATTTGTTCCTGCAGCAAAGCAGTATAAAGCTTATGGAGGGAGAACCATGATATTCAACTCATCTTGGGGTTATTACAATATAAGTGAAGCTGTAGTCTGTCTTTGAGTCTTATGTTATATTGACAGATCCTGAAAACACAAGAATTTAATTTTTTTTCTCTCTTAACTGTGTTCAGTGGTCTTCTTATTTGAAACAGTTTTGTTTGTAGTTTATGTTGTATGAGGCCAGAGCCTGCCTGAAGTGCAGAGAAGTGTCCAGCTGTAGTAAACCAGGATTGTTGAAGTATTTCTCTAAAATAAGTCAGGAGGATTAGAATGAATAAGATTATTTATGCCAAGGGTTCATTTAAGGTATGAGAAGTGCAGGTTTGGCCCTATAAGTTTTTCTTTTGAATTGCAGGTTCAGACTGAGAGAACACAAAGATCTGCAGAGGAAAGAGCAACTAGAAACTCAGTAAAACTTTGGTGATGTTTAGACTCTGCACTTACCCCTCCCAATTGCATTTTCCTCTGCAAATCTATCTGTGTGGCTCCCTCATGGGAACTGTATTTAGGATAAGCCCTTAATGTTGCTCCTTCCTGTTGAGTGTGTCTCCACCATTAATCTTTTCCTTCTGAGTCTCCTTTGATGAGAGTGCTTCTAATTTCTCACTTGGATGAGCTCTCTCTTTTGAGGGGGGCACTTTTTGTGCTGGGATAACCTGGAACAGCTTCTCTTGATCTTCCAGAAAGCCTGCCAGGCACAGAATATTCACACCTCTGCCCTATGGTGCAGTGGGGTGATTTTATAATGAAGCTCCAAATGGAACAAGGAACCAGAAAGATAAACCAGAATTAAAAGCAGATTGCATTCTCTGCTTGCAGAGGAAGACTGGCCTCCTGTGCATAAGCCTGTGAGATACAGAAAGATTTTTGTGGGTGCAGATTTACAGTGCTGATTATAGTAACTCCTGAAGCTGTTGATTTTTTGGAATAAAATCGTCTTTGCAAAGATTCTAGTTGTACATCCCACATACACAGGGCTTTAGTTTGTGACAGCCAAGAAACAAAATCTGAGTCTTGACAGCAAGTGGCTGTCATAAATGCTGCAAGCAGGCTTCAGGAATCTGCTGGGTTCCATGCTGGAGGAGATTTTAACTGTTTTACTCTCATCCTATAATGGAAAAATGAAAAAGCCTTCATGCAGCACCATCTTTCTGGTCAGCTGTTAGCACAGAGATAGACTGAAAACTGGCTAATTAGTTTTTATTTTTTTGTGGGGGACCAAGTATGTATACTGGCAAGACAGCCTTGGAAAGAATTTGTTTTGTAGGCAAAGAAAAAGCATAGTATAAGTTTGGATCCAGTTTGCAGAGGCCTTTGAATAGGAGGAAATGCAAAAATGGCCAGAGGGAAGCAGAGTCTCTTGAGTAGGTGACAGGTAACAGTGCTGGGAACTTGGAAGTAAAATGAGGGCAGGTTTTCAGCAGGAAGATATTTGAAGAGTGTGAACTTGCAGCTCCCAGAGATGAGGCACTGGAAAAACACACGTAGCATAGAGGTCAATGCATAAATCTTGATTACAGCAGTAACAGGAACAGGCTTTTTACTTGTTGAATGCTCTTTGTCTTGCTTTGGCCATTTATGTGGGATACTGCAGGGCAGGTGAGAAGGTGAAATTTGGTTTGACATGGAATTGTTACTTTAGACATCTGCTTCCTTTCTGTGCTTGGAACTGTTTTTCAGGTGCCTTGTCACTTGGGCCCAGGTCACTGCATGTCACCTGAGGCAGCGTGAAGCCCTCTCTTATTTTAAAAGAGTCAGAGAGCACCGACTGCTGGTTGGGAGCTTTGTTAAGTGGAGGGACAAACTCTGGAGAGCTGAACAGGTGCCAGGAGGGAGAAAGCACAAGTGGCAGGAGCCCTCTCCAGGTAAAGCCTGTCACCGCTGGCGAGTGGCTGCCAGAGGACAGCGAGCCCTGCGCCTGGGATCTGTGACCACTGTCAAACAAGTAAGAGAAGATAAAGCTCCCTAAGCATGGGAAGATAGAGGTCCCTATGAGACAGCTATTATTAACTCAGTGAGTCATGAGGCACTGAGGTAGTGTGACAAGGCTTGCATAAAAACCTGGTTTGATTTGTGGTGACTGCTTAGTCCCTGCTGTGAGATTCTTCACCGACTGTGCACACAACTTCATCACCATAATCTGGCACTGATTGCAGCAACCATATGGAGCACAGCAATAAGGAAAGGGGACATTTTGACCAGAGAGATGAGAGCACTCCTTCCTCTCTGCTCAAAGATAAGATGGGATAATCACTGTCCCTGCAGAGCAGAGTGAGTTGCCAGAGATACAGCTTTTTTCAAAAGACTCACAGCTAGCAAACTACAAAGAAGTCCATTGATTTGGAAGGCCTGAGTCAGTCCTGCTGGGATCTCATCTGTGCAGTTTCCAGCCTGGGGTCTAGCACATTAAGCTGCCTGCAGAGCTGTGAGCTGTCTCTGGGCTGTGTGAGTGCTGTGTGCGTTGTGTTTACTCTTGCCTGCAGCTGTGTTATTTCTCTTTGCAGGCCTGCAACTACTGGACCAGAGCAGCTGCCTTTTCCCAGTGCTCACGGCAGCACAGCACCCTCATAGGTGTCAGGAAAAGCAGAAAGATGGCTCTCTCTTGGCCCACCAGTAAGATTCTCCCTCCTCTCTTCCTTTCACAGACCCATGTGGGGAGTGTGAGGGAAAGGGGATTGGTGTTTACCAGCTTAATGACTGGGATTCTGTGACCACGTTCACACGGGTCTGAGGATGAGGGAAGAGACAAGGATCTGACTCCATGTTTCAGAAGGCTTGATTTATTAGTTTATTACATATATATTACATTAAAACTATACTAAAAGAATAGAAGAAAGGATTTCATCAGAAGGCTAGATAAGAATAGAAAAAGAAAGAATGATAACAAAGGTTTGTGGCTCAGACAGAGAGTCTGAGCCAGCTGACTGTGATTGGCCATTAATTAGAAACAACCACAAGAGACCAATCACAGATGCACCTGTTGCATTCCACAGCAGCAGATAACCATTGTTTACATTTTGTTCCTGAGGCTTCTCAGCTTCTCAGGAGAAAAAATCCTAAGGAAATGATTTTTCAGAAAATATTATGGCTACAGGATTCCTCTGTGGAGCAGGAGCTCATGGCAATCAAACTCAGTTGATTTCTTCTGTGTTCAGGAGTTGAAGGACTAAGGGCTCATGGCAGCTCTGATGTCTCCCTCCCTCTCCAAGGTTAGCTCCTGTGTGATTCCTCTTTTGTTTCCTAGAAAGCAGAAGGGGCAGAGAAGAAGATTCAGCACCAACTGGACATTTTCCCAGTGCCATTCAGCGCTGGCTGGTGATCTACAGGAGCCAAAACAGGGCTGAGAGGTTGCTGGAGAGACCTGATGTGGTAGGACCCTCTCGTGCTCATGCCAGGATCCAGGAGAACTCAGCAGAGGTGGACTTGGAGGAGTGGGCTAAGAAGTGCCTTGGGTAAGTGGAGTGCAGGGCTCTGGGCTTCCTCTTGCTGAGACTGAGACATAAACTTGAAGGAATTTAGGGATTTTAGAGGAGCTGAGGTTTTAGTTAGAGATAATCAAAATAAATGGGTAGGCCTTGATGAAGTTAAGAGTTAGTAGTTAACTAATAATTGATTGCTTGTCAACATAATGTTTGGTTAGCTAGGTTTATAATGAAGAATATAGAAAGTGATTAATAGCTTTTAGGAACATCAGACAATTGTGGCCTTCTCTGTTCTGAAACCAATTAAAGACAGGAATGGGAGTTCTACCACGGGTTCATTTGTCATATTTGCATTGAAAAGGTAGAAAGGTCAGAAGGAGGAAGACTTCATTTACTTCCTCATTTTGGGACCCCTCCCCATGAAAGGGACCACCGACCCATTTCAAAGAACAAACTACGCATGCTTAATGGCTTTGAACTAATCACCATATGGGGAATGGGATGTACCAAAGTTATGAATATGCATTTGTATTTTGGGTATTCAATAGATGTATAGATAAAAGGACTCTGTAATCACCTGTAAATTGAGATGTGAATTTGGGAGCTATCCCACAATAAACACACACTTTCTAACTTTAAACTGTTAGAGAGTCTTTGTCACAGTTGGATATCAGTACAGGATCAATATCCATATTTTTAATAAATCAATACCATCAGGGAAGGGCTCCCCAGTATGGCTGCTAAAGCTGATTTGCTTCTCTTGCCTGCAGGAGGAGATACCTGAAGAGGTGGCATCACACAGTGGAACTGCACCGGTGCCAGCACGACAGGAAACTGCTCTGCCTGGCAAGGGGGTGGCACCAGTGGAGGGAAGCCAGCAGGGTGGTGATGCTGGCTCAGGTGCTGGTGAGTGTCCAGTGCCACTGGGGTGGCAGTGATGGGTGTTATTGGGCAAGCCTGCTCTGCCTGTAGCTTCCCATACATCCTGGGAGATGAGACCTGGGGGTTTCATCTGCACCAAAAATCCTGGTTTACTGCTTTGGCTGGTTTTTCCCTGCTTGGAATGTCAGCTTGACAGACTGGCATATCCACAGATTTAGTTGTGCTTTGCCCTTACAGATGGGAAGCCGAAACAGGATTTGTCTAGATTGGCTGTAGACTGTGCAAAAAATTCACAGCAGTTATTACGATCTTTGTCCTCATCTGTGCTCCTGACACATCCCACTGGTGCCCACAGTTTACCAAGAGCTGTCATTTGGCTTTCCCCTCTGTTCATAGCCATGTCCTGCCAGGTTCCTGGGCATTAGCTGTGTGAGCTGTGCTCTGGCCTGCCCAGGTAACAGGATGATGCCAGTGTAGTGTGAGCATACTCATAGCTCACACCAGCTGGGGCACAGTGGGGCATTGTCCTCTCCCCAGGGTTCTGGGATTTACCCACACTGTGCTGGAGAGAGCAGCTCAGCAGGAGCTCTGGTTTAGTCCTCTCTGTTTGTTACCAGTGCAAAGTCTTTTAAAAGGGACTCAGGAAAGCGACTGGAGCAAGGTGGGACTGGAGGGAAGTGAGCTCATTTGCCTGCCAGAGCCCAGTTAATCTGTGTGCTGCCTCTTTTCCTGGCAGGACCAGCAGCGGCTGATGGAGAAGGCCTGGAGGGTGTGGAGACAAAGATACTTGCAAAGCTGTGTGGTGCAGAATCTTCTGGAGCAGGAAGCCAGGAGCCTCCTGTCTCAGGTAAGCATTTATGCCTTCTTCAATTCAGTGGACCTCAGTGATACAGAAAGCACCTCAGAGAGACAACTGGTGTTCCCTGTGTCTCTCTCCCTGCACAATGCACTTGCTTGAGGAGAAGATGAATACATCAGGGAATTGGACCAGCCAGTAAAAAAGCTTCCAGCTTTACATGGGTTCATCTATGGGTGTTTTTCAAAGCTTTGTGTCAGGAGTCAATTTCCCTGACATGTGCCCCCTTCCCTGCTGTTATTAGTGGTGTTAATCCCCTAATCCCCTGCCTCTTGGGACCCCACTCAGGGAAGAAACAGGCTCCACATTGGTGCAGCAGGACTGTGCTGACTTGCACCCAGGGGCAAGCAAATCACTGTGAATTTATGAATTTGAGCGAGCAGGCAAAGCCTTAGAACTCCTATCCAGTTGCTCCTCTGCCTGCATCCCAAAGATTCATGCAGGACTAGGGCCTCCTTTAAGGAGACAGAAGCAAGTACTGAAATTAGAGGGCATTGGTCTTTCTTTTCTCACATTGATTTGTACTCTGCACGCCCCATATTGGCTCCAGGAGAGCCAGGGAAGGGTTTTGAGTGAAGGGTAAGGCAGCTGGCAGAGCCATTGCTAGAAAAGCAATGTTTATGGGTTCTGTAAGAATGGCTGCAGCCCCTCAAGGGTAACCCGAGTGTTTGATTTGTACACTTTGCTCTTTCAGGCCTTTGGGAGGTGGTGGCAGCTCACAGCATTCCAGTGTAAGGACAAAGGATCCGGCTGAATGCAGGGGCCTGCCTGCAGCTGCTGCTCCATTCAGGACACGTGGAGGACCCAGCTCCTGTCACAACAAAGAGGTGGCCCTGTGCTGCCAAAAAAGAACTCTCTGCTCTTACAATAAAAGCAGGGCTGCCAGTCAGAAGGATGACAGCCAAAGAACAACCAGGATTGTACCTAGTGAAAGGTCCTCTTTAAAGGACTTGTGTCTTACCTCCTTAGCAACACAAACACAGAACAATCTCTTTACCTCTTTACAGTTGTGAGGTTACATTCTCTTCTTCTCTGGACCATGCTGTTGCTGGAGTTCTGTTTAAAGGGCAAAAAAGCCTTCTAGGCTTTCCTTTTACTCAGTGTTTTTTCCCTGTTCAGGAGCTTGGTGTCAAGGGGGGGAATATGCAAATACAGCCTTAGAGGCGAGCAGGAGTTTGTGAGTGCTGAGTCCTTTTGATTTCAAACTCTGGCTTGGGTAGGTGCAAACACAGCTCTTTATTTTTAGATTTGGCTTTTCCCCTGGAGGGGGGGGGGCAGATTTTCACATGGCTCCCACCTCCTCCCCCTGTCTAGGTCCATCAGCTCTTCATTAAGCCTTTCAGTGGGTGGCCAACCTCCTGACTGCTTCCTGCTGCTTCATTTCTGTGCTGAATGGGCAAGGTATGAAGAAACCTGCTGGGAACAGCTGAGCACCAAAAGCTTTGCCGAGGCCAGACAGGCGTGTCTGATCCCCAGCCTTCCCATTACTTGCCTCTATGATTGATGCCTTGTAATTACCCTGGATATATGAGCCCGCTCTCAGACAGCTGTAACAAGAGGGTCTGAACAATCTGGAAAAGGCTTTTCTTCCGTGCTTGTTTGAAAGAGATGCTCACAGCATGGCAGGGATCTTGAAATCCCACTGGGAACTGCTCCAAGGTAGTTTTCCTAGCCTGTGGCAGCTTTGTAGGATTGTTAAGTGCACAAAGCAGCCGCAGCAGCTTCCCCAACCCCTTATTCCAATGCCTTGGGGCCTGAGGCTGTTAAGAGGCATTAGGTCAGGAAAGATAAGCTTAGCTCAGGAAAGATCACCTATCTTTTCCTGAAAAGAATGCCTGACCTTGCAGAATTGAACTCAATAGCTTAGCTGGTGACTTTTGCTAAATTCTAGGATTTACACTTTCTCCACTCTACCATGGAACTTGGGCCACACTCAGGACATGCACTGAAAGTGAAGGCAGAACTGCCACAGAAACAATTGGATTTTCTTAAAGCTTTCCCTTGTGCCAGGTGATTAATTAGCAAACAACATGAGTCTCTGCTAGAGCACGGCCTAATAAAAGAGACATTTGTATGCATGTATTTTATTGTATGTAATCTAGGAAGTAGTATGATTCCTACTTAGTTTTATCAAAATGGAAATTCCCATAGTCCTATTAAAAAGAAAACAGGAAATACAATACAAAGAGAAAAGTTAGGAAGAAAATTTGAACCTTCTTCTGGAGTGAGTGCAAAAGTGCCTGATGATCAACTGTGAAATATATTTTAAGAGTGCAATATAAAAGCAATTTGACCTTCTTTTCCAGGCTGGTAACTGTTGATATAATCCCCTTGCACAGGTACATCTGACAGGAGTGTTTCTGTTCCCCTGCCAGCATTTCTGGCACAGGAAAGTTACCAGAGGGGAAAGTTACCAGAATCTGGTGTTCTTCAGTTACTGTAATTAGCTTAACCATGATTAGCAGCTCTTCATCCTGCAGACCCCGGCCTTTGGGCTTAGTCTGGAGCCTCGGCTCAGAGGTTCAGGCAGTTCTGGCTAGTGTTCAGTGAGAATGGCTCAGGCAGCCTTGGTGTGGGGACAGAGGAGCACAAAGTGAGGGTAGATGAGAGCACCACCCTGCTCACGGTGTGGGAGTGTGTTCATTGTCACACAGGAGCTGCTGCATTCCCGAAGTCAGTGGATGGAAGGAGGAAGTAAGAGATTAGGAGAAGAATTTTCACTGCTGAGTTGGAGAGTTCAACAGCTCAAAGGTATCCTCCACCACCTGCCAGAGGCAGTTTTCTAGTGGGAAGTCATTGTCCACCAGGTTGACCAAGTAATAATTGTCATGGATGTACTGGATGATCATGCGGGAGGGCGATTCCTCTTCATAGAGCTTGGCCCACTGCTCAATCCACAGTGCAAAGGCCTCATCCTGCCACAGGAACAACAAAAATTGGCAGCTGTGAGGCATCTTCATGTTACTTAATTTAGGTACACGTGTTACACACCACTGGCCAGACTGTGGCTTGTTTCTTCACAGTAAAAATGGCAAGAGCTGAGCAAGGAGCTTCATGCTTTCCAGTCAGCAGCAAGTGCTCAGAGCTGAAAGGAGACACTGCAGTACAATGGATGGCTCAATGCTGCCCCTGTACGTGCAAGAGGGGAGGAAGAGCCACTGGCCACTTTCTTTTCCAGTTTGGTAACTGCTGATACAATCCCCTTGCATAGGCACAGCTGACAGGAGAGCTTCTGTTCCCCTGCCAGCATTTCTGGCACGGGAAAATTACCAGAGGGGAAAATTATCAGAATTTACAGTACAGTAACAGTAGCAGCTCTCAGTCCCCGTTTATTGGGTGCTTTGTGTCTGGCAGCAGCTCTTGCTGGAGCTGAGGGAGCAGGAGGAGCAAGACCTCTGCAAGCCAATACAGCAACAGCCCTCAACTGGAGGGAGGAGTGCCAGAAACTAAAACTAAATCAGACACAATTTCCAGGGCATCACAGCAACGTACCCAACAGAAGGCAGGACTCACCTTCCAGGAGAGGAAGCTCACAGGATCCACTACAGTGGGCTGGATGATCTCCCTGCCTGGGAAGATGCCCCAGGTGACAGCATTGGGTTGCAGATCTGGAGCATTGGTGATATTCTCACCCTGACAAAGGAAGGAAAATCCTTCTGAAGCAACTGCTGGAGGAGGGACTGAATTAGCTGGAAAAAGTGTATTTACCCTCTCCTTGTTTAGGGACCAGCTGCTGCACACCGCAGCTGATGTGCTTTGCTTTCCCTTCCCTTCATCAGCCTCATGTCTGAGTATTTGGTATTTGTGTCTCTCCCAGGGTGGTGAAAGGAAAGTGTCCTGTGAATAATGGCCTTACCTTGACATTGACAATATGGTAGTTCACTCTCAGTTCATACTTCCTCAGCACTTTGAGCAGTGCCCTGACAATTTCACTGGAGGTGAAGAACTCTAGGTATGCCTGCAGGGAGGGATGGAGAAGGGGGAAGAGAATCAGAGCCTTAAATCACAACAGAACTGGACACACACAGGTAAACAATGACATTTGTAGAGTCTGGGGTTGTATGTTCATCCCCAGAAACACATACTGATTTACTCTTGCTCGAGCCTCTGTGGTGAGTGAGCTAGGGGAAAAATAATTGGGGAGAGCAGAGGGAACAGCCCAGGAACAGTGCACTGAAGAAAGCTACACACTGCCTGTTTTGCATCCAGGTAAGTCCAGGAGCAGGAACAAACTCCAGTGTTACCACAAGTGCTGCACAGGGAAGCTTGGAAGAAGCCTGAGCTTAATCTTCATTTTCCAGGAGTATCCTGCCAAGGCAGCCCAGCCTGGTGAGAGCAGAACTCTGGGGTCTCAGCTGGCCTCTCCCAAGCACCACCACTCCCTGTCCTCATCTTTTGTTCCCAATTCTCCCCGTGTGCTTATATAACCAAATTCTGTGCTTGGCTGCTCCCAACAACTGCATCCCCTCCCCCCATTTCCTGGCAATTGCAGGAGATGATGGATTTCCCTCACCTCAGGGGAATTTCTTCCTTTGAAAACATAAATGCATTTGCCATCTGCTGGTCTCTGGTTTTACTGGTTTGGATCCCTTTTGAACAAGGATGCTTTGTCTTCCAGTAGGAGCTACTTGCCAGGCATTTACCTTGATGGGATATTCCTGTCACAGCCCTTCTAGGGCCTGAAATGCCTGACAGGGGGAGGCAGGCATGACTGCAGGCCAGGGAAGGAACATGACCAGTCTAAACAGCACAGTGCACGGGCTGGGGGCAACTCTGGAGAACTCTGACATACAGAAGGACAGAGGAAATTTTTAAATACCTGTTAACCACCATGAGATGCTGGGTGGTAGAGATACTACCTCATTGATTCCCATTGTGTGAAAAATCTGGGTGCTCTGTCCATCACTGAATCAGATACAGGGGACAGGCACATGTATATATAGATAAAATGTCACAGCCTGCTCTAGAAATGAGTTACCAATAATTACTTGCTGAGAATAAAACCATGAAACTCTACAGATGTTCAATAGATGTTTTGAAGTCGGGGAAAATAGCTGTGAAGTCTGCCATAGAGATGAAATTATGGCTCTTAAGACACCAAAGGAGTTTGCCTCATCTCACCAAGAATGCAATAAGGTGTGGATAGAAAGATTATGTGGATGTAAGGATGGGAGCTCCCAGCCTGACAGAGACCAAAGCAGGTCAAACTCTGCTGTCCAGCCCAGAGTAATGCAGTACCTTCTGGAAAACATAACCTCCACTGGGCCCCCAGCCCACAATGGGGTCTGTGGATGGTTTGCCATTGATGTTTGGCTGGGAGTTGATGGTCAGGATTCCCCTTCTGTTGACCTTCTCCAGCTGGTCCTTCAGGAGGTTGGTTTCAGTAGCAAGAGGGTCGTCATTCCAAGGCATACATGTGACCTGCCATGAGGAAAGGATGGTTCACAATGGATGTAACAAGCCTTGAATTTCCATTTGGGGGTTGAGATAACACAGTCTCAAACACGGCTGCTTCAGGAGAGAATTCCCAGGTTTGGTTCAAGGGTTGGGATATGTACAACTGTAAGAATGACTGCTGAAGTTAAGCAATACTGGTCCATGTCACAGACATCTTTTTGTGAAGATCTTTTCTTTAGGATTTTCCTGCTGAAGCCGAGAAGTTTCAGCAACAAATGTAAACAATTATTATCTGCTGCTGTGGAATGCAACAGGTCCACCTGTGATTGGCCCCTCTTGGATGTTTATAATTAATGGCCAATCAAGACTGAGCTATCTCTGACAGAGTCCGAGAGCTGCCTTTGTTATTCATTCCTTTCTTTTCTGTCCTTAGCTAGCCTTTTGAGGAAACCTTTTCCTTCTATTTCTTTTTAGTATAGTTATAATGTAATATATATATATATATCATAAAATAATAAATCAAGCCTTTTGACCATGGAGTCAACATTCTCATCTCTTGCCTCGTCCAAGAACCCCTGTGAACATGGTCATAGATCCTGTCATACTGTAGCAGCTTTTCTTTTATGCTGAGCCTTAACTCTGGCTGCTGGACCCCGTTCAACCACTATACCAGTAAATCCTTTTGGATAGAGAAGTGCTAATTCCTTAGAAAAACAATGTGGTACCAGGAACAAGAGCAAACACGCATTATTGTTTGTGGCACACTGACCTTCCCTTCCTGGCCTCTCACCTTGTACCCATTCTTGTTGGGCTCTCCAGTGATGTAACATGTGAACACCTCAAAGACACTTTCCTCACTAGTCAGTTCTTCTCCCCACATCTTCAGAAGCTCCTCACGGGGAGACTTGCTCTTCAGATAGAAAAGGTAATAGTCCTTCAGTTCCCCAAAAGCAGGAGAGGAGGAGTTACCCCTGGAAGGGAAGAGGACCTGAAGTAACTGAGGAAAATGAGCTGGTTTGGTGATGCAGGAAGAGAGCCAAGCAGCAAGAGAAGTACACAACAAAACCCACCTTGACACCAAAAGTCTCAACATCTTGGTGCCATTCACCTCACCTCACTAAAATCCAAGCAACAGGGGACCACTTTGTTAAAGCTACCTCAGGTGTGCCCAGGACATCAGACTTTCCTACCACAGCTCTGCCTTCCTGCACCTTGTGGAAACCCAGGGCACTGGGAATATTTCTGTGTCTGCTCTGGGCTGCCCTGACCCCCAGGGCAGCACTGACTCTGACCCTCATCCATGGAGAAAGTTTTCCAGACTTCAAGATTGACTGGAACCCACAAAAGTGTGAAATAGATTATAGAGAGCAATGTAGATGTGTCACTTGGTGAGAAATTGAGGGTTTGGGATTTTTAGTCTGTTCTGGATGGAAGTAAGATGGAGGGCACAGGGTGTTGTCCTGGGCTTCTTTCTCCTTCATGGGTTTGGGTGGCATTTTGTAATTGGGCACAAAAGTCCGCATTGCAGCTCTGTGGGATCAGTTATTGGGTGAAAAGGGAAAATAATCCAGATGTCAGCTCTTAATTGGAGAGTTTAGTCTTAAAAGCCCTTGTACCAAGAGATTGTTGGCCATTTTGTGCCTTCTAATGAAAAGCTGCAGAACTCACAGTAGTCAGACTTTTACTGATAAGAAATAATAAACACCTGAGTGTGAACATGAACTGCTGTCTCAGTGCCTTCAATCCAGACCCAGAGGAACCCACAGCTGGGACCCCCAGAGCAGGTGCCAGCTTACCATCGGCCATTGGGGAAGTCATCCCACTCCTGGGTTCTGTAGATGTAGCTCTTTGGCCTGGAGGCCCAGAAGATTGGCCTGACATCCTCCACTCTCCTCTTGGGGTGGGCACTGACTGCCCAGGGCAGAGGCCGCCTGCAGGGGATGAGCAGATGTTAACACAGCTCCTCTGCTGACTATATTAATACTATATAAAAAATATATACTAAAACTATACTAAAGAAAGAGAAAGGAGACATCAGAAGGCACAACAAGAATAATAATAAAAACCCATGACAGACTCAGAGAGTCCAACACAGCTGGCTGTGATTGGCCATTAATTAAAAACAATTCACATGGAACCAATCAAAGATGCACCTGCTGGTAAGCAACCTCCAATCAATCAGATAATTATTGTTTACATTTCTTTTCTGAGGCTTCTCAGGAGAAAAATCCTGGTGAAGGGATTTTTCAGGAAGCATCATGGTGACACCCATCCATTATTTGTACCTTCAGTAGACGGGAGGTGTTGTAGGAAGGGGACCAGGACACCAGGTGGTTCATCACAGGTCCGACAGGTCCAGTTTATTGAAGAAAGCATCAAACACTTATACAGCAAATAATAAGCTTATGAATATTCTGTAAGCCAAGCAATCTATTGGTTAAACTATACCATGAACTCTTCCTCATTCCTTAGGGGTTACATCTCTCTTTTCTCATGTCTCTTTCACTATTTGTTATCCTACTACAGCTAGGCCCAAGGACATGCTATCTCACAGGTGCAGGACTTGGAATTAGCCACGGCTTTGTACTTTTCCAGTCTCTAGCAGCTAAATTCCCAACAGGGAGGGATGGACAGATGGACAGAAAAGTGGAACTAAGAGAAGCCAAGGCATTCTGCTCACCTGGGGTCCTCGTTCCATATGCCCAGGCGCTTCAGCACCTCGGTGGTGGCCACCTCGCGGTTGAGGGTGTAGAAGTGGAGCCCGTGCACCATCCCACTGTCCAGCAGCTCCCTGCACATGGACACTGCCAGCTCCACCCCGTAGTTCCTGATGGCTGCATCGTTGTCCTTGATGGGCTCAATCACATCTTTGATTTCCTGGGGCACTTCCAGCTTGGAGAGCTTCACCAGCTGGCGCAGGGAGTGGTAGCCCTGGATGAGAATGCAGATTATCATTTTTCCAAGAGCCTTTTTTGCCATCCCACTAATACATGTACTTTATCTCGATTTTTGTGGTAGGAGATTTAGAACTGGGGCTCCTGGAATCAACTCCCAGGCCTCATCTCTAGGATGGTAACACAGTCATGCCACTTTAGGTGATTTCTCCCCACATCCTTGCCTGAGCCCAGCATATTCAGTGACCTCAGGACTTGCAGGCCATTGTTCTTTACATCCCTTTTTGCCATATGGGCACAACCAACCTTTTCAGCTTGTTATTAGCAGCCTAAGAGTTTAATTTGGCCTACCACCAACAGATTTATTACATTCAGCAGTCTCTCTTTCCTGAAATTTTGTGGAGGATATTTACAGACCTCTCTCAGGCCCTGACTCACAAATACCTAACATCCTAAATCCTTATTCCCTCCTTAAATCCAAATAACTGGATTTCACCTGTATAGGGAAGATGCCAGGAATAATGGGGCAGGTAATGCCAATGGCTTGACAATCCTTCATGAACTTGAGAAAGGTTTCTGGTCGGAAGAAAAGCTGTGTAATGATGAAATCTGCTCCTGCATAGACTTTCTCCTTCAGGTGCCTCAGGTCTGCCTCATAGCTCTCTGCTTCAGGATGACCCTTGGGGTAGCCTTTGGGGAGAAGGGGAAAAAAAATGAAAAATGTGGTCAGGACAACATGCAGAGATTAGGAAGTATCCAATCTGATTCTACTGTCACAGCTCAGGTCCAGGGAGCGACTGCTGAGCTGATTTCCCTGTCTCAGACCCTGCACAGTCTGCAGCAGAAGGCATTTACCTGCCACACAGATGTCGAAGTAATCATCAAATTCATTGCGAATGTGCTTAACCAGATCAACAGCGTAGTTGAAACCATCCACTTCTTCCTCCCATTCTTCACCAGCAGGATCTGAAAAGAGAACAAATCCACAGGTCTGTTTGCTCAGCTCAGATCAGGTAGTTCTGTAAAAACCTGGTATCAAAAGGAAGACAGGTGAACTCCCAAATCTGCAGTTTTACCTATGGACTGGTTTTGTCTGCCCTTGAGCTGAAGGCACTGCTAACAAAGGGCTCAGGTAAAACAGTCTCAGCATTTAATTCCTGCAGAAGGAGCCCCCAAATCTTTTCTGGTTTTACTCTGGAATTGGACGCAGCAGCAGCACAACCTCTGCACTAACATCCCAGGACAGAAGGATTCACCTCCACGCAGGGCCATGATGTTCTTCAGCCCGAGCCTCTTGGCCTTCTGCAGGTGCCCTGTGATGTCATCCTTGCTCTGGTTGCAGCAGGTCATGTGCAGGATGGTCTCCAGGCCACAGTAGTTCACTGCAGTGTAAGCAATAATCATGGAAGAGGTCTCCTTGTCAGATCCTGGGTCCCCTGCAGGGTGCCACGTCACATCAATGAAGAGGGGACCACCTGCTCCCATGTGGTCAAACCTGTGGGGTTTAAAGCTGAGTTAGCCTACAGCAGACAGCCAAATCCCTTCCCTGTGCCCTGAGTATCCTGCTCACTGCCAGAATGCCAGCAGGCAGAGAGAGCTTGGATGATAGCAACAGGATAGACCACTTAAGTGTTGCACTAAGAGTTTAGCAAGTGGCTGATGTAAATAAGGAAAGCCATCCTTACAATTTCATAGAAGAGGCAGTGGAGGTGTTCTCTGTACAACAGACTCTCTCCCTGCCTGCTCTGATAGGCTGACACAGCTTCTGACAGACAGAAATGAAAATCCCATTCCTTTTGAGATAGGAGACTATGCTGCAGCTCTCTGTTGCCAGCTTGAACTGTAGAGGCCACAGGGCTTCCCCAACTTGTCTCTCTCCTGCTCCAAGGTGGAACAGGCCCTTCTGTTCAACATATGGCAATTGTAAAAAGAATTATGAAATACTCTTTTCTCCACCAGGTACATCCATGCTGGCTCCTGGGGCTCCAGAATAACTCCTAGCTCTGCTGTGACCTATCAGCTTTCACTTAGCACGAAGATGTGGATACCCGTGTCAGAGGCTAAAACTGTAGTACAGAGGCACAAACCATAGCGGCTGGATGAATATTGAAAGGAAATGGGAATGTGTTTCAGAGATTTTGGCACACTGTCCACATCAAGGAATATTTTGTGCTTTTACTAGGTCCTTTTGTGCCCCAGCATTGTGCTTCAGACCCAGAACGTGACATTGGGGTTACTCCATCTTCCCAGGGCATGGGAGTGGGGAAACAACCTGGCGCCTCAGCAATCCCACCGTGACACTTAACTCTTCAGGGCCTCCAAGGAAGACACGTTACTTGGTGTCCATTACCCTCCTCAGCAGGAAAGCACAGCCCCACTACCTGCTGCGTCACCTGGAAGGGGAGACAGAGCATGGAGCAGAGCCTGCCTCTGTTAGTCAGCTACTTCCCTGCCCTCCACCACAGGCACCTCCCCTCCCGCACGCTGCAGCACTCGCCTGGAGATGAGATTGACAGCAGCATTGGCCGTGCGCGGAGGGAAGAACTCGAGGGAGAACCACTTGTCGCCAGCGTCCTGCCGGCGGCGCATCTTGTCCCGCAGCCGCTCGTGGCGCTCGGCGTCCAGCACGGGCGTGGAGCAGCGCGAGCTGTCCTTGGAGCCCTCGCTGCCGCTGCTGCTGCTGCCGCCATCCGACCTGGAGCTGGAGCTGCCGCTGCAGCTCTGCTGGGTCTCATTAACCATGGTGGGAGCTCTGCAGAAGGGAGCACAAAGAGGATGGTCAGTACATGGGTGCCTGCATGAAGCAGAGACTGTTAGGGCGAGCAGCAGATGATTGAAGAAGCCAATGCCGAGACCCAGCATCCACCACCACCTTTCACTGTAAGCTGTAGTGGGAAATCTGGAGAAAACACAGGAAAAAGCATGTTTAGATAGTGTTTAGATATGTGTTTAGATAGTGCTGATAGTGATTGTAGCCTTGGGCTGGGCATGCATAGGAATGTGCCCCCTGTTGACCGAGTGACAAAACTCTCCTTTGTCCCCTTAAAGAGGAAATAAACCCAGAAGTTTCTCTCCTCAATCAGAAAAGACATCTCATAGGACCTGGGGGACTCCACCTCAAACTTAAGGATAGCCAGTTGGACAGGAGCCAAAAAGTTCCACCTGAGCAATTTACTAGAAAAAGAAGCGAAAGAAACAAATGGCCTTTGCGAGGTGTTTTACCAGGAGCAAGAACCTCTTGCACCTGTCTCAAGTTTTTCTCTGTAAAGAGTTTGTTACTTTGCCTTTTATTAAACCTTTATGTTTCCAACACTACCACAGAAGCCATCCTGCTGATTTTATGCCTTCTAAGGCAGCTGAGCTATCTTGGGTGTGAAGTAGATCTCCAAGAGCTTATGAGACCTGCCTTGAGGAGACCCCTCTTTCAGGCATGCCAGCAGATATTTTTTTATTGTCTACTGCAGCTGCTTCTTGGACTGTTTCCATCCTGTTTGTGCCCAAAAGGCAGCACTGCTTTACAGTGTAGGTAGGAAAGTCAGTGCTAATGGAGCAGGTACTCAAGAATGCACAAATTATTGCTGTGTCAGAAACAAAGTAAAGCCTGTTTTCTTTGCTGGCTTCACACCTGCATTTCCAACCATTAGCCTTCTCCACAGACAACTGTCCCCTATGCCAGTCCCACTGCACACACTCAACTCTGTACCAGACACACTGTTCCCTTGGTCAACAATTGAGGCTGCTTGGAAACAAGGCCAGCAGGGACCATCCTCATCTCCCTGTCTTGCAACGAGATCAGCTGTGCTTGGTGTTACAGAAAGCAAAACATCACTGCAAGTCAGTGGTACAAGGAGGTTTAGGATATCAAACTCCACTTAGCTCTGCAAAATGTTCCATCCTGTGCCTTTAAAATGAGGTAGGGATTACAGTTATGGAAGAGCTACCACAATATTTGGTTCTGTGTTATTTGCTTTAGTACCTGCCAAAGCTTAAAATTCTCACTGGGAAGCAGCATGTTGTCCAAGTATGACATAACTTTGGAGCTGTTTTGGGGGAAGCAGCTGCGTGAACCATCACACTCTCAGTCCTTATCATCAGGTCTGTGGGTTTAGTTCAGCCAAGAAGACTTTGAACTCAGCTTCTACTGTTTACACTCGAGCTGCCAATCAAGCAAAACCCTTTGAGAGAAAGTCTGCTTTTATCACCTGAGGAACCTGTCCAGCTGGCAGCAGATGTGAGAAAGAAGCGCAGGCTTTCTGTTCCAAGCTCTCCTGTGTACCAACGCAGCAGCTGCAGTAAAAATCAGCACCACAGACCTACTGAGAGGTGAAGCAAACCCAACTGGGTGCACAGTCACAGCCCTGATGAGGCTCAGAGGACTCTGCCTGACATCCACATGCATTAATCTGGGAGAAATATCCCCAAGCACACATTAGTGATCGAGCTAGCAGCTCACAATCACATGCTGTCAGCTCCCATCGCATTCCCAGCACGCATGACAGGCAAATCAAAGGAGCTTTGTTTTCTGATTTGAGATTTTAACACCCATCACATGGAAAAAGGATTCAGGTCTCTATGAGATTGGCTGTTGAGCAAAGCTCCTTATCTTACTAGCAATATCAAATCATGAAGACATGACAAAGGCACACTTAGACTTTTGTCTACAGGAAACAACTTCCTTACCATGATACGCATCACAGATTTGCTGGCAGATACTTCTAGTTATTGCAAAGAGAAAAAAGATAAGCCTAAACAACAAGAACAGCAGCAAAGCAAGACAATTTTTAACACTTGTCAACACTCCTGCTCCTGTCTTTGTCATGCTGCAGGGCTCAAAGATCCGTGGCTCAGCACACTTCTGATGCTCACCATGGATGCACCTGCTGTGTTTTTATGATGTTGGTATTCCAACTCCTTCCAGCCCTGAGCTGCAACCAACACACAGAGCATGGAATCTGTGTTCCACCTCATTCCAGCCCCGAGCTGACACCGACACACAGAGCGTGCAGTCTGCATATTCCCCTAAGCTCAGTTTTACCCTCCAGACTGAACTCGGCTGCAGCAGATGCATTTTTCTCACAGGTGCACGGCGCTGCTCCAGGGCCACGGCATCAGGCTGAGGCCAGGCGGGCACCGAGGGGCCCGGGGCTGCATCCACCGCCCGAACAGCTGAGGGGCCACGGGACAGCCAAGGGGGAAAGGCCGGAGGGAGCCCGGCAGCCGAGGAAAGAGGCGGGGAGCAGCACCTGCGATCCCGAGTGCCGGGGAAGGGGTCGGAGCCAGGCAGGTCACTGCAGCCCGATCGCCCCTTCACCTCAGCTCACCCCGCCAGCAGCACGGCCCGGCCGGAGCAGCCACACGGGCCGGGGGGAGCCCCGGGCGGTGGTGGGGCAGCGATGGAACCCCCGCTCCCGGGCCCCGCTCACCTGCGGCCGCTGTCGGGCGCTGCCCGCGCCGCTCGCCCGCCGCGCTTTAAAGGCGGCCGCGGCCGGGCGCGTCACGTGTGGGCCCGCGGCTGCCCTCACCCGACATGGCGCCGCGGGCCGGGGCGGGGCCGGGGGCCGGACGGGGCCTGGGGGTGCGGCCAGAGCGGGCCGAGGAGGCGGGAGCGGCGGGGCTGAGGGAGGGAACGCTGTCGGCAAGGGACGGGGCGCGGCCGCGCGCAGGCGAGGCCGGTCGGGGCTGAGGGGGAGCGGCCGTGCTGAGCGGGCGGGGCCGGCGCGCCGGGTGACGCGCGGGGCGGGCGGGGCGCGGTCGGCGGCGGAAGATGGCGCGGTGCGGGTGCGGGGCCGGGCTGTGCTGCTGCTGCTGCGGCGAGCGGGAGAGCCGCACCCCCGAGGAGCTGGTACGGCCGCCGTCCCACCCCGCCCTGCCCTGCCCTGCCCCAGCTGCTCCCTGATCCCCCTCCGGACCCGTGCGTGCTGGCGGAGCCCCATCACTGCCGGTCTCGGCCCGGCCCCGCCCGGCTTGGGCAGCGCCTGGGGGTGGGCGGGCAGGCGGGGAGCGGTGCTGGAGTGCGGGCCCCGCGCTTCAGGGCCCGGTGTCGCCACCTCAGCGTGCTGCTCCTGGCCCAGCCTCTGATCGATGCCCGTCCCGGCGGCACAGCCCGTTCCCGCCCGTTCTGCTGCCGGGCCTGGCGCTTCCCCGCCAGTGCCGGAGCCCTGCGCTGTCCGCTGTCCCTACCCTACCCCGCATTCTTTGTCTGGGCCTCGCGTCCCAGCGCCTGGAGCCGCTGCCCCTCGCAGCCCTAAGGGGGAGTGTCCTGGCTCTGTCTGACTCTAGCACTGCTGAGTCCTCTCTGCAGAATTGTTGTCTTGTGCTCCCCTGTACCCCGTTGCTGTGAATGAAACGGGATGTGGGTTAGAACTTAACTCCCGGGAGCTCCTATATAGAAATGATGTGTGTTTGGCTGAGGGACAAGCTGTAACGTAAGACCCTTTAGCGTTACCACAAAGTAATTGGTGGTTTGGTAATCCACACTCTCAATTTATAAGCAACAGTGGTATAGAGCTTCTGTAATTTTGGCTTTGCTACCAGTGTTCATGAACAGCTGTAGATGCGTTTGTTTCCTTCATGGTTTTCCTTTCCTGCATTTGTTTTGCAGACGATCCTAGGAGAAACTCATGAAGAGGAGGATGAGATCCTTCCACGCAAAGACTATGAGGTGGGGAATTAATTAATCTGATATTAATGTGATAAGAACTGCAGACAGGTTTTGGTCTGTTTGAGTTTGTAACGGGGCAGATACTCAGTATGGATCTTTGGTTGCATTGGCATCAGCAGAAATACTGAGAATTGCTGTGCTTGCAAAGAACTGTTCCTCATCTTTGTATGTTTCTGGGATAAAGCTCTGTGAGTAGGTTGAATGTTTGCTCTCTAGTCAGACTCTTGATGAGAAAATTCATTTTCAGAGCCTGGTGCATTTTCCCACTTCTTCAGTGTGAGATTTATAGGCTCTGGTGGCCTTGTTTTCTGGTGACTGTAGAAAGTATCTGTAGATACATAGTCACAGTTGCCTTTCTGCTGTCTGTGTTGTCATGCTGGCTCACAGCAGATCTTCCCATAGATTCTGCTGCTTACAGAAGGTTTTTGCTTTTTGTATCACTGTCTGGTGGCCCTGAAGTGTTTAGAACAGCTGCTGTCAGTATGAGTGTCACCAGCCCAGTCTGTTACAGCTTGGCCTGAAAAGGTGAAGATGTGGATAGAACTAGTGGAGTTTTGTGAATGTGAGTGTGAAACTTCTTGCTGTGATAAACTGAAGAATTGGTATGGTTCATCTGCACAGGAGTTCCTAGCTAGTGTTCTTGTTCCAGTGAGAGGGTGAATATAAAGATCCAGTGTTATCCCCTGCACTGTCAAAGTGGAGACACATAAAGAAGTCAAAAACTGTACAATGTGACTTCTCTAAAACTGTACAATGTGACTTCTCTAATATAAAGATGTATAAATCAGTTGTGCTTCTGTTTGTTTCACTGTCTCTCTCAGCTTGAGCAGTGAAATTGTTCTTTCACTTTGTGATTTTCAGGGTCTGACTGATCTAAATATTTAAATTGTTTCTAGGTGTATTTTCTCCTCCTATTGTTTGCAGAATCTACTGTAGGGGTAGCAATGACTTCTGTAGTCTTTAATGAGGTCTTGTAGACATGATTTTTTTCACAACCTGTTGCAGCTGATTCTCCTAAATTGACCTTTTTGCATTTCAGAGCTTGGATTATGATCGCTGTATCAATGACCCGTACTTGGAAATTTTGGAAAGCATGGACAACAAGGTAGGACCTTGTTCTTTTATAAGCTAAAACTGTGGAAATTGTCCAGAGCAACTGTGGATTGGAAGTGTTCAAAACCTTTTTGTGTGTGGCTTTGAGCAGCCTGGAAGGAGAAGGTGTGCCTGTCCATGGCAGGGGGGTGGAATGAGATGAGCTTTAAAGTCCCTTCCAACCCAGATCAGCAGGAAATTTTATGGGTATTTTCTTTATTTATGACTGAAATTCTACATGTTTTCCTGGTTTCTCTATTATAAAAAATAAAATAGTGGAGATTGTAGCTGCCAGAATCTCTTGTGATCCTCAGGTTTAAAGTGAGCAAGATGTTGAGTCTTTCAGTTCCCTATTTTCAATTTGCTGTTGTCACAACACAGTCTTCTGTTGATTTATCCTTCTGGCTGTTGAGCTGTGGAGCCTAAACCCACCTTCCAGAAAATCCCTGTTTCTGTGTTGCTTTTATTTTACTTTTTTTTTTCATCCTCTCTCCAAACAGAAAGCCCAGAGATATGAAGCAGTGAAGTGGGTGCTGGTTTTTGCTATTGGAGTCTGTACAGGACTGGTAAGGATCCTGCTGTTTGGGGAATGAGGAAATCATTCTAAGCAGGAATAATTTAGAAGCCAATGGCTAAGGAGTAAAGTTAAGAGGAAGCATTTTCTTTCATGGTGACTAGAATTTAGAAGATGGAATTGTCTTTTGGGAATTATAGCATGTTGTTATAGACTTATTTTTCAGGAAGCCTTTTTTTCTTTCAGAACTTGCTGGGTTTTCTTTGTAAAGTAGTCTGGCAAATCCTTTGATTTTACATACAGGAAAACTTTTCCAAAGCAAACAACTTAGTAAAAAAGGATGACAGTTAATGGCTGAACTGTGATAATCAGCTCAGCTGACTGTATACCTCAATTAAATACCAGTTTTCTTCTGTACCCTTAAGTATGTTGAGGGTGTTAAAAATGGTGCCAGATTAGTGCTTTAATGGGAAATAATCAGATGCAGAAGTGAATCACTTCAGGAATAATGCTAGGATGGCTCTGTCCCAGTGAGAGAGAGGGAAGAAATCTGAGTTTTCAAAGCTGCTTTACTCTGAATGATGCTTTTGTCTTCTTCATTTTCTCTTCTCCCCTGTGTACATATTTCTGGTAGGACTAACTAGAGGGTGGTCTTAATTTGTATGTAGAAATTACTGATGGAAATTCTGTCTTCTTTTTCCCAGGTGGGTCTCTTTGTGGACTTCTTCGTGAGACTCTTTACCCAGCTCAAGTTCCAGGTGGTACAAAGCTGTATCTTTTACCTTGGGCCTTGCTAGGCTCAAGTGACCTTTTCTTTTCTGTTCCCATGTTTTGCTCAGAACAGCTGACTTTCACAATTTTGCCATTGGGCATGTTGTTCATAATTAGGCAAGTTTTCAACTTGCTTATGTAATTCAGCCCTTGAAACCAAGAAATGTTCAGTGTTGGGTACATAAGCAGAGACAGAAAGAATGAGTGGTTTCCCTTCTTCCTAACTCAGTGTTGAGCTTTGAAAAGGAAGCCTGACTTCCTGACAGGATTAGGCTGGATTAGGAAGCACAGGCTTGGTTTTTGAGGCCGGTGGGAGGCTCAGGTATTAACCAAGTGGTTGTGTGTTGGTGTGGGGAATGTTGTTTTCCTTGACCATCCCTGCAGCGGTGGAGGAGTGCACTGAGAAAGGCTGCCTTGCCCTGTCCCTGTTGGAGCTGCTGGGGTTCAACCTGACCTTTGTTTTCCTTGCCAGTCTTCTGGTCCTGATCCAAGTAAGCCTTTGGTCCCTTGCTGCTCCTTACACAACCTTCCTTGCCTCTCACACATGTCCTTGATATGAAATATCCTTGCTAGAAACACTTTCTGCCCCAAAGCATCAAATTACCTTCACAGTTCTATTTGATTTAGCTAAGCAGGGTCTCTTGGTCCCTTACTCTCTGATGAGAAGTTGGTCAGGTATGAAATCAGTGCACCATAGTGTCATTGTTTCTTTTCTGCAGCCTGTAGCAGCTGGGTCAGGAATTCCTGAAATTAAGTGCTACCTCAATGGAGTGAAGGTTCCCGGGGTTGTGCGCCTGCGCACCGTGGTGTGCAAAGCTACAGGAGTGCTCTTCAGCGTGGCAGGAGGTAAGGAGGGCTCTGCTGTGCTGTTCTTGTTGGGTGAAGGAGTCACTGAAGGGGAAAAAAATGTTTTCTCTGCTTATATAGGGCACAGAAGGCCCTGCCTTTCCAGTAAAATCATTCTGGTGATTTGGAGCAGAGTCATGAGCCCTGAGTGCATTTATAGAGTAGAGAATAAACAGAAGGATCAGGACTATCAGGGAAACAGGTGATTTTCTGAGTGGGCTAATGACATGTGACTCTTTGGGGCAGAATCCAAGAGAGAGACCTGAGATTGTTCCAGGACCAGCCTGAGGGCAGAAGAGCAGAATAACCTGGAGAGTTCAGAGTCCTTGTAATAGTTGTTTTTCAGTTATTTCACCCACTTAGAGTGCAGAATTTGTGCAAGTCTTTGCAAACGTTTGGGGTTGTTGAGTGAGCAGGAGGTCAGCACCTCCCTGTGAGGAGCTGCAGGCTTGGCACAGAGAGATGTGTCATGGCATGGGAGTGCTGAGCTGATCTCTTCTGGCTTTGTCAGCAAGGGAGGGTGGCAGTGGGGAAAGTGCATTCCCTCAATAAACTCTGTTTTCCAGGTCTTTTTGTCGGGAAGGAGGGGCCCATGATTCACAGTGGTGCTGTTGTGGGTGCAGGCTTGCCACAGGTTAGTGCTGGCCTGAGCCACGCTCCTGGTCACGCCACTGTTTTGTAAGAGTGAGTTCCCATCTCCTGTGTTTCTAAATCTTTACTTTGTTTGTAGTTCCAGAGCATCTCTTTGAGGAAGATCCAATTTAACTTTCCCTATTTCTGCAGTGACAGGTACTGTACCCAGGATGTGGAGGAGGGGAGAGGAGGATGAGTGAGCTGACTTCCTTGGGAGAGGGGTGGTGGGCTGGGGTGAACCACTCAGTTGTTTTATCAGTTTCTTTCTAGAGTCCTGCAGTTACATTCTGCAGCGAGACAACACCAGGGTGTCACTCTTCCAAGCTGCTCTGGTCTTCCTGTTCATAGATGTTCTCTTGTGCTGCTCAGCAGATCTCTACCCACTTCAAACCTTTAATGTGGGTGGTTGAAGGCTCACCCCTTGTGATTAGGATATACTACAGAGAAGGCTAATTCTCCTGAATGTGAACAAATTCTTGCCCTTTTGTTGCTGTAATTGTTTCAAGTGATGCTGGAGTCAATGGTTTGGGATGGTTCCTCACATACTGGGCAGTTGTGTAGTACCAGAATTCTGCTCTGTGTTTGTGTTCTACAGAAAGAGCACAATGCTGCAGCCTAATGAGCAAATGGTGGTGTCTGCCATGGCCAGCTTTGCTCCCAACTCTCATCTTGAATCCCTGAAATATTCCATAAATGGGGATGATCTCTTACTTTGCAGAACCTAAGCATCTCCAGAGCTCTAATTTGCTAAACTGAGGTTGTTTTTCTCTTCATTTCAGGGATAAAAGGGATTTTGTATCTGCTGGAGCAGCTGCAGGGGTTGCAGCTGCCTTTGGAGCCCCAATTGGAGGCACTCTTTTTAGTTTGGAAGAAGGTTCCTCCTTCTGGAACCAGGGACTTACATGGAAAGTGGTGAGTGTTGATTCTGACTCTCTGTGTGCCTTGAGAAGAGGGCTCCCCTTGGTAGGGCTTGTCCATGAGGACATTCTGATCATCCTGCCTCTTCCTGAGCTGCCTTGGCAGGAGGAAGGTTGCCTGCTCTAGCATTGTTCCAAAACTACTGCAGATCAAGGGCAGAGATGATCCTGGTGTTATCTGGAACTGTGGGACAGCTCTAGGCAGCAGCTTTAGTGTACCTGGCAGAGTGGGCTTTTGTGCCTGGGCTCTCTGCAGTCTGATCCCTTGCACAGTCAGTTCCTTTGCCCAGGCATGGGTCTCAAGGAAGAGCTGACTGTGCCAATCTTAATTTTGGGAACCTTTGCTTCCCCTTCTTTTTTTTTTTTTTTTTTTTTTTTTGTTTTTTTGGTTTTTTTTTGTTCCACAGCTTTTCTGTTCCATGGCTGCCACTTTCACCTTGAATTTTTTCCGCTCTGGGATTCAGTTTGGAAGCTGGGGGTCTTTCCAGCTCCCTGGGCTGCTGAACTTCGGGGAGTTTAAGGTAAGATTTACTCTTATTTCTCCAGTCTCTTCTTAGCCCTGTGCTTCTGTCTGTTAGTTTGGAGGTTTTTTTTGACACACACTTGTATTTCAAGGCCCTTTATGTTTAGCTGCAATACATTGATAATTGTCACCCTTTGATTTTAGCTACTCAAAATCTTTAGGTGTGGAGACAGAAGTGTTGGTAGGAAATTGCAGCAACTACTGTAATCCTATTTTTGTACACTTTTCTGCACAGTGCTCTGAGTCTGATAAGAAATGCCACCTCTGGACAGCTGTGGACCTGGGTTTCTTCATTCTGATGGGGATTGTGGGAGGCCTTCTTGGAGCCACCTTTAACTGCCTGAACAAGAGGCTTGCCAAGTACCGCATGCGCAATGTGCACCCCAAGCCAAAGCTGGTCAGGTATGTGTGCCCTCTCCAGTTTCTGCAGGCATCTCTGCTCCCAGAGCAAAAGCATCAGTCTAGAAGACCCTTTGAGTAGGATTGGAGCAAATCTCAGACTGGTTGTTTTAAAAATCACTAAATGAATCCTCCATAGAACTTAGAAGTGAACACCAGAAACCAAATGTTACAGTCCCGTAATTTTTTGATGACTTTGGTGGTACAGAGAGAATTGCAATCCTTCTTATAAGAGCAGTGGAGGAAGCTCTTTATCATAAAGGCTGAACAAACCAGAGCTTTGTCTCCATGCAGGATTTTTTTGTGTCCTTGTCAAAATTGATGTGGATGAAATAGCTGATTTCACTCTTTAAAATCATATTGATTAATTAAATTCACAATATGTGTGTTGTTTAGAGGGGGAACTTCTGTGTTATTCTGAAAGCAGCTGCTTGTTTGCTCTGGACAGCTCCTAAACACAAAGCCCAGGTTTAAAGAGAAAAACAAGTGTATTTCAGCAGTTAGAAAAGAGCACCATCCTGCCCAGTCCTATCTATGCTTTTACCCTGTAAGGATGTACAGAACATTGTTTCCATATCAACAGCCTCATTACTGAACCATGGGGCTTTTCATGTGTGACTGCTGTGTGTTCTCTGAGTAGAAATAGTTCCTTTTTGGGGCAACCAGTTAAAAAGGGGAGCTAAGGCAATCCCTGGGAACCAAGTCAAAATTCAACTTGATTTGCAGTGTCCCTTATTCTGATGCTAAGCTGTGGTGACTGTTGCTTCTTGCAGCTTTATCACATCATCTGCAGAACTGGGACTAGGTTACAGTGCTGAGTGTGGCTTCAGTGCATGGTTTCTGTTGTGTCTTTCAGAGTCTTGGAGAGCTTGCTTGTGTCATTGACCACCACTGTCATGGTCTTTGTGGCCTCCATGGTTCTGGGGGAATGCCGGCAGATATCTTCCAGCAGGCACGGTGGCAATGACACCCTGAGCCTGCAGGTGAGGGGTTCTTATGTGAATATAATATTCCCTGTCATGTTTTTCACCCTGCAGAGAAGCACAGGCATGCAGTGAGCTTTTGACAGCGTGCAGTGCATAACAGAGCTGCAGTGAGAGCCCATGGAGGGTTGCAGGAGCTGTGGGTAATAACGAAACCTGCATTTTGCTTTTGTACAAACAACTCAGGCTGTGAGTCAAGGAGCACATTGATGTTGTAGGCCCCATTTCTGCTATTGATGTTTGCTCTGAACTTCCCAAAGCATGGCTAACAGTAACAGAAGTGTTATTTCCATTCTCCCCAAAGGCTAATGTAGGAGACAGTGAATTTTAACTCTGTGTCTTTTGTGTTCTGCATTAGGATATATCAGAGGATGTAAATTCAAGCATCAAAACTTTTTTTTGCCCAAATGAAACGTACAATGACATGGCCACGCTCTTCTTCAACCCTCAGGAGTCAGCTATCCTGCAGCTCTTCCACCAGGATGGTAAGTAGTTACAAGACTGCCTCATCCCACACTTAAGCTTCAGAGCTTCATCTTAGCTGGAACAGCACCACAAGTCTAGCAGCATCTTCAGCCCTTCCTGGCTCTGGAGGGCTGCTAGTAAAACTGGTGAAAGTCTCTTTGATGGGAAGAAAAACCTGGTTTTCCTCTCTTTTCACTTACTCATTGTCTGCACGTGTGTTTGGACTGGGAGACTCAGTAGCTGTTGTGTGATGAGCCTGCTGTGAGCTGAGGGGTGGATGATGCTGGACTCTGTCTTGGACAGACATGTGCCCCTTTCTTTAGTCATGATTCTTCTTGTGTTGCAGGTACTTTCAGCCCAGTCACCCTATCCCTGTTCTTCCTTCTCTATTTCTTACTCTCCTGCTGGACATATGGGATCTCTGTGCCCAGTGGTCTGTTTGTACCATCACTGCTTTGTGGGGCTGCCTTCGGACGCCTGGTCGCCAACCTCCTCAAAAGGTGCATCAAGTGTGCGTGTGAGGGACATGCTGCAGGTGCACCATGAGCTCTCAGGCAGGTTTTTCTAATCTGAGGGCTCTGTGCTTTGCTCTAGTTACATTGGTCTGGATCACATCTACTCAGGAACCTTTGCACTGATTGGGGCAGCAGCGTTCCTGGGAGGAGTGGTGCGCATGACCATCAGCCTGACTGTCATCCTCATTGAGTCCACCAATGAGATCACCTATGGGCTCCCCATAATGATCACCCTCATGGTGAGTGGAGGACCAGTAGCTCTGGCTTTTTGCAGAATGCTTGAACATGTGCTGGCCATGAATCTTTGTTACTTTCAGAGCTGTCATAAGTTGCACTTGGAACAGCGACTCAGTAGATCTCGTGTTTGCTATGCAGGTAGCCAAGTGGACAGGAGACTTTTTCAACAAAGGCATCTATGACATCCATGTGAACTTGAGAGGAGTGCCTCTTCTGGAGTGGGAAACCGGGATGGAAATGGATAAGTAAGGCTGCTCCTCTTGGCCAGGCTGTGGGTTAGAGTTTGTGGTGGGGATTCTTGTTCAGAAATGTGTTAATGCAGGGGGATGATGCTTCATCTTCAACCTACCTGGTTGCTCTGAGGAGCAAGTGTGAGGGCTGCTGTGAAAGGAATTGTGCACCAGCAGGAAAGAGATGCTGAAGCCATTTCTGAGGGGGTGGATGGATGGATGGAAATCTGCAGGGTGGATTTGGGAAGTTCAGCAAATGCTTTGTGAAAACATTCCATTGGACTTTTTGTGGAACGTCATCCTCTTACCACCCGTTGTGTCTTCCCAGTAGTGTTTAGAAACTTTATTTGTAAGTTAGAGCATTCTACCTTTCCTTTCATTGATCCAATGTTATGTTATAAAAAGAATAATTAAAAAATCAGGTGTGCCATCACTGCTGATACCACAGTGAAGGTGAGCGCACAGGTAAAAGGAGCCAGCAGAATTTAACTGCAGCAGAATCCTTCAGGACCTTGTTTAGGGACTGGTTTGTTCATCACCAGCCTTCTGTCCCTGATGTGATTCATGCAGCAATCTTGGATTTCTGTTTCTTCAGGCTACAAGCCAGTGACATCATGGAGCCCAACCTGACGTACGTGTACCCCCACACCCGGATCCAGTCCCTTGTCAGCATCCTGCGCACCACTGTCCACCATGCCTTCCCCGTGGTGACAGAGAACAGGGGCAACGAGAGGGAGTTCATGAAGGGAAATCAGCTGATCAGTAACAACATCAAATTCAAGGTAAAGGCTTGCTTGTTTGATAGGTTGAAGAGTAGAGAGCTTTGTTTTGCGTTCAGAATGGCCTTGCTTTAGCTATTTAAGCTTTTGGGCAGAATTTGGGTCAGAGATAAGCACCTACTGCAATATAAAATTTTTAAGAACTCCATTCTATTGTATGGATGATGGTAGAGACAAAAGAGTGGGTTGCATTCCCAGAGGGAAAAATTAAGAAAAAAACCTAATCTGTTTAGCATAAACACGGAAACATTTGGATTTATTACTGAATTGCACAGTATTATTGCACAGTCCTATTCTTGCAAGTCCTGCAGCAGCAGTGGCTAATGAACATGTTATGTGGTGGCACAAAGCTATGATGAGTAGTTCATAGTCACTCTTGGATAACTGTTGGCATGCTTAGTGAGTGTCTGAAAATTGTTTGCTGTATGCAGAAATCCAGCATCCTCACCCGGGCTGGAGAGCAGCGCAAGCGGAGCCAGTCCATGAAGTCGTACCCTTCGAGTGAGCTGCGTAACATGTGTGACGAGCACATAGCAACAGAGGAGCCTCCTGAAAAAGAGGATCTGCTGCAACAGATGCTGGAGAGAAGGTGAGATCCTGGGAGGCACAAATGTACAGAAGCAGGGTTTTTCCATAAGTTGAGATGTGTTGTAAAGAATCTTTCATATGTCAGTGGAAGCAGTGCTGATATCCATGTTTTAGAAGTGATTTGTCAGGTGTGAGGAGCCAGTGCTATGTCTCACACCTGTGACCAAGTGGGTTATGTCCAGCTTCTTGCATTTACTTCAAACACTTATACACACATATTTCCTTGAGGATAAAGTATCTGGGAAGATTTCTGTAGAAATCAATGTCCTCAATGTGGTAGCTCTGGAAAGCTCCCTTATCCCAGCTAATGACCTGGTGCCATGATACTGATCCCACCTTTCTGGTAACTGGGCTGAGTCACCAGGCTTGTGATGCTGTTACTCCCAAGTAGAAGCCCAGTCTAGTGAATAATTTTCTGCATCAGAGATTGTGACTTTCATGAATGGCATCCTGACCCTAATATTTTGCCTTATGCTTCAGCTTTTATTAGAATCTGAGTAATTTGGAACTGAAAATTGCTTTAACAGCAAGTGATGTGAAATTGAGTTAGGAGACTGTCCCACATAATGGCTCTTGACCTCTCTCGCCTATTTTTTTTTTTTTTGTGAAGTCTTGCTTGTCCCTAGCAAGAGTCCCTGAAGTATTCAGGGGAAGGTTGCAAAGAGCTGAAACAGCTGCTCTTTAGGGAGATGGGCTATGTGAACCTTGTAACACATGGTGTTAAATCCATCACAGATACACTCCTTACCCCAATCTGTACCCTGACCAGTCTCCCAGTGAGGAGTGGACCATGGAGGAACGCTTCAGACCCCTGACCTTCCATGGCTTGATCCTGCGCTCACAGCTGGTCACCCTCCTTGACAGGGGGGTTTGCTACTCTGAGAGCCAGTCGGTGAGTCCTCCTCTTCAGAAATTGCAGCAGACACATCCCTGCCTTCTCAGGAGGTTGGGAACAATCTTCATGGGCTGCCAAAAAGAATATATCTATTTTTACACTTTAAGGAATGCATGTGTGTTTTTAAAGTTGCAGACGGGTAATGTGAATTCTCCCTTGCAGCTCTTAGAGTAAAGGAAGTTGAAAATATCCCCAGGAAAAGGATAGCCACTGTTAAAAAAGTCACCCAACAGACCTGTTTGTTGCATAATGCTATGGAGAATATATGATATGAATATAAGACATAAAGATATGCAGAACTGGAGAATAGAGGGCAGATAGTAAATGCAAATAGAGCATCCATTTGCATTTAATATAGAAATATATTAAATACTTTCTATTTTATATACTTTCTATTTTACTGCTGTGGGTTGAGGTCCTAGCAGAAAAATATCAGCTGTGTCACTGAGATCAGGCCCAGCTCCCACAAGACTGGTTTCCTGCTGTCCTCCAGTGTCAAGTGTAGATTTGTCAGAGGTTGGGGAGCTGTTTTCTCTCAGCTGAAGGCCTGCATAGGTTTGGGTAACTGCACCTCTGCAGAATGTGGGTGTGGGAGGAGGAGGAGATCTGGGGGAGTGATTAGGAGGCATGGTTTGCTGTGCTGCTAGCAGCCCCTGTGTTGTCTGGAATGGTGACACCTGGGCTCAGTGGGGTTTATTTTGATTGCAGAGTGCAAGTCAGCCTCGTCTGTCCCACGCAGAGATGTTGGAGGATTATCCCCACTACCCAGATATCCATGATCTGGACCTCACATTGCTGAACCCTCGTATGATAGTGGTAAGATATGCACTGCAGTGTGACAGCCCCTCCTCAGATATATTTACAACTGTCCAAAGCCTTTCAAAACACTGAGGGCATGTTTTAATATATTCTTTGGCACAGTGACCAACATCCTGTGCTCCTCAAGCACTCAGCCTTCTCTGCATGTGGAAGCCCCCTGCTATGAGGTACCAGTGTCCATTGGTGCCTGTCCAGTTTAATTTCTCAACAAACCAAACCAAAATAATGTCATATTTGTGCAGAAATAGAAAATTACCACAGTCAAATACTCTATCCAGGCATCAGTGCCATGGAGGATTTGTAGGATTTGCATGTTAGTGACTCCCAGAGACATTGAAAATGCCTCTTGTAAATAACATGATTGCTTTTCTTTCTTAGGATGTCACCCCATACATGAACCCATCACCCTTTACTGTCTCTCCAAATACTCATGTGTCACAAGTCTTCAACCTGTTCAGGACAATGGGACTCAGGCATTTACCAGTTGTGAATGCAGTTGGAGAGGTGAGTCCTTGGCTTGGCCTTGCTGAGCAAGGAAGCCACAGTGTTTGTGTAATATTTTCCATCTCTGGGACAGTTAAGATCTCTTTTAACATCAAACAGAAATGCTTTAGAGATCAGAAGAGGATTTTTTTAGGGCCCTGAAGGCTTGATTACTGTGACTTTGTTGGCATCTTTTGTGTCCTAGCCTGTTTCCCCTTTACCTGCAAAGAGCAGGACATGAATCTCCTGTCTCAGGTGTACAGCCTGTAGAAGCTGTCCCATTTTTCTGTCTGTTGAGAGGCCCTGAGCTCATCAGAGACCACTAATTTGCCTTTCACAGCTTTATTTAAGAGCAAAATTTCCTTTTATGTTGGGGCAAGAGGTTTTTCTGTAGGAAGGGAGTTGTATTCTATTTCTGCTCACAGGAGCAGCAAAACAAAGGAGTGGTTAAATGGTCTGTGCTTGACTCACTGTCCCTTTGCCATCTACAGTGCTCAGAAACTGTCACTAGATGTCAGCAACCTCCTATAACCACTGTGAGAAGCTGTTTCCCCTGAGCCTGACCTGATCTGTGTGAGGCAGCACTGCTTTTTGTGCCTCAAGGTTCCCACAGTTACTCTGCAGGGCCTGTGAGTTGCAAAGGAGATGTTAACTTATTCCATTTTAGTACAAGATGCTCTTGTGGTACTAGAGAGCAGCCTAGTTCTAAACTCTTTCCATGTGTAAAATCAGAGAGGTGTTTCACCAGCTGAAATGTGTGGTTTGACTTTATCCACAGCAGGCTGGGAGAGAGTCCCTCTTGTCACCTGCCAGTGTGCAGCACCTTTAGCTAGTCTTGGACCATTTCTCTGATTTGGTCTTTAGAGCTTCCCTGAATGTATCTGACAGGAGCTATCTGAAGTCATGCCATGTGGAATACCAGAAATGTCTTGAATGAAGCCCTAAAGGACAGCTTTGTTATTTCCAATTGCAGTTTTTACTTCCCAAAGGATTTTACATCCTTGTGCTGTCTGACATGGAAAGGATTTCCCTTCCTAGGCACAGGGTCCTGCTGCTGCCAGACACCACAGCAGTGGTTAAGCTGTTTGTTTGGGTGTAGTTAAATCAGCATTCTTGCCTGAAGAGTAAATGCTGGTAGAGGGAGGAATGTGATTTCTGTGAATTTCAACTTGAATCTGCTCTAACTCAACATTGGTCAAGAATTGCTCTCAGGTTTCCTCTTTTTGGGGTGTTGAAAAGAATGACCACTTGTGAAAAATGCCAATCATCTGTTTTTAAAATTTTTAAAAGTTTAATAGTAATAAAATGGTTATAAAAAATAGTAATACAATTAGAGTAATAATAATTTGGACAAATTGAATTAGGACAATACAAGACAATAAAAACAAAAAGTTATAGACAGTCTGGGTACCTCTTTCTGGGCAAAATAAGCCTGAAGAAGGACCCACATTAACAGAGGATTAACCCTTAAAAGCAACAGCCTGTTGCATATTCATACACCTCATCCATGATGCATAAATCCCATTGAACCACAGGATTCTGTCTGGGCAGTGTCAGCTTCTTCCTCTGAATCCTGACAGCGCCTTCGAGGTGGGAAGAAGTTCATTTCTTCTGATAATGGAGCAATAAATTCTCTTTCTCTGAAAGATTCAGGTGACCTGTGGCTGCTATCTCACTGCAAGTCCTTTCTTTAAAAAAAGTATCTTACATAGCATAGTTTCTATTTTAACATTTTTTATAACCTAAAACTATATTTAGCACACTACTTAAGAGAATTAATACAGCATTACTTTCTAACACAACACACATAATACTCATTTTAATATTTGCAAAAAGCCAATCATTAAATACATGCATTTTTCACACTCTTTATTATGGATGTCTTTCAGTGGCACATCTCTGACACAAACTTGTACCTTTTCTTCTTCTTTCCTTCCTGTTCAAGGTTGTTGGGATAATCACTCGGCACAACCTGACGCACGAATTCCTGCAGGCCAGACTGAGGCAGCACTATCAGACCATTTGATGCCCCTGCCCCTCTGTCAGTGTGGTTCCTCCCTCTCCAAGCTGGCACACATGCTCGCATCCTGCTTGGACCACACAAGGCCCAAGACCTCCCGTTTGGCTTCTCACGTGCATATCAAGCCTGGGGAACTGGAAAACATTTTGCTAGCCAGAGAATTCGAGGAGCTGCCTGAGCCCAGAGCTGTTGATTGGCCTCAGGCACTTGGTTTGACAACTCTTGATCCAGGTGTTTTCTTCCCCTGTCCCCCAGTTATCTCCTTCTGTCAGATGTTGTCCTGACACCACTGTGTGTTCTGCCATTTTGTTTTGGGGTTTTCTGAAGAGTTGGAAAAAGGAACCATTTCCCTCCACTGTGTCCTGGGCAAGGAACTGCAGTGTCTTTCCCTTCCTCCTGTGTGACTCCCTTTTCTTCTTCCTCCCTTGTTCCTGCAACTGTTGCCTTATTTGTGTGAGAAGGGAGTTACTGTCACCACTGAGAGGAGATACTGAAGTTTGCAGATATCAGCTGCTCTCCAGGATGGTTCCTTGCAAAAGCAGTTATAAAAAATCCAGGGTTTTGGAAATGCACCTGTCTTTGCAAGTGTTCCCCTTTGCCCATATTTTTTCACTCTGGCTTCATTTGTTCTTAATTTCTCTCCTTTCATGGGGAAATGTTTCTGCTGTGATGTTTTTGACAGCAGATGACTTGAGAGCAGCTCAGCAGATTTGGAGTTCAAAATGGTTACACTTCAGTTACTGTTTGAGTTTATAAATATTTAATACATTTGTGAACACCTCAGAGAAAGGAGATCTCTTCCCTGTTAGCTGTTGCTATTGCCTCCCTGTAAGAGACTCTTCTAAGATGCTTGGTGGCACTCCACTTTGGCATTTCTTGCCATTTGTAGGCATTTTGTCCCTGCACTGCTCAAACAGTGAGAGCCTGGGGCACCTTTCCAGCTGGAGTCAGAGACCAGGGAACTCCACGTCCTGATAGCATAGAGAAATGTTGCTTTGTGGAAGGAAATAGAGCTGATGGTCTCTGGGCTTGCTTGAATTATCTCTGTGTCATGAGAGGAGCTGCTGTAGTTCCAGGCTGCCATAAGGAGGGATGGTGGTGACTAAGGCAGGATCTCCTGCAGGTGATAAGTGGGGCTGTCTGTGCTCTGTAAATGCTTGGGATCATGTTTGCAGCAATCTGTAAGGGTAAAATCAGCCCTCAGGAGCCAGTTGCAGCCAGTTGAGTGCTTTAGCAGGTACCATCCTGGCCAGCACCTGTATTGTTCCAGCAGGCACCTGCCCTGCTGAGTTCCCTGTGCAGATAACCCTCAGTGGGAAGCCAGTGCTGTGCCTCAGGGACTGCAGAGCTGATTGGCTTGATAAAGCACAGAGCATTCTCTCAGCCAAGATACATGGGGAATGTATTCCAGAAAAGCTTCTGCACAGCCCCTGAGCTCTGCAGTTAACCCTTTGCCTGCCATAAGGAGCTGCCTAGGTGGGAACTGGGACAGAAGGCAGACTTTGTTGATTTTCTGTATTTCCTTAGAGCATAGGAGTTGGCATCAGGTACTGCCCTTGATTTGTGAATTTTTTCCCTGTGAGTAGAGTGAGGATGTCTGTTCTGTCTGGATAGGATCTGCAGGTGTTGTCTGAAATGCCTGTGTTCCCTGAGCTCTGCTCCTGCACTGAGCTGTCCCTGCAAACTTCCAGCACCCATTTGCACTCCCTGAAGCTGGGCTGTAGGTTTGAAATATGCTTTTGTTAGGCTACCTGATTTCATTCAAAGGATCTGGGTGATTATGAATCACAGGAATCCTGATTTTGTGGGATTTGTGGGATTTCAGATCACTTAGGTGGGATTGGCAATCCTGTAGTGTTAGAACACCTGTCAAGAATGTCCTGTGCCTCCCCATGACAAATGTTGAGTGAGTGTGTGTGGAAGGGAAGGTTCCTTCTCTTCCTGCACATGAAGGCTCCTTGGGTTGTTTGCCTTGAGCTGCTCCTGTTTTATTTCTGTGCACGAATGGCAGGGTGTTTTGCTGCAGGATGAATTTGTCATTGCTGCTGAGACAAGAGTTGGGCAATCCAGACAAATCAGGCTGGAGAACCTTACCAAGGTTTTTCTGGGCACCAGATGCTTCCCCATGACAAGGCACTTTGCCTTCAACCTGTTGGCAGCAGTGTCTGCTCTGCCTGGGCATCTTATTCAAATGTTTCAGCTGAAAAACACCCTTTCCTTCTTTCAGTAAAGACATTTTCAGTGAGAGTGGTGGGTGACCCTGTCAGCTGCTTTAAAGGGAAATCTCAGTGTGCAATTACTGTTCTGTAGCCTGCAGAAAAGGAATGACAAGTTCACCTGACATTTGGAGATGCAGTATTTCCCTTCTGATGAGGACTGATGCCAAGGGGTTTGTGTTGAATCAGTCTTCTCACACTTCAGTTACTTAAATCCTTTCTTACAACACACTCACTGCTTCTACCCTGGCTCTAGTTGCTAAGTGATTTACTGAGGAACTTATTCTAACATAGGTGCCAGGAACATTTTAACAGAGCAACACTAAGGGAAAAATAACCCAGAACTGGGTTAGTTCTGATGGCAAGGGTAGGGGGTTAGTCTGGGGCCTTCCTCCTTGCCTTGTGGCTTCCTGTGCAGTGTTAATTATGCAGTTTTGAATTATTAATTACTGTGAACCATTCCAATGGTATCCACTTACTTACCTTTCCATTTGGTTTTTTTTTGCACTGTTTTTTGTTATGAAATGATGTAAGCTAATTCCATGGTGTGTGTATATAAATTGTATTTTTTTTATAATTTGTATGAATATATTTTTATTTGAACAATGGCACTTGGGAAGTATTCATGTAGCTGTAACATGTCTGAGAGTAAAATGTTTGTATGTCTCCTTCAGCACTTTCAAGGCCTTTTGATGTTTCTAGTATTGTTTTATTTTTGCCCTTTATGATAATAAAACCAGTAGAACATGGCAGCATCCAAGAGCATGATTTGAGGTAGTTGAGTTGTTGCTGTTTATGAGCTGTCTGGATTTAACAGTTTGTGCTTTTAGAGAGGAATGGCTGTGATCCATCAGCTTGTGACCACTGCAGTTCCACATTCTCACCACAGCTCTTTCAAAGGAGGGAATTTGATAAGGAGCTAAATTGTGCACATTGTGCTGCTTTTCTTACCTGAGAACTCACCTTCTTCCCAGTAAATTAATGAAAGAGGTTTAAACTACAGTGTGCCACCTCTTGTTTTGCAGTTGGCCTCTCCAGGGTATGAAAAATCTTAGTTTCATCTTGAACATTTATTTAGTTTATGCCTATATTTCCTGCTTTGTCCTGCTGTCTGCCTTACAGAAAAGAATTAGTGACAATTTTTGAGCTTTCATCTCATTTTGGCTTACAAGCCAAAAATGTAAGTAGAGTCTTTGAGCTCTGTAGAAATATCTGACCCAAACCTCACTTCCTTTCCATGTTTCTGTGCGTCAGGGGCTGTGTTATACAGGATTCATGCAGTGCAGAATACACAGATGTTGCACAGATGCTCACAGTGGCTCTCTGAGGCACTCTAACACAGAGTTGTCCAGCAGCTTGTCTGGCTCTGCCCCCTGGCTGTGCAATGCCAGGGAAAGCCTGAGATGGTAAAACCCTCTCTTGGGAAGGAATGGCAGAAAATCTGATTTGAGGAGCTAAAAAACTGCCACAGAGAGCTTAACTAAGGAAAATAGGAAGGATACCCTAGCAGGGGTGGGAAGGAGTCATCAGGAGAAGGGACTGGGGGAACTGCTTCAGCTCTGTGCTGCCTTGGATGGTAAATGCGGCAACACGGGAGGGAATTGGAGAGGTTTATGGACTCATTGAATCCAACCATGTGCCATTGGCCCTGTAATGACACACTGGGGCTCTAGCAGAAAAAAAAAATAGTGGCGTTCAGTGAGATTATTAATTTTTTTTAAATTTTTGCTTTGCTAGCAGGATACAAGCTGCCTCTTCAGTGTGTGTGTGCATTCCCAGTTGTGAATCAGGCACTGGGAGGAGCAGAGGATGGCTGCCTGGAGCCTTGGCTGTTGCAGGGCTGTGAGAAGAGAGTGAAGCTGCTCTTGTTGTCCAGGGTGCTGAAGGGCTTTTCAGCAGCAGTGGGACACACTCAGTCTGCTCTGCACCCACTGTTCAAATGCAGTGTCTGAAAGGGCTCACTGGGAGCTGGGATGAGACATCACTGAGCTCCCCTGCTGTCTTGGATGTTGAGATAATGTCACTGTCACATTTTCTGAAAAATCCCTTCGCTAGGATTTCTCCTCCTGGGAAGCTGAGAAGCCTCAGAAAAGAATGAAAACAATAATTATCTGATTGCTTCTCCCTGTTTTGCTGCTTTGGAATGTGGTCTAGATATTGTTTTACCAACTGATCAATGTTTGATTTGTTTCATGTGAATTGTTTTTATTTAATGACCAATCACCATCAATTCTGCCAGACTCTGGGGAGTCAGTTGAGAATTTTTCATTATCATTCTTGTTAAACCTTCTGTCTGTATCCTTCTCTTTGTTTAGTATAGCTTTAGTATAGTATTCTTTTAATGTAATATAATAAAATAATAAACCAGCCTTCTGAGAACATAAAGTCAGATTCTCATCTCTCACCTCGTTCTGGAAACCCTCACAAGCTCAACAAGATAACAGTTTCAAAGTGAGCAGGATGTCCCTTTCTCCAGGCTGTTTCAATTGCTGTATGGGCTATGTATGGTTTAACACACATCTTACTGATACTTTAAGCATTTTAAAGCAGACTGGAACCCATATATACCAGTTTCAGTAGAAAACAATACTGTGTTGGAAACTCATGACTAACAGCTAAGATATGACAACCTTGAGACCTTTGTTGACTCCCCCAGCAGCTCTTTGATGCCTATACTAAGGAACATTTCTCTGGGATGGCTGGATTAACACACCAGATTTATTATTCTTTTCTTGTATTCCAATTCCCAGCATGGCAGGCCTGACTCTAGTTGCCTTCCCATCATAAACTTCACCTCCTCCCGAGAGGGATGGTGCTGGTTTTCTGAGAGAGCAGTCAGGTGATGGCAATAGAGGGGGAAAGTCTTACAAATCTTCCTTCCTTCCCACATAGAAGTGTGGGACACACTTATCAAGCAAATATCAATCAGCAAAGGCCCTTGGGGGCCAAGATTCAGGAGAAGTAAATCAGACAAGCTGGTTGTGGCCAGACTGGGCTGTGAACTGGCACAGCTCCATGTCTCCCTGCAGCAGGGGAGGGTGGGTGTGTGCCCTGTCCTTCACTTGTGATTTCTTGGAGGAACCAAACAGTGCTGACAGCTCCTCTGTTGCAGACATCTTTTCATTAAAAGTCCTTTCCTTAGGATTTTTTACTTCTGAGAAGCTGAGAGGCCTCACAAACAAAATGTAAACAATGGTTATTTGCTGCTGTGGAATGCAACAGCTGGATCCATGATTGGTCTCATGTGGATGTTTGGAATTAATGGCCAGTCACAGCTGGCTCTCTCTCTGTCTGAGCCACAGACCTTTGTTGATTCATTCTTTTCTGTTCTTAGCTTAGCCAGCCTTCTGAGATGTACCTTTTCTTCTATTCTTTTAGTATAGTTTTAATGTGATATATATCATAAAATAATAAATCAAGCCTTCTGAAATATGGAATCAGATCCTCGTCTCTTCCCTCATCCTCAGACCCCTGTGACCACTGTCACACTCCTCTTGGCATTCTTCCCTGCCAACTTGGATTTCAGTGGGAGCATTTTGTTTAGTGGGAAGCTGGATAGGGGTAGTGCAGTGTCTGAGGAGCAGAGAAACCATCAAATCTAATTTGCAAATATACTCAGTGCCAAGCAGAGCCCTATTCCAAGCAAGGCTCATGCCTTGCAGAGTGCACGGAGCACACTAATGGAATTTCTGTGTTTCAGAGTCCAGAGGAAAGCAAGCTGGATTATGCATGGCCAATAATGGGTGCTGCCAAACGCTGTTCAGAAGTTAGAATGGAGTCTGGCAGGGCAGGAGGTGACAAATGTCATTAGAGCTGTGTGAAGGGCGTTAACCTGGTCCTTCTCTGGTCCCACTGGGATATTTCATTTACGTGATAGTTGTTCACAAGATGGCTCCCTGCTCTCTCTGATCACTCACAACACCAGTGGCAGCTTTTTTCCATCCTTGGGGGATGATGTTTTTGCCTGTAGAGCTGATCAGTGTTGAGTTTGTCCCATTCAGCTTTTCCCAGTGCTTACTCCTGAGTGCAGCGCTGTTCTGCCCTGGCTGCAGGATTTCCCTGAGGGTGCTTTACAGCTCGGTAGTAGCAGTAAAAATCCAGTCAGAGATGCTTTTTTCCTCGATTGCTTACCCTCCATTAGGCTCTCCCAGACTGCAGGGTCTATTAACTCACTGTCTGCAGGCTCATACAGACTTGTTCCACCAGGAACTGGCTTGCTGCTAATACTGGACCCACCTGGCTTTAGGTCAGGAAGCATTGCCTCTTCTTGCCATTTTTAGCACATTCCACTGAACTAATCAGTGTTTTGTGCCTTGAGGGACTGACAGGGAGGGACAATTTACAGTGTCTGTGCAAGCTGTGCTTGACTGGGTAAAATTCAGCTCCAGCTGTTAGAGTATGTGAATTGTTGTTGCTTTCAGCAACACAGGGGAAGTCAGGCTGTTGCTCATTGCTGGTGTGGAGGGATCCACCTGCATGTTCCCATCCTGCTGCAGGGGGTGTGTTTGGAAAACTTTTAAAAAGACAAAGCCCCTTTATCCCCCCAAAGGGTGACTTCACACCCCCATGATCTGTGAAACGGAGTAAATGCAAAGTCACTGTACCTTTCACTGCAGAGATGCTGCTGGGAATCTCAGCCTGAGAATTTATTCTCCTGTCAGGGAAAGCTGTGTGGACACTATTGCACAAAGCATTTTATCTGTAGCTGGTGCTGCTGGAAGGAGAGGATTTGTATCACACTCTGGTTTCCTGTTGGAGTGTTCCAAAATTAGTCCCTCAGATTGGCCTTCTGCCCTTCATCCCCAGGAAAGAATCACAAGGCCCAGCGTAGAGAGGAGCACACAGAAACCTCTTGGAGGCCATGTCAGCACTGCAGGGAGTGACTGGAGGGTGGCTTGTCACAAATGTGATGTGTGACATGAGCCCTGTCAGTGTTGCAGCACCTTTAGCTGTGACTGGCCTTGTGCAAGGAGGGGTGTGTGCTTGAATTTACCCTTTCCCCGGAGCTGTGGCCCCTGAGAGCTGTTGTCAGCAGCTCTGGAACACCTGCAGTCCAATTCCTTATCCTCACCAGGCACTGTTCCTGTCACCTTTGCATAAGCAAAGTCAGAATTGGATTGTTCCAGCTGAGCCTGTCCTGGTGCTGCCTTCCTAAGCCCTGAACAAGCTTCTCAGGGTACTCAGGTCCATGGGAATGCACTGAGATTCTGGGAATGAGACTCATGAGGTGCTCAAAATAACACAGTTCCTAGCAGAACATGCAGGACACAGGACAGTTGTGTTGAGCTGGGCTTGGTGCCATTGCTGGGGCTCACATGGGGATCCAAGCTCTTTGTTCCTTGGGATGCTGACTGAATGTGTGTTTTTTGCAATATTTCCTTCTTTGGTGGGGTGCTAGAATATGTTTTAGGTCAAATTCAGCTCCTAGGTGTGAAATCTAGCAAGGTTAAATAAACCTTAATCAGACTTGCAGCGTTCCCATTAGCCATGTTAGAACAGCTTTGCAAGGGGCCACTCCCAGAAAGTGATAAATGATTTTTGCATGCAAGCTGCTGTGTAGTTCAGTGATCCCACCTACCCTCTCATGACAATATTCAAACCTTTGAGGATCCTTCAGGAAATTCTGGGAGTCAGCATCTCATCCCCGTGCAGAGTGAGACAAGACACAGTTCATGATGTATCTTTGTGTTGATGCTCGTAACCTTTATTGGGTCACTGCTAGAAAGCATATACAATGAATTCCCTTTCCTCCCTCTGGTTATCTTGAAACTTGTGGAGTGTTATGGTTTTATTTATTTCTTTTCATGTATTTCTTTTCTTTATTTATTTTCTTTTCTTTTGCTTACTCGAGGCATTTGTGGCAGTTCCCATGACTGAATAATTTAAACCAGCAAAAGGACTCTCTTATCACTGAAACCCTGTCTATAGGAGGACTCATGATGATCTTTCAATTTTAAGCAAGTTTTGTTTTCCTGCTAACCTGTTGGCATTTCTTACTGCAGAGGAAAAGCCTCTGGTCAAAAACTCATTTTAATTTTTACTAAGTTTTTTCTGTCTCGTGTAAGTAAGATCCAGGCTTGTGGGTACCAGAATATCAATAACACTTAAGATTTTGACTTTAGGCAAATACAAGAAAATTTAATGCAACAGACAGGAGAGAGGTCCAGCACAGATGTCTAACGTGTTAGTTTTATTTAAAGATGGTCTGGCAGCGCTAACGTAAGAAATGTTCTTTAAAAAACATCAAATAAATAAATAAATAAATAAATAAAAATAGGAATAACTTTCTGTTGAGGAGCTTGGAAAGCATCTGGCTTTCATCTTGGGAGGAAGGGGTACTGTAAAGCATTCTTCAGAGCAGGTTCTAGGGAGGCTGATCCTAATTCCTCCGGTAACCTGCAAACCAAACATGAAATAAATGTTATTAGAATCTGGTTTTGTGTTGGTACGTGTCACCATTGTCAGCAATGCTTTTGAAAAACCAATACTAGGCTCAAATTAATTCTATTCTGAAACTTTTTCTTAAAGATTTAAATGAGGAGCTGCTCCCTCCTTGTGCCATGGCACGGACACGGTCAGTGCTGTTCGGTGAATGGCTTAGCCAGGACTCACCATTGCAGCCCATGCCACTGAGGGAGCCGATCCTGTCAATCCTCCTCCCAAAACAGCCAGAATCTCTCATCATCCTGGGCATCTGCAGCCCCCTCAGTCTCTTGAGGAGGGGCTCCCTGTAGGACAGGGGGGTGTTGGGTGCCAGCCTGGGTTCAGCCTTCTGGTTGTCGCCGTCATCGGTGAGTTCCGGCAGGATCTCCTCCTGGGCTTTGGGTTCTTGCAGGTCAGGATTGGACTCCAGGGCTTCCATCATGGCAAACTTGTCCTCCAGTCTTTCCAGCAGAGCCTGTAAGAACAGGATTAAATTGATGAAATTCCTTGTTTTGTGGTCATTTGCTAACTGTTCCAGTCATTCTGTTCTGTATTCATCGATGGTCCCATAGCCCACCCTGGGGACACTGACAGGTTGAATCCCAGCCTTGCTGGTGTTGTTGGGTTCTGTCCTCTGCATTATTTCCCTGTTCACACTAATTCCATCTATGGGAAGGCATAGCTTCACCTTGTGAACTGAGTGAAGCTGCTTGCCATCATGTGTATCTTACTGGCAAGTTTAGAACACATGTTGGCAGAGAAGAAAATGCAAGATGTGGGTTGGACAGGGTCTGCTCAGCCCACCAGTGGTACACAGTCTGAGAGAGCCTCCAGCCACACAGCCCACTCCCATGTTACTGCTTTGTCACCCCTGGCTGTTTCAATGGACATCATTTGGAGAAGCTCTAGGTGTTTTCCTGCCCCAGGGAATGCAGGATTGCTACTCCTGAAAGTAACTGAAAATACCTGTGTGGTAAATTCATGTGATTGCTTCCTGGGTACCATTCTTTTTAATTTGTAAAGCTTTGTGTAACTGGGGTCAGATAACCTGCTCAAGGGCAGCTCAACCAATTAGAGGTCACTAATTGCCCAGCTCTAGAATATGAATATAGAGGAATGAGCCTTATGGCTTGCCTGACAGTGAGTGCATTTGGAAGCCACTCTTCCTGGCTGCTGAAAACAGCCCAGATGCAGCTTTAGCTTGAGTTGTCCTTATCAGCTCAGGGAGTTTGTTCTTAGGGCCTGAGAACAGCTTTGGGAAGCTGGTTACTGGTACCAGCCAGCCCAAGGAAAGGTCTGAGCTTTCAGATCCCATCAGAGTCTCAAGCTTGTACTATGCTGTAACAATGCATTTTCTCTATCATTTGTTAAAATTCTTAGCGGTAATTTTATAGCTCTGGAAGCTTTTCTGGGTGAGCCACACTAAATGACTGTGTTAATTCCTCTAGTAATATTTCTAAAAGTTTGTCTTTGGGTGCTCCACTTTACCTCCTCATCTCTCATCCATACACAACCAGATCTGTCAAATTCACAAAGCTAGAGCCATATGGCTGCCCTGTGGAGCAGGGGTGAGCACATAGACAAGACCCTACTCCTCAGTTTTCTATTTGTTCTTACAGAGCTACTCTGAAGATTTTTTCCTTCCCTGCAACTTTGTTCCCTGGAAGATGTATCTTTAAAAGAAAAAGAACTGAAACACCAAACCGGACATCCTACAATCACAATTTTGGTTCCCACTACTGCCCAGGAGCTTGGGTGAACCCAACACCCAAGGGAGGATATTTCCCTACAGAGCTTCTCTGAACCCCTCTGAAAAGTTTTGTCCCCCAGCATGAGATGTCTGATGTGGTTATTGCAATCCATTCATGCAACAGGAAGGCAAAGCACCCCCTCACACCCTGCTAAGCACCCCAAAAGTTTACCCTTGCAAAATGAGAGTCCTCACCTCCATGCTGGCCAGTTCTTTGGCAGGGCTGAGGCTGTAGATGGGGTTGGCTCTGCTGGGCTGGAGCTGGATGAGCAGCAGCAAGAGGAAGCCATAGAAAAATGAGCCTTTAGTGTCCATGGCGCTGAGCTCGTTGGGAGCTGGGAAGTTCAAGCTGTTTCTTCTGAGATGTCCCTTCAAGTCTCTTTCTTCCTCGTGGTGTTGTGTCCCTTCTGAAGCTCGTCTTTTATACTCTTTGGGTGATCCCTGCTTCCTAGGTTATCAGTGGGTTTATCTTGGGCACATTCCAGTCCCACTGCAGGCATGCAGCTCTGTCAAGGGAAGATTCCCTTTATTAGCTGTCATTAGGCAGCAGCTGCTGTTGCTGAGGAATGTATGTCACAAGTCAGTGATTTCATGTCACTCCCCCTCCTCTTGATACCAGGAGCTGTGATTACATAGTCCAGTTGGAAATTCTTAGCAATTCTCTTTCAAGAGACCCCTATGGTCAGATTTACAGAGATGGGAAACAATCCCAAAACTTTGCTCACTTAGAAGATTTCCATAAGGAAAATGCCTTTTACAGGGGAAAGAACAGGCTTTTAGATCAGTGTTTGGTGAAGAGTCAAGAATGAAGATAAACTGTCTTTCAGCACACCTAAAGCATTGTGCACACTTCTTATATGGAATTATGCGTGGCCACCGCCTACAGAAAGTGTGCTGAAAATCCCAGATTTGGGCCACTTTTCCCATTGCTCCTGAGGTGACATCACCACTGAAATTTTGTATTTGTGTGTTACCAACAAGAGCAGCCCCTGGACCTGCACCTCAGTGCAGAACTGACCGTGGGGAGAGCGAGCACCTCCAGCCCTGCGCGACAACCGGCTCCGGCACCGCTGACAAACACTAGAGTGTGTTAACAGCCAAAAGCTTAAATAATGGGATTTCTGTAAGCACTCATGGTAAGGCTTCCCCCTGCATCAATAAAATATAAAGAACAGGCAGCCAGTTTCAGCCATAATCTTATTTTACCGCCATACAAGAAAGAAACTTGTTCAATGAGAACTTAGCTGGTTTTATTCAGAATCTGTCCCGCAGAAAGAATGGATGAATTTGTGTATATGTGAGTTTTGTGAGAAGCTAAAACAAAATCTTAAATGTAATATATTAAAAACTAAAAGTATTTGTTTAAGTGCTGAATGTCTTAAAATTAACTAGAAACTGAATATGCTTAGATGAGAAATTAAAAAAGTACAGAAATGCTTCAAATTTCTCTTCCATTTTTGTCTTTGTACATATAGTATAACTATAAATTAATCTTTTTAGAGAAATGTAAGAGATTTCTAAATCATGAAGCAATAGCTTTTTTTTTTTCATTTTCCTAATGTTTCTTGTCATTTTAAATTGAAACAACAACGAATATAGGAGTAAGTTGAATGTCAGTCTAGTAATAATTTGTTGACTTTTCATATGAACATAGATCTTGAAAAAAATCTCCTGAGTACGCTTTCAAAATAATAATAGAATGATAAACTATTGCCCATGTCTTAAATGTCTTAACATGGTGTTTATGTACAAACATGTGCACATACTGCTCACATGATCAGCTACCAAAATTATACCAGAAAGGACATTCTCAAGGTTGTGAAGTCATGCTCAAATGCTACTTCTTCCTAATATAGCCTGAAGTCAGCCCAACTCTGTGTGTGTTCTGGTGAAGCCCTTTATTAAAAGAGCTCTCTCTGCTTTTCCTCAATGCTTTATTGTTTTCAGAACTTAAAGGCAACACTATTTTTTTTTGTATTATTGTATTTTTTTTGTATTATTAATTTTGTATTATTACACTTTCTTATTTTGTGTTTTTAAAAAAGAATTAAGATCCTGATAGCTTATTTTTTATAATTGACATTCTATACTACAGTGTCTGTATAATTCATTAATTAGTTACAAATATTCTCTTCCTACTGCTCTTTTGTGTATGTTTGTTTGTGCCAAGGTGTTTGTTACACTTTGTTTTATAAACTGCAAAAGTGGGAGAAGATAAACCAGAATTATTCATTCATTTTGAGTGTCCAATTTAAGATAATTAGAATCGGTTATTGTTGTATTTCTTGCTTCTTTCCTTTCACACCCCCACACACACACACTAAGTATTCTCTAGTGCTCTCTGTACAAAAACATTTTGTAGCTTGCTCTGAGATTTCCTTTGTGTCTGTTTTTTTTTTTTAGTTTGGTTTGTTTTGTTTTTATTTTTGTTTTGTACAGCAGCCCCTGGGGCACAAACCCAGCAGCAAGAAATTAAGGAACACAACATTAATCTCAGATGTGAAATATTTTGCTTTGAGTGATCTGTCCCTGTGAAACAATCTAATTGTCCACAATTTTAGTGATTAAGTCAGACCCCAAATTAGTCCTTTCTTTACTGGTTCTTTCTTTTTCATCTTCTGTGTTCCATGGCAGATAAATAAGATGCAGCAGCCTTGACAATACTTTTCTAAGAAAAAGGAAGCTTCTAAGGAAAAATTTGTGCTATATTCCATGTACAGTGTAGTGAAGTGTAGACATGGGATGAAATGGCTGCCTGCCACAGTAGCAGTTGTATTTTCACAGCCAAATTCTGCCCTCAGTTATCCACCTTGCAGTTCTGCCAAAGCAAACGGAGTGTGAAATGTCAGAACTCAGCTCATCGTTGTTAAGCTATAAAAGTCACTTGTTTATCTCAGCCTTATCACCCTGGTAAATTAATATGGGCTTTAGGCTTTACAGCCTAGCAGAAAAGTCAAGATCTGGCATTGCCCATGCTCAGCTGTCTCGGGCTTTGGTTGTTAATTCTCTGCCCTGAGATGTGCAGGATGTCTCTGTTTCTGTCTCTGTTCAGCCTGCACAACTGAAGAACGAGTCTGGACTCTTCACTTTTCAGTCTTGAGGTTGTTTATTAATTCTTATCAATAAAATTTTCTTTCTGCTCAGCAGGGCAGCCACAGGCACTCTTTGTGTTGTCCTTTTATACTACAAACTACGTATAACATATTTACACTTAATTCCCAATACCCATCACCTATGTTAGACAGTGCACTTCTGCTCTAAACCAATCCCAAAGTGCCAGCATCACTGCAGAAAATGGGGAACAAGAAGAAGAAGAAGGAGGAGAAAGGCTGGACACGACCAAGTTCCTCCATCTTGTCCCCATAACCCCCATACCAAAAATCCTAAAATCAAATTTCCACCCTGTGATCATTTTGTTATTACACCATTCAAACCTGTGTGACTTTCAGGTCCTCATACAAAGCTGGCAACTTGCTCCAGGGGTCACAATCAAACCCCCAGGTGTTCTGGGCTGTGTGCCAGGGTCTCCGAGCCCCCTGACGGGGTCCTTGGCAACTCTGGACACCCAGAGGGATGCACTGAGTTCTGACACAGCTGGGCATTTCCCCAGTAAAATGTCTGCCTTAACAGGGCAGCAGGTTCTTCTGCAAAGCTTTCTGTGACTGGTTTTGGAGAATCTGGCACATTTCCCCTGCTCCCCAGGGTGCGGGGTGGGAGCTGTGGTGCCAGGAGGCTCCGTCAGAGCAGCTCTGGTTGTTCAGATCAGAGAGATGCTGCTGGCAGCCTGTGTGTGGGTCCTGTGATGAGGAGATGGGCACAGCTCAGCTGAGGTGGCACTGCCCTTCCCCAGCCAGGTGATTCTGTGTCCTTGTTTTTCAGCCCTGTGAGGGTAAGGACCATAACCCTGGGGGTTGGCACCGTGTGGGTTCCATGTGCTGATGGACAGACCTGCCCCAAGCGCTGCCCTGGCCTGCTGCACATCCTGACACTGTGTCCTTTCTCCTGCTGCCACTCTGGGCTGGGCACTGTGAGCTCTTTGTGCAGAGCCTCCTGTTCTGAGGGACAGCCTGGGTTTGGATTCCTTCCATCTCCCAGTGACAAAACCTTTGACAAAACTGTGCCACACTGTGACGGTGTTCACAGGGGTGTGAGGATGGGGGAAGAGATGAGGATCTGACTCCATGTTTCAGAAGGCTTGATTTATTATTTTGTTATATATATTATATTAAAACTATAATAAAAGAATAGAAGAAAGGATTTCATCAGAAGGCTGGCTAAGAATAGAAAAAGAAAGAATGATAACAAAGGTTTGTGGCTCGGACAGAAAGTCTGAGCCAGCTGACTGTGATTGGCCATTAATTAGAAACAACCACATGGGCTAATCACAGATGCACCTGTTGCATTCCACAGCAGCAGATAATCAATGTTTACGTTTTGTTCTTGAGGCTTCTCAGCTTCTCAGGAGGAAAAAATCCTAAGGAAAGGATTTTTCATGAAAGATGTCTGTGACACCACACCGCACCCAGGCTCTCTTTCCCTGCATGATGGTTAGACTGAGAAGGAAATTAATTGATGAGGCCATCAGACAAGAATCAAAACAGAAATGCAAAAATGTCTGGAGTGGCCATCCTGCAATTAAGAGGATGCGATTAAGTGTTGCTTCACTTTTTACAAAGGGAGAAATTAATTTTCATCCTGAGCACGGATTGTTTCTCCCGGTGATTATGACATCTGTGCGCTGGACCCTGCAGGCTGGGGCAGCCCGGCGGGGCCATTGGCGTCTGTCCCCGGTGCTGAAGCCCTCCCAGCCCTTTGCCTGCAGCTGCAGCCGCTACCCGGTGTGGTTTTAAAGCGATTTTTAAAGCCCAAGGGGAATAAATACAATTGGCCCTCTGATAATAAGCTAGCCAGAAGTGAGTCTTGGATGAGACCAGATCTCAATTGCTGCCTTACATCACTTCAAATCAGATACACCAAAAGCACACATATTTGAGAAAGATATCTGAATGTTTCTTTCCATGTAGGAGTACTTTTATTGGAGGATTTTCTCCTCAGCAGCTTGTGTTAGCCTGCTCTGTAAATTCATGCACTGCTTCTTAGCAAAGATGGAAATGGCACAGGGAGGAGCTTCCCTCATCTGACCGGCATCCTCGCTTCAAAGCTTAGCTTGGATTATTTAAATGCTAATAGAACCCAGCAAATTATCTAAAGCACAAACACACCTGGCTTCAGTCTTGGGGATCTAATTACAGAGCTTTTTATGTGAGATAAATCGCTCTTGCTCTGAGAAAAGTGCCTTTTTAAAGTGTTCCCACAAAATGCCAGGTGATGGGGTGGCACATCACCAGCCTGACATCTCTAATTGCAACTCTTATCTGCTTCTTATTCATCTTCTGTAGGATTCTGTTCACAGGTGCTCACAGCTCAGACTTCAACCTGCTCTGACCCCTGTTATTTTTCCGCAAATAAACTTCAGTAGTTCTTGCCTTCCGCTGGGTTTTCAGTGAAATTTCAACATCAAGAAACCTTTATGTCTGTGACAACATCCCTGCTCTAGAGTTACTGGGAGCCAGGAACAAGCCTTAGACTCAGGATTATTAGAAAGGAGGCTGCAAACTTCCCATGAGCTCCAGGTGTGAAAATAAATGATTTTAAGCCATGTGTAGACTGGCTATTGGTATGGAATTATGCTGGAAGATGAAAGAATAACACAGTTTTCATTATGGACTTTAATTCTTTTTTTGATTGGTAGAAATCTTAATTTTCTTGTGTTTTTTTTTCTTAGGAATGGCAATTCAGAGTATAATAAATTCATTATGAACTAATTCATCATTGTACTCAGGGCTGTGTGTGAATATGGCAACAAATACCTGTTCAGTGCATTTTCACAGTTGCTGTTGCTTTGTTAATAAAGTTAAATTAAACAGATTAACTAGCAAACAACATAAGACCTAACCAAAAATGTTAAACAAAGAAGCCTTCAGGATATGTTTTTCAATTTTCTTCTCAGTGGTTTGAAATACCTGGATTCCTATGGAAGAGTGGGGTGCCTTTGAATTTCCTTCAAAGAAGGGTAGGATTGTTTTGGGGTTGTTTTTTTGTTTAGCTTTTTGGTTTTTGGGGGGTTTTTTTGTTTCTTTTTTTAAATAAATAAAAATTAAAACAAATACTAAGAAAATTTGTTTTTCTCCATCAGTGGCAGATGTAAATGCAAAGTTACTGCTTTCTGGTGATGTCTGCTAAGAGAGCTGCCCTTTGTTCAAATTGTGGGTCAGAGATTTGGGGCTTTGGTTTCCGTTTACCAGACAAAAACCCTCTGAAATGCTCCAGAATTCAGCGTCTAACTGCAAACTAGGGCTCTGTTTCAGGAATGAAATATGAATAAATCACACAGCAAACCTCGAGGCAAATTCATTATGGAAAACAGTTTATTACCTGTGACATAACAAGACTTGTTTATTAATACATTCAGTAAACAAAGAGTACAAACGTAGTTTTCTGCAATTAATTTTCGGATAGATGTTGACAAATAAATACTCTGGTACAGACAGGCAGTACAGCAAAGGTGCATTCTTTTAGACAAGTAAATCAGGGGAGAAGTGGGTGTGTTTGCTCAGTACAGAGCAGAACTGTAGCAGGCAAAGGGTGTTTGAAACCCCAAAGTCATCCTGTCAATAAAGAAGATCAATAAGAAATAGAAAGAGAAGTATACAGGATTTCACACATGGAAATTAACTGTTTTCTTGCTGTTCTAGGGGCAGGTTTAGCTCCACTGCTCTGCTTAGGGTTTGTTTGGATTGAAACAATTATCCCTGGGGAGCGGAGAGGGAAAACCTCTCTGATTTTCTAAGAGAAGATGAAATGCTCGCAGCTGACTCAGAGGAAGGAGGGAAAGCAAACAAAACAGAGGAGTGGCTCTGTTTTCAGAGCCAGGTTTTAAATCTACATCTGATGACAGTGAATTCTGAGGAAAGTAAAATAATAAATTCTGTTTGTGATAGGAGGGGGAAACTTAACTTTAAGGCACCATTTCCTTAAAGCTGAATTAACTCTGCTCTTTTGCATATTCCTGCAAGCTACACATGAACACACACACCAGCAGCCTCTGCCTCTCTCTTACCACAGCAGAGTCAGCATCCTAATCCACTCAGTGACCCAATTCTGTCTAGTCTGACCCCAAAACAGCCCCTGTGTGGTTTGGAGAGCCCCTTTTTCCTTCTGCCTTGGTATCTGCGGGGTGAGCTCAGGAGGTGGCTGAGGAATCTCTGGATGGCAGCAGCATCACCCATGGAAAGGTTCCTGGGCTGCTCCCTGGTGCTTTGCATCCACTGCAGTTCAGTTTCTGGCTGATCAGGGACATCTCCTGCCATCAGCTCGTCCTGCTCGTGCTCCCACTCTTCTGGCACCAGGGGATGCTCCAGGTCCTCATCCAGCAATTTGGACTCACTCTGGAAAAAGGGAAGGGTAAAAGGTGGGAAAAGATGAGAAGGAGGGGTTTGGGAACCTCTCATTATTTCCATGTAAGCCATACCCAGTGCTAAGTCTGAGGATGTATTAGCTGTCAGACTGCCAGTTAAGTGTTTCCTGGAACTGGGAATATATCTTAGAAGTTATCTTAGACATTTCTTTGTGCACTTTATGACGCCTTTTTCAAATTTTTCGTAATTTATAGGGATAAAGTATGAAAAATTATGAAAAATTATGAAAAATTATGAAAAATTCGAAAAAGGTATCATAAAGTGTGCAAAGAAATGTATAAGACAATTCTTCAGAACCAATTTCAGCATGGCTCTTGCCATTGCGTTAAGGCATCCTTAATGAATAAGGAAAAGGAAAAAATAAGGGAAATAAGGAAATAATAAGGAATAAGGCAAAAGAATTAGGAATAAGGAAAAAAATTGTGAATAAGGAAAAAGAAAAGAATAGTTGATATCTAAGAGACATGCTGAAATTGGTTCTGAAGGATTATCTTATACATTTCTTTGCACAGTGAGAGGTCACCTCATATATGGCAATGGCAGCTCCCTAGTGCAGTAACTGAAATGTTTTGGAGCTCCTGCATAAACAAATACACAGAGGTACACACACACAATTTCTCTTTTTCCTATATTCTGCACCTGGCAGTCACAGGCAGGGGCTGCATTGCTGCACAGCTGAGCTGAGGAGGAGATCCTGCATTCATAATTCCTTAATTCCTTTTTCAGCCAAAACCAGGGGTTTCAGGGGGTGCATGCAGGTGATTGCTGCAGGGCTTTAGATCACAGCCCTCCCAGAATAATTTCTTTACTCCAAAAGCTCATTGCTACGCTCACAGGATGATCCTAAATGTACAACCCCCTAACTGAATCCACAGGAAAAAAAAAAAATAAACCACAAAAAACCATCCAAATATTTTCCTTTCAATCACCTCATATGATCAGAAATTTAAATCCAGTGACCAATGACTTTAATTTCCTCTGTTTAATCACTTTGTATCTGCCCATCTCAGCATTCCTGCTGTCATGTTATCTCTTTAGGATGGGGTTGGAAGAAACAGAGCCCATCTGATGTGTCCAATTCCTAAAGAAGCATCAGCTTCTTTCAGCTCTATTGAGCAGTCACTCACCTGTAAGCTGGAAATGGATCTGGCCCCTGCCTGGTTTTGACTGACAACGAGCAGCAGAAGGAATCCAGGGCCAAAAAGGAGTTTCAGGTTCATGTTTGGTGCCTGATCCCTCTTCCCTTAAGTCTCTGCAGTTCAGTGTTGCTCTGTGTCTCCAGCTATCAGCATTTATATCTCCCTCCAACCCCTCCCAAATCTACCTTTTGAGTTCCTGCTGGTGCAAGGATTGGTTTGAGGTTTTGATCTGGTTTCTTCCACCTCCGGAGGAGGAGGAGGAAGACGAGGAGGAGGGAAGAAATAATTCTCTTTTCTGGTGGTGAATTAAAGGAGCATTTTCCACTCAGGCAATGCAGCATCAATCTGGAGTTTTGGTGGCACTGATGAACATGAGTGAGCACAGCTCAGGGTTCCTTGGGCTCACTGCTAACCCTGTATTTTTTATCCAAAGGAAAATAACTGTGAGAGAGCTGTGAAGTGGGAAAGGAAGTGAATGGTGTCCCCAACACATCCCCCTGGCTCCTTTGTCACTGTGACCTCCATAGAGGGATGGGCTGAGAAAACATGCTCAGAACTGAGAGTTATTACATAATAATGCTATAATAATATAGTAATATAGCTTATTAATATGATTATTAGTATTATGATTAATGTAACTTATTAATATTAATATGACTTAAGAGATGAAAGAGTGTGATTTGGAGAAGAAGGGGAAAACCAAATATTAAATACAACAAGTTGCAGTGGTTATTGGCCTGAATGACAGTGAGTGTGGCCAAAACCTGACATGCACAGAAAACTTCTACAAGGCTTGAGTTGAGGAAGAAATTCTTCTTTCTCTGGATCCAGCTTAAAATAGTTCCTTTGTGTGATCTTTGTCTATTGTACACGTTTTCTATTAAATCACAATCAGTCTGAAAGGAAGAACAGGCTTGAAACTTGGCTTCACTGAAAATTTGAAATGCAATGATTCTTCTTGCCCTTTCATGGCATTTTTGCACACATGTGATGCACAGAGTTAAAGGCCATCAAGCTGGACCTACATGGAGGAAATGGAAATTAAAGACCATCTGGCATTTTTCATCTGATATTTGAGTTACTGAAAGATTGCAAACCAGTTTTCTGTATCAGCTTGTTGGTCCTGGAAGCTTGGAAAAAATAACTCTGTGATGTGGCAGCAGGTTTAATGTTTTCAAAGCTTTTTTCATGTGCAGATCAGTTTGAGGTATCATTTTAAATGGGTGTTGTAAGGAGACAGCTTAGAAATATCCCTCTGTGAAGGAAAAGGAAGTTTCATGTTATTATATTGTTGAGGTTTTTTTGTGGTTGATGCTGGTGAAAACCACATTTGATATGAATCTTTCATGTAATTAGTAATTAGTAAATGAAATCATCATCCCAGAGGTTTGAGGTGTGTGCTTCTCAACGTAACAACATAGTGAGAAAAGGTCAGGGCCGTTTCAGGTTCATCTTTTCTCCAGGATTGTTTTGTTGCTTTGAATGGCTTCTCACAGGTCTGCAGAAATGGATGATAAATCTTCTTGAGAGAACCTTGAGATCTCTGAAGTTGTCCTGGGATTCTGCTGAATGTCTCTCTGGTTATTGTTGGACATTGATGCACTAGTGCAGTCCACATCCATGACTGTATTTTCTAGAACTCTGTGGTGCAATCTTGTGCTAAAGCAGAGCCAGCCTTAGATGAAATTTCTCAATGCCTTGTCAAGGTGAATTTGAAAACCTTCAAGAAACAACGATTCACTAAAATCTACTTGGAATTTTTCCTATTGCCATTTGTGTCATTGCCTCTCACCCTAATGCCTTGGTCTGGATATTCACAGAGATTTATCATTGCAGTTAAGATGGAGACTTCAGCACAAACATCAGTCTAGAAGAAGGGAGGAACCCATGAGGGCAGCAGAAAATATTTTGGAGTTAGGAAATGGCTTTGTGTCCCTTTTTGAAGTGTTCCTTTGTATGGCAAGTCTTTCATATAGGGTGGAAGGAAGCAGGTTGATTTGTGTTGTTCATCTCCAAAAGTTGTTTAGCAGCTTCCTGGGATATTTCTCCTGTATCATCAGAAATCTGGTTAAAGAGCAAGATCAGGGCAAACTATTCCTCTGGTGTGGGGGTCCCAGTTGTGGGTTTCTCTGGGTCTGCATTGAAGGCACTGAGACAGCAGTTCATGTTCACACTCAGGTGTTTATTATTTCTTATCAGTGAAACAGTCTCACTGCTGTGAGTTCTGCAGCTTTTCATTAGAAGGCACAAAATGGCCAACAACCTCTTGGTACAAGGGCTTTTCAGACTACACTGTCCAATTAAGAGCTGACACATGGATTATTTCCCCTTTTAACCCAATAACTGATCCCACAGAGCTGCAATGCAGACTTTTGTGCCCAATTACAAAATGCCACCCAAACCCATGGAGAAGGAGGAAGAAGAAGCATGAAGAAGAAACCCAGGACAACACCCTGTGCCCTCCATCTTGCTGCCATCCACAACACACTAAAAATCCCAAAACCTCAATTTCTCACCAAGTGACACACCTACACTGCTCTCTATAATCTATTTCACACTTTTGTGGATTCTGGTCTATCTTGAAGTCTGGGAAACTTTCTCCATGAATGAGGGTCAGAGTCAGTGCTGCCCTGGGGGAACAGACACAGAAATATTCCCAGTGCCCTGGGTTTCCACACTCTGGGGATTTACCTGCCCATCCCATGAGGGAGCTGAGCACTCAAGTTGACAGCACATAAATGAGGCCTGGTAAGGGATCATTGGAGCCCTCCTGCAGTAACTCATCTTCCTCCTTCCAAGCTCAGTGACCCCTTCAGCCTCCCTCTCCCTCCCAGCTGCTCAGGCCAACATTCCCTGGCTGGCTGAAAGGGCAGTGGTGTTTCTGCAGCACTTTCATCACAGAGGGATCACTGAGCCTGTGAGGGATGCTGGCACCAGGGGCTCCTCACTGAGACATTGACATTTAGCTGGGATCTCCATTTTCCTGCTGTCCCCCTGCCTCCCCTCCCTGGGTGGGCTGCAGCTGGGCTGTGCAGGCTCAGTGCACAGCAGCACCACCATGAATGGGTGCTTATTTAAATTTATAAAATAAATTATTAAATTTATTAAAAGTTTCGGCGTCACGCGGATGGTCGAGTTCAGCACTAGACGTGTTGATCTGGACATCCTTGCTTCCCCATGATCTTTAAGTTGCATCTCAGAAATTCATAGGTTGATCTTGCACCAAACTGCTCAGAATCCAAGTTTTTCGTTCTCTGTGTTTTATGGGACATCTTTGGTGTTTGGACTGAGGTCTAATTTGTCTGCATGGAGCAAGGCTGGACTGGCAGCGGGAGCAGCTGCAGGCAGGAAAGCTGTGGCATTCACTGCTGCCCTTCCTGACTCCTCACAGGAGAGAGAAACAGAACCCTTTGCACGGACAGGACACATCCCCAGCTGGTCTGGGCTGGGACATTCACCCAGGTCCCTCTGTGAGATCCCATCTGGGCTCCTGGTTTGGTTACTGAGGTGTGTGGTGACCTCTCCTGGTGAGTGGAGAACGTGCCTCAATTTCCAGAGCAACTTCTGCTGAAACCAGAGAAAATAATAGACCAGACACTGAGAAACTTCAATAAAATTATTCCTTCATAATCAAAACCATGATGCATGCACTACAACAAAATTCTGAGTGTCTCTTTTTGGGGGTTTAGTCATGGAAGTGTGTGAGAGTGGTCGTGTCTTGGGAAGGCTCTTGGTATGTCTATGGTGTATTGTTTATTTAAACATTAAAGTTATTAAAAGCTTCAGTGTCACATGGATGGTTGGATATGTTGATTTGGACTCTCATAATGGATTTTACAGGATGTAAGTTTGCGCAGGAAGAGATGGGTGTAGGGATGACATTTCTTAATCATTTTATCTGGGATAACACTTGCCAGGTATTTCTTTGAGCTCAGCTCACGCTGGCAGAGCTGGGAGCAGTGTCACCAGTGCCCATTGACCAGGGTTTTATTGCCAAGCAGCCAAATCCAGGGGCAAGAGGTCACACCATCCCATTGTGCTATTTATTGCTGCATGCCATTTGTCACTGTGGGGCTTGCAGAAGGTGAAGCCATTTCTAGAAATGGCTAAACAGCTACAGGAATGAAATGGCTCCCGTCCTAGGAGTTGCAGTGGTTGTTTACTTCCCTTCTCCCTCCCCTAACAGACTGGTGATGGACCTAAAAATAACCCAACTAACTAAAAATGTAACCATTACATAAAGCCTGTCCTCCACAAAACCCTCAGCAGGTTTTCCTTCAGCCTGTGAGAGTGGCACTGTACATAACCTAAATTTTGTGTTCCCAGAGCAGGATCCCAGTTGTCCATTTTGTTTTGACATATCTCAGATTTGTGGACTGTGCTTGACTAGAGAGTGGTGTAGGTCAGTTTTGGGAATAGGGAGGTAAACTACCCTGATTTTTGTCTGGGGTTCATGCATGTATTCTTCCCGCTAACATTTATGGTCCTTTTCATCAATGCTTCTCATCAGTTCAGGTACAACTGCATACTTGTGGCCCTGCTCTTCTAAAGTTCTTCTAAGAAGAAGAAGGCTTAGAAGAACTTTAGAACAGGGCAACAGGTACATGCAAGTGTGCAGTAATGTAATGGAGTTACATTGCTTTACTGTAATGTAACTCCATTTTTGTAATGGAGTTTCTCATGCACTTTTCATGCAAATAATGATTGTTTTGCATTCCTTTCTGGAGGAGGAGAGAATTGATGGACCAGTGTGTCTGGACAGGTGGCAGTTTCGTCCTCCAATCCATGGTCACTTTTGAAAGTCTATAAATGTTGGAGTTTGGAAATAAAATGCTCTCTTTTTACCTTGGACATCTCAGCTTGTGTGTGTAATTCATTGTTCATTTCTTGTCCTATTGCGACAGGTACCCACTCTTGCTTATTGTGATTAGAGGGCAAATCCTTCCTGTTGAGAACTGCAAGACCATCCTGGAATTCTGCAGTGGATGCCCATAAAGCTGCATGTGAACAGAGGGAATTTCTTGCTGCAGTGGGAAGGATGCAGCTTCACCCAGAAAATCTGGAAAAGCAAAGCTGCTCTC